GTGGCCATTTGTTTGTTTGTTTGTTTGTTTGTCAACAGTATTACGGAAAAACTACTGGCCCAGTTTTCATGTAACTTTCATGTAAGGGTGGATGGGCCAAGAAAGAACCATTACATTTTGGAGTGGATATACAGGGGCGGGTCTAGTGGGGTTGCATAAGGTGACAGCTATATCACCCCTAAAAAATGCCTTTCCACCCCTGTTTGATGTCTAATACTGTCAAATTCAACACATTAATTTAGATAAAATGTGTCACAACACAGGAATGAATGCATATGATTTAATGATCTGTTATGGCCACATTTAAGAAAAGGCTTAAATTCAATGAAAAAACACAATGTCTTAAAGAATTTACAGATTTCTAATGCCACCTTTAGATATTTCTATTCAAAACTTTACTAATGTAACAATTACTTCACACATCACTGTAAATGCAGTAAGAAATCAGCAGGTGAAATATCAAAGCAACACAGTCAATTATCAAAAGTATAAAAATGGATGACCAACTCTTTCCTGACTGAACAATGGAACAAAATACAACTGAGAAGTAAAAGCTAAATGGGCTTTGCACTAACAATCCTGCGTAAGTTTACATGTACCGAACACATTCCTCCAAGTGAGGCTTGGAGCTGCTGGTCAAGTGCCCTGTTTTCTGTTCCCTTCACTGTCTTCATCAGCATGCCAATTGCTAAGTGTGTGTGCCAACATTCTGAAAAGGCCCAATAGCAGTTTATGCCAAGAGTCTCTTTGGCAAACCAGATGGGCGAAATCATGGCAGCTTCAATCAGATTCCTTCTGAGACATTTATCAGTTATGAAGGCCAGAAAACACGGTGGAACAAACCTCTCTGTATTTTAATTATCTGTTCAGCACCGGGTCTTAATTGAAATGACAGAAAGTAAACATTCAGCCCTCCTAAAGACTGTAGATAAACAAAATCTATCTGTACTGTATCTCTGGATTTTCTGCCATTCCCCCATCACACGTCTCCTCCTCTGACACGCCATATGTGCTGCAGTGCTGTTTTGTAAGAGTAGGGTAGAGAGAGGATCCATGTGAGGAGCCTGCTTTAATTATGCATGAGTTTCAGCTCCCCGGAGAGTACACAACAAGGCTAGCAGAGACGGAGCGCAGTAGAAAGCACAGACAAACTGAGCAAGATTCATGCTGATTCAAAGGCTAGCCTAATTTTAACTGCTTTGACGCAAGGAACTGAAAGTGTTACGGCACCTTTATCAACCTGACATTAACTCAAGGTTGCAGATGGAAACATTTAAAGGCTTTATTGGGATCAGATGGAAATGATTTTCTGCTAGAAAAACATATATGCAGTGGATCAGCAATAGGGACTGAAAACTAAGGATTAATTACTGTCTTTCTTGAAATTATGGTGATCCAAAAGAAGAATTTGTGGTCGCCTAAAAATAGTAATTCACACGAGACAAAGGGTGTAAATTAAGTGTTATTTGGGCTCTTTTGTGAACCATACAATATCCTGTGTTCGTCTCAACGTCTCCTCGTGTACAGCTTTGTAGTTCACTTTAGGTTCACACAACACTCTCACACATACATGCCTCACACCACTGACTTCTTGCATATCTCCACAGCCCATCTTATTTTCTTATTAAATCAATTCATTAAATAAACTAATTTGGCTTTTCAAACTCTTGTGTGTGCATGTGGACTCTCATTACAAACCTGAGCCAAGAGATTATGTAACAGTGCCCCCCCCCCCCATAAGAGAGCAAGACCCACAGACTGACACAAACCAACATCCTTTTCTGCTGTTTTGTTGTTTTTCATACTTTTCTGGTTGTTTTGCGATTATTTGTGGGCATTCTGCATTGCTTTGTTGTTGTTTTGCTCTTTCCAGTTGTTTCCTGTCTCTCTCTGGTCATTTTGCATCTCGTTGTGGTCATTTATAGTTTCTTTGCGGCCATTTTGTGTGTCTTTAAGGTTGCTCTGTGTCTATTTGTGGCTATTTTGCATCTCTTTGTGGCAGTTTTACAGTTGTACTGCACCTGTTTTGTGTCTTTTTGTAATTGTTTTATTAATTTTCCAACAAGAAGGGTCAACAGTTACTTCAAACTGACGAAGTGCCAGTAGGCACTCTCATGTGTGTGTTTTTTCACAATGTGTGTGTTTTATCACAATAGCTATGTGTGAGAAGTTAGCTCAAAATTTAAAGTAAGCTGATTTCATTTTGTGCATTTGGATTATAATCTCTTTAATAGCTCATATCAGTTGAGTCTGGACTTTGCTCTGTGCAGTGCCATCAGGTCAATCATTTCCTTTAAGCTACCATGTGCAGCTTGCTCAGTTAATGTGCCATCCTAGTAAACGTGAAGGTCATATTATCTTTCAGGGCTGACCTGTGCAAATTCATTTCTGTGGAAGGAAAATTGAGTAATGGGCTTCAGATAGGGATGGACAGCCCATTAATCTTGATCACAGGTGGGCCAACAGTCAATCTGCAGAAAGCATCCAGAAAAAAACAAACTTGACTGTGTTTGAGTGTGATTGGGACTAAAATAATGCACAAAATGAAGCGCACATTTGGAGAGATTGGATCAGAAATCTCCAACAGCTGCGATTTTAAAGCCTGAAATAACAATAAAAGATAAAACACAAGTACAGTCCCACGTTTATCGCTATTAACTGACAAAAAACAAGAATACTGCCTTTAAATTAAGGTGCAAGACATCATATTGGCTGCAGACCTTCACACACTGATACCATCTTCGACGGAGCAGCAGCGAGGCGCAGGGTGTGAAATCTGTCAGAGGAGATGATACACAGCGATATGACACCGCCGACACACAATCATCTCCAGCAGTGAAACTATAATAAACTCAAAACTAATCCCAATCACACTCAGAAGTTCGTTATCAGCTGGAAGTTGCTGCGGTTGCATAACAGAAAGGATCGGACCGCAGATCAAAGGCAACTTTCGCTACAAAGTGTCAGCAGCATCCAGAGCAGTCGGACCGGAGCAGGGCGGAGAGGATGGGGCTGCCCCCCCCCCTTCCCTCTCTCTCTCTGAAAGCCTTAAAAACAAAATGTCTTGAATGCATGTTGATCGGAGGATAGACAGCACTTACCTGGTCGTATCGGGGTCTTCCGAGCTGGAAAGCAGGACATGCTGCAGATTCCGCCATGACACCCAACTATTTATTTATTAATGAACTGAATCATGAACGGATTTTCAAGTAGAGCGAACTACATTCAATGAGTAACTAGTGAAGCAACGAGCCGCTTTGTCTGTTGGGATGTGTAGTCTCCTCGTGTGCATTAGCGATGGCAAAGTTGAAGCGCATGATCGATAAGGTGAAAGCTATTGCATAACTGTTCGGATTGATCCTGGGAGAGATAACAGTTGATGCGCCCATAGGTGGCCAGATTTAGGCTACCCTGTTAATCATTGTGTAAAGAGGTGTGGCCTGAAGAGAGAAAACGCGTCTGCGGGGAGAAATGACCAGCTGTCTTTCAGGTTCACTTCATCATAAATAAAGAAAGAGAATAATAAATAACCTGGAGCAGAGAAATAAAAAATATCTGTCACCACTCTTTCATTATGATCTTGTCATATAGTGGCCAAAGGGCAAGAGACTGCTGCTTTTAAACTGATTAAAGTCTATTAGTCCTTCATGTTATTGTAAACCTTAATCATATATCCATTACATCTGACTAAAATAATAAGGAATCCCTATTTGGGTAACACCTATGTAACATTTGCTTTGTCTATAGATGTTTAACAGATTATCAGTATATATAAGAATTTGTGAACACACCCTAACCAACATGTGGGTGCCTAAACCTAACCAAACCTACATTTGTGAAACAGTAAACTGCAATGTTACAAATACTTAAGGGCAGACTATCCCAAGTTATTTGTGTTTAAATCTCAATGGAAATATCACCAAAAACACAGCAAAATGTGCACAATATGAAGTCAAATTACACTAAGAGTCAAAAGTCAGTGGATTTTAGTCATCCTGGCTGCTGATGAGAAATTAATGCCTGTATTACATGACTAAACAGTTGGGCTGATGAAAAATGGATAAACCACCAATGGTGGGCTGTAGCTAAAATTTGAGGGTACTTCTACTTAATTTCTACTTCACTACGTTTTAGAGTTTTACTGCACTACATTTATTTGACTATTGAGATTTTAAATAATAAAATATGACAGTATAGTTTGCTTCACCTTAACCAGCTACAACATTCAAATTCTTAAATGCATCAATAATGCAAATGTAAACATCTGATCTCTTATAATATAAGACTGTCAGGGGCTTTCTGCTGCATGAGTAGTACTTTTACATTTTGTGGATAATACCTGTACTTTTACTTAAGTACGGTTTTGAATGCTGCACTTTTACATGTAATGGAATATTTATACAGCAGTATTGCTATTTTTACTTATTATCTAGGACATTAAGGCATTTCTACTCTTACATCTTTACCACTAATGGGGTATAACAATGTGAAGCTGCTGCTGAGAGTGAGTGTACAGACAGCTTAGTATAAACAGGAAATGGACCAGCTCTCCCTGGGTCTATAAACAATAGGCCTGCGCCGGTATATTATGATTTAGTGCTGAAATGAATGTAAATCAGCGTTTCACAATTGTAATCAATGGTTAGAGAGAGACCAGGGAAGTAAAGAAGCACAAAGGCAACATTGTTAACATTTGTTATAAATGCAATAGACTTAGTTTACAACAATATTACCTCTAATAAATCAGATAGGTGTATCTATGTCTGTGGAGGATTAATATCTCTAGTGAATTTGCAAAGCAGAGGACAAGGTTCCTGCTGAACCAGCAGGTTTCCACGCAAACTGTGTAGTAAGCAGTGCTCTCTAGTGGAGAGCAGTAAGCATTGCTGCAGCATACATAACATGCATACAGTGTGTAGGATGTCATGGATTAGTCTCTGCACTCTCACTGAGGTCTGCTTAGTGACAAATCTACAACAAAAGGATCTTAGAAACGTGGGTTCATGTGCACTTTATTTTATTACAGTACAGTACTGCGGTCATGTAAAGCATTGCAAGTAGCTACAGTGGTACTAGAGTGATACTAGAGAATATATTATCATGACAAAAGTATTTTATAGAAATAACTTACAATACGCTTATTTACTGCATTGATGCGTTGTTATTTCTACAGTAAAATGTTGCTCAACAAATAAAATGCAAAAATGGACAACAAAAAATAAAAAATATATTAAAACATTCTTAATACTTTAGCGCGTAATAAAAATGTGATGAACACAGTATTTTGTACAAATGAAAAACAAAACAAAGACACAAAGTGCAAACATTAAGTCTTCATCCTCTTCAGTCTTTTCTGGCACACATATGAACATTGTTTTTTACCATATAGCAATGTTAATGCAGAAACATCTCTCTTTATATTATTCACATTGCGGCGCAGCATTTTATGATGTGTTGCTATTTTTGTAGCATTTCTTAAAGCCTACCTGAAAATATGTAATTAACTCAAGTTAACCCTTGTGCATTTTGTAAAACAGTTTCAGTTGAAAATCTTGTGTCAAAATGTTGTTTTTGCAATTTTAAGGGTACTTGAGCTAACATCATATTTTGCTAGAGGAACTACTTAAATCTCCAAAAAGCACATTAAATGCACTTTCAGAAAGTGTTTTTGTCTAGCCTGTTTATTTATTTTATGCATGTGTGAAAGCAGTGAGTTCAATGTTTAAATTGACAACAGCTGACTACCTTAAATTATTCTAGTAAGCATGGGTAAAACAATAATTTGCATCCGTTTTGATAGAAGCTATTTCACATAGTGCTTTGTTCTGTTTTCTGTTCGTGCCAAATTGGGATAGTAACCAGCATGCATGTTTGGTAATATCGTGTCAACATCAACAGGGCAGTATTAGCAGTGAGAAGACCTGGATGGTTGTGAGATCAGATTTTTGGAGTATTTATTTGACTGCCTCTAGAACAATGATTCCCAATCTTAAATAACAACCCTGTGTTTTGCACCTCTCTTGTGGAAACAGTATTCTAGAGGATCATACATCACGTGCAATACACCATACACACACTAGCACTGTCCTCACTTGTGTCTAGTGCGCACTTGAAGCAGCGTGGGCGTCTGCTCCATGATCCGCAGTAGAAGATTATCAATATAGTCCTCCAGATCTCGAACTTGTAACTTGACCTTTTTAAGCTCAGCCTCACATTTGTGCAGCTGCGCCTCCTGCTGCTCAGAGGCTGCCTGCTGCTTCTGCATGTCCATCTCCTGCTGCAGCAGCAGGGAGATCAGCTCCATGTTGGTCAGGTGCTGGTACTGGGCCGAGTTATCCACTGTCACCTCCTGCAAGAGAGAAGGAATAGGAACAGTACATGTGTAGGCCAAACAAACTTACTATATGTGTGTGTGTGTGTGTGTGTGTGTGTGTGTGTGTGTGTGTGTGTGTGTGTGTGTGTGTGTGTGTGTGTGTGTGTGTGTGTGTGAACCTACCACTGACTTGCCAAGAGTTAGATAAGAAGATTGATACCCATGTCAGATGTTTCCATTTAATATGAGGCTACAGACAGGCGATAGTTAGCTCAGCTTAGCATAAAGACTGGAAGTAGTGGGAAACCTAGCTCAATCGAAAGGTACACATTAGTTTTTGTACAGACTAAATTACCGAGATATAACATGATAATAAGTGAGCTTTAGAGGTGCTGATAGACAGATTTCTCCTTGTTCCCAGTCTTTATGCTAACCTAAGCTGACTGTGTCCTGGCTTCAAATTTAACTTACAAATGTGAGCGTGGTATCAATTTTCTCATCTAACTCTCGTCCAGAAAGGAATGAGCGTATTTCCCAAAAGGCAAATTATTCCTTTAAAAGAGAAATTGTGATTCAAATGACCGGCCTACTATGATATTAAACGGCTGACATTAGTGCGTTGTGGGGTGTTGCAGTGGTAAAAAAATTATGCGAGTCAGTGGAAACAATGAAGTCATCAGAACAGTGAATTTATGAATACCAAGTGCACTGCTGGTGTTCATAAATGCTCATGGAAGCATTAAATAGTCTATGGACCTAATGGCTTTTGTAATTTAGTATGACATGTTAATAACTTAATTATTCTGCTGTTTGCACACAGTGAGACTCACACAGTATTATGGGGAATTTCTGAAAATTGACTGTGATTTTTGGATCCAGTTTGCCAATTGTTGACGACAAATGGTAATTGAAGTCTGCAATCTACAATTTAATGTGGGAACACAATTCTTCTGGCTCAATCGTTTTCGGGTCAAAATATAATGTAAGCAAAAATAAAATCTGGTAGTTATTAAAATATATGAATGTGTAACCTAAGAAACTAACAGGCATGGTACAAATGAGTTATCCTATTCAAAAACCAAGTAACCCCGTCAGAATTCACCTCAACAATTACTACAAAGTGTAATACATAAAACAGTTCATATTATTAAGTAGTTAAAGGTAATAAAAACTAATTTTTAGGTTAGACTGATAGGGGCAGGCTCGTTTCTCCCTTAACTGTCTTTTAACAGCATCAGAATTATGCCATATCACCTTATTGGTGACATCCAGGTACAGAAACAGTCCCAAGTGTTAGAGAAAGACCAGAAATATAATTTTAGGATCTGAAAACTCTTATCTGGGCCAAAGAATTATGTCACACTTGAGAAGAGTAATGGGATCAGCATTTCTCTCCCTAGTGTTGAAAGTAACCTCAGTCTAATAGGGAGTTGGTAGGTAGCAGCTGCACACTTTCCTGCACTGGTGGGGGAAGTATTCAGATCTTTTACTTAAGGAAAAGTACTAATAACATACTGTAAAAAACAAAAACAAAACCCTGTTAAGTAAAAGTCGTGCATTGAAAATGTACGTAAAGGTATGTACATATAATCAGGAAAATGTAAATGTATTAAATTAACTATTTTGTATGGGACTGTAACTAATGCTTTCTTGTCATTATGGATTATTATTATTATTAATCTGCTAATTATTTTCTCCATCAATTGATTGATTGTTTGGTTTATAAAAATATTATATATAGATATTATATATTATAAAAAAATAGTGAGAAAATGCTGTCACTGTCACACAGAGAGTTGACACTTTCACAATGATTGTTTTGATCATCAAAATAGTTAGGCCTACCAATCAATTATCTGTCAATCTACTAATCAGTTAATTGACTAACTCAGCTGTACTGGTATATGCAGTTTAATTTATAACAAAACATCATATTTTATAAGCTTTTTATATGTTTTGTATGCAATAATCTTAATTTGTAAAGTAACTAGTACAATTTTCCCTCTGAAATGTAGTGGAGTAGAAGTACAAAGTGGCATGAAAAAACACTTGAGGGACGTATAAGTACTTCATGGCAGTAATAATACTCAATCACAAAGTGTGAAAGGTGCATGTTAAACAACTTAAAACAAGAGTATGGGTAATACCTGGCTACATGTAACTGTAGTGTGATGTTTTCAAAGTCACAAAATTTCCTACAAATATACTTATTTTAGCTGCATCAGTAATAGTACACAACCCACAACTGTATATGGAAAGTAATAAAGGGTTCATAAATGTGTGGGGTTGTGTTTTTATTTCACATTGTTTTACATTCAGTACCTGACTCTTCTCAGGTTCTGCTGCAACCTGGTGGGCGCCGCGTCCAGGGTGGATGGTATACTTAAGCTTCTCCAGAACCGATCGACCCTCCTTCTTTTCTGACTGGCTGGAGGTTAATGGCTTCACTGGATGAGGTCTGCGAAGTAAAGAGGTCAGCACCAGTATTTCAACACAGGTATGCTGTAAGTTTACTGTAAGTGCATAACGCTTTATTAATGTTTAATCTTGTGCGGTCAAATGATGGTAAGTTACTGTATTACCTGAAAAAGCTCAACATATCAAAGCAGATCAAAAAATCTAACTCCTCACTCTGTGAACAAATAGTAAGCAATATAGATTTATACATTTAAGTACCATCTACTGATCATTGAACATGAATACCTGCAGATATGATTCAAGTTTAAACAAGAAATCTGATTAAATGCAAGTGCAGTGACTCGCTTGCTGCTGGAGGATGAAACCATCTTGAGAGGGAACACAGGGTTGACTGTACCACAACAACAAGGCATGTGGATGTTTAGAGACAGAAAGTTAGAATAAAAACTAGAATTCAATTTAAAGCTACTTTGTGATTACAGCATACGGAAAAGCTGGGTTTCTGAGATAACACTACTTTTTTTTTCTTGTTGCTTTTATTCTTGATACAGTCTAAAATGAGACAATTAAATGGACTAACTAACTCTATGGTCTTGTTTCCAAGCGAACAAATGTATGAGAGCACACTTCTTTTCTAAATATTAAGTCTTCTCTGAATATCTTTCATTCTTTTTATCACTGAATCCTCTCCCCCCACAATGGTGCTCCTGACTGTTTCCTACTTATTTATGAGTGTACATCATATTGTCGCTGTCAGGTGGAAACCTTGCATATCCAAAAACTGTTACTTTTCAGGAACCCAGTGTTTTTACAATAATTTAACATGGCACTGTCAAAGTCAGTAATGGTTGTTATATACTTATATACTTATATATACTTACTTACTTAATACTTTTCATTGGTTAAATATTTGTAAAACTCACAGCCAGACGTAAAGGGTGACCAATAGCATTGATTTGTGGAAAAAAATTACAATGACAAAATATGTAAATACAAGGTTTCCGCCATTGAGCGACAATATGCACAGGTATCACCCTTTTATTCTAGTAATATATTTAAAAAAAAGAAGGGAGGAATGAAAGTTAGCTTTCACTTAGTACGTAGATATCAGACTATCTGGACGTAATGTATCAGGTGGCCAGAATAACAGCAAAACTAGCTAAATTTAGGCAGACCAAAGTGTAAGAAAAACAACAGAATTACAATAACCAACAAGGAACTGAATAATGAGATGAATAACATAAATGTGAAGCAGAGCCAAGAACAATGCAGCAGGTATCATCCAACCACTTTGGATGATGAAAAAGACAGAACTTAAAAAAGGCATAAATGCATTCAACATCAAACAAGCCAGGCCAACAGTAAACAAAGCAACCAGAGCAATTAAATTAAAAAAATACCATTATGTGTTTTGTAGTGTGTGTGGAAATCCTGTCTGTTACTCCAATGTACTACAGCTTGTAAACACCTACACATGTCATATCCTAGAGTGAGGATTCTCACCTGCTCTCCTGATGGGGCAGGTTGCTAGCTGGCTGTGTCTCCTCAGGCAAAAGTGAGTGCCGTGCATCGACCAGGGGCTGGTCAGTGGTGAAGGTGGTAGAGGAGGAGGTGTAGGGGGCCACAACCAGAGTAGTGCTTCCTCCAGCACTGGGCCCCATGCTCGGGGGATGTATGGAGGGGCAACAGAAAGGGGTAGGGTGGAGCGTAGCCTGTGCATCAGCTGACAGGGAGAGTGCACAAGGGATGGAGGGAGAAGAGGGTTCAGGCTCCTGCAAAGATTGCCCAATCTTTGACTTTGAGGGGGTTCTCGTGTTTGGTGCTACTTTTGCATGGAGGTCTTCAAAACTGATGTCAGAAGTTTTTCCTGTTACACAATTTTCTGAAAGAAGAGGCATTGAGTTGTCTTTTGCAGACATTTGTGATGCTGAATTAGAGTCATTGTGATATGTTTGGTCTTTGTCTGTGCTATCTCCTTGCAAATCGGTCTGTTTATTAAATGCCAGTAATGTAGAAAGAGCTGATTTAGTGGGCTGGTATGACAATGGTCCTTCACTGACTCTGGAAATATTTTGAACGAGAGACAACAACTGCTCAAACTCTCTGTCTCCACTTTTGCGTTGGTTGTTTGGGCTGCCACTGCTGTTCTGTCGGGATACTCCTTTTGGTCTAAAACGTGCACTAACCACACCAGGAAATGACTCCTTCTGATCAAGTGTGCCTATTTCAGCTTGTAGGTTTCCATTATCATCAAAGTCCTTTTGTGTCTTTTTAAAATCATCAACATGTTTTGGTATATCTTCTCTGGATTCAAGATCAAGTGGATTTTGAGACGACAAAGCAAGAATCTCTCTGGGGTTACCACGCGGTGCTACGTTATTTAGTTCACATGGACAGTCTTTGCAGTTCTCTTGGCAAACTGGAGAGACTTTGCACAGTTTGGTTGATGATGACGTTATTTCAAAGGAAGAGTTCATCTCAGGTATGTAGGTGTCCTTCAAAGTGAAGATATCCTGAGGTGTGGTCACTGTCTCTGAATGGTAAGCAGCTATCAGTGAATCTTCTGGCTGTTGAAAGGTGGCTCCAAAACTGTTGATGCCTTTGCGAGTATCAACTACCTCTGATTGCGAAGAGCCATCGGAATCAATAAAACTGAAATCTGAATTATTCACATTCATGTTCAGATCTCCTAAGGTTAGTGAAAAAGAAACATTATTGTTGATGCATGTCGTTTCAGGTGGATCAGACTCTGTCTCCTCTACTGGACCGGTTGTAAAATCTAGTACCTCTGCGTCTGGCTTTGTGGGAGTCGTAGATGACAAGTTCAAAAGGTTTGCAACAGATATCTCACTATTGAGAACCATTTTGGGTCCTAAGTTCAAAGATGTGATCTTATTTTCAGAAGTTTCTTCAGCATTCACGGGTAAATGATGAGTGTTTACTTTTGGTTGTTCATAGTTTCCTCTACATACACGTCCATACAAGTCTTGCTCAAACAACATCCCTCCCCAGCAGTCAGTTTCATCTTCCAAAGGTTCATATTTGAACTTTTTAAGCTTTTCTTCAGACACAAAACCTGGTGAAGTAATATTTGTGTATGGTTGTGAGTTAACGCTGAGGGAGTCAGAGGTCTCGCTGCTTGTGTGAGCGTCTGGAGATATACTGTTTCTTTTGCATTCTCCTTCTCTTCCACGTTGCAGTGAGGCCACGCCGGTCTGTGAGAGGAGGTAGGCTTCTTTATGGACAGCCAGTTCTTGACCTCTGTGCAGCCAGCCGTCTGAGTAAATTTCGTTCACTGAATTTCTTAAAAATCTCCGTGGAGGCAAAGGTGGAGGCTCCTCTTCACATGTTTGCAGCTCTTGTGCATGATTATTGGTGTTAACTGGAAGGTATGTATGTCTATGAGATAAAGGTGAACTGGTTCTCAGCTGTTTTTGAGGAAGACCGCCTTTAGGTGAGTTGAGCCTGCTAGAGGCAAAAGCATCAAACGAGTCATCCCATTCTCCGCCACTCTCTGACATGGACCGAGGGGCGGAGTGGTTAGGGGAGTTAGGTGTGGCTGCTTTGGGTAGTAATGCAGGGAGAGATATCTGTCTTGCTACTGGCCTCGGGCGCTCCCGCTTTATGAAAGCCATATTTGTAGCATTACCGTCATGAGCAGGGCTGGCTGTGCAGGGCTGGGAGGGCAGAGTAGTGTAATGAAAGGGGGATGAGCCGGAAGAGGAGCAAGGCGCAAAAGGAGGGGACCTCTGTGACTCTTCAGCTACAAGATCCTCAAAAAAGGGGTTGCGTTGAATACGTGAGGGGAAAGGGTTGGACGGGGAGATGGGGGTTGAGGAGGGAGAGGGAGAGGGGGTGAAGGGATTGGTGTGATTGTTGTTATCAGGTGAGATATGACCGGAGGGGGAGTTGGAGGGAGAGGAGCACTGAGGGGGTACAGGGGAGCGAGGAGGGAGGGGAGGGGGTACATCTGAGCTGCTTTCTACCTTAGGAGAAACTTCCAGCCTGTAGAGGAAAATAGGGCACAATAGCTTAGCTTAGTTAATGATGTGCCAGGTTACCAAATGGGGAACATCTTTCTTACACAAACAGAGAAGACCACAACAGGGGGACATTTCTGTTACCTTCAAAACTCAACTAACATCAGTAAATATAAAACTGGTCACATGAAAGAATTATGAAAACGGTAAAACAAATGTAATCAAAAAAGCAAAGCACATTTGCAAAATAATCAAGCAAAAAAATAGTGCATTGTAGCCACCCAAGGCCATTCAAGATCTGCATTGGTAGCTATTCTACATGGAATGAGTCTTGTACTTCCTTTTGTGAGAGCATTTTTCTAAACCACAGTGATGTTGCATCTTTGAGAGGGAAACGTATTGGTAAAGAAAATGGAAATGCTGGAATGCTATTTGTGGAAAATATAGCGTGAGGTAATGATACAGCATGGTCGTAAAATGGAGAAAAGTAAAATCAATTCCATTTTCAAATGAGCAGTGAGCAGGGCAAAGAATGAATTCAGGACACCCAACTGAATACAGGCCTCGCATATGCCTGTTGTTGTGTCTGGATACACTCATCAAACACTGTGGAGCCCAGAGGAAAGCCTATAAATGACCCCAACTCACCTTGGCTTGTTCTGGGAGTCACTGGAGCCAAACCAGCCTCTGAGCCTCCCCTCAGATGCCGCACCAGCCTGGTTCAGGTCTGACTTAGCTGGGAGGGACTCACTCCTCCCGCCAGAGAATAACGTCTTTCTTAACTTCCTCCCTTTGTCAGGTGAATCAGCAGTAGAGGAGACGCCTGGCTGCCCTGGTTGACCCCCTATCTGACCATGTTGAATTGGAGGAGACGATGCCTGAGCTTCCTTTTCTTCCTCCTTTTCCTCTCTCTTCACCCTGTCAAAGGACCAGCCTCGGCCTTCGGCAAAGGAACCTTTGTCTTCGCTTTTCTTGGTGAGGTTCTGCAGGGAGCGAGAGAGCGGGGAGCACTTCTCCAGCAGGACCAGCTTGGACGGGTGGGCTCCTGAGCTCTTTGGAGTGGATGGCTCGGAGTCGTAGACATGGCTTCCATTAATACACAAGGAAGACTTGGACTGAGTCATGGTCTGACCCTTGAGAGACTCCACTGCAAGATTTGTTCGAGGGAAGGCTGTTGTGATCTTACTAGCTTCGTCGCTGAAGGCTCGTTTGTGCGTGAGAACCTTTGTGGTGTGCTGGCTGGTCAGCACTGTTGGAAGGAAGGAAGAAGGTTATGAAAACAAAATCTAATGTTTCATCTTTTTTGTTTGATTGTGGGTAAATCTGAGAAAAGACTTATAGTCTTATAGCAGTAACAAGGCCACTTAGGGTGAGTGCAACAAGCTCTAAACACAACAGTAACATACAGTATTTATCACGGTTTGAGGTTGCTGTGGCCAACATGTTACCAACATTTGCCTATTTACACATCCAGAAACATTGGTATAGTCTATTTGACTGTCCTTCACCAACAAGTCACTATCTTTGTCTGTCTGTCATTTTGTGTTAGGCAGGTAGTGTAAAATTGCTTTATCAAAGCTTCTATTTTTGCTGAAAGCAACTGCCTGCAGCAGCTGGAGTCAGGTTTAACGAAAGCGCCAAAAACAGTTGTGGGCAGTAAAACCAAAACAATGAGCTGAAAGATGCTAAAATTCATTGGAGCCGGGGGGGAAAGCTTAGTCGTGTGATATTTATTATCATTCTAATGATATATTCTTATCATCTAATTTTTTATGGGGCTTTTATTGCCTTTAATCAATAGTGACATCCAAAGAGTGACAGGAAAGTAAGGAGAGAGAACGGGGAAGACTCGCAGCAAAGGACTGCAGGTTGTAATCGAACCCTGGCCGCTGCGGCGAAAACTGAGTCTTTGTACATCTGGTGCGCACTCTACCAGGTGAGCTACCAGGGTGCTTCAACTTGTGTAATAATTCTCTGTAGACCAATAGCGACTCCTTTCACATTATATGTAATAATTTGAGCCATTGTTAAAAAATATCTGTTTTTTGCAGCTTTGAAAGCTGTATTCCAAAGTAGAGCACCACTGATATATTGCTAGTGCCGTTGTGAGCTGACAAGTAACAATAAATTGTAGTGGGCCTACAGTGCATTGTGTAGTTTTCCAGCTCAAACCTAAAGGGAGTGCACTGCAGATTAGACAAACAGATACAATAACATGGAAATGAAGAAGGAGCAGATATAACATTTTCTGGCACCTGCAGTTGGTTTCAGTTGAACATTCTGTTGCTAGTAGCAACTGCGACCGACACAGATCTATGGCAGTTCAACTGTCACTGTTACGTCTGCCATTTTGTCAAAACTGTAACCGAACAAATATTGTCTTTCATCTTCTCTCCTTGTTGGAGATTATCAGTAGTGTTTTGGCTGTTTTGTGACTGTAATTTGTTAATTTGGGTTTTTTACAATCAGTTTGACTAAGCTAGTCCTTAGCTGTCTGAAGCTAATGTATTGCTAAGTAACTGTTAATTTACTGTTGGGCTAACTGTTGTAATATTTTTACTTTGTGGACTCGACATCTTAACTAAGTTACATTAATTGTTGTGTTCTTTCACTGGTGATAGACTACCATTATTTGAAATGTGTTTAGTTTTACTATAGGCCTATGACCAAATTCTCTTTTTTGTCAGACCTGAACGCAAAAGACTTATGGTTTATTTATAATTTTCTCATGATATTTGTGGAGGTTGTCCTATTTCTTTCGAGAGAGGTGACCCACCTCTGCTGTAAAACACTGAGAGAAACCATGATTCGTTATCAGGTAACACCAACAGTCACCAGCCGTCATGTCATACACATAAAAACAATTGCAAACCTTACCTTTTTTTGCTAAATCTGTCTCTCCATAATGGGTGTCCACTCTCACTTTGCTAGTGTAGATAGGAGAGCTGGGGGGGTCTGACAGTAGGTCCAGACTGGGTGGAGGGCCGGGGTTATCACTGGTTATGGAAGACACACTACTCTCTGAAGCCAGCGATGAACATGACCTGGTGTCAGATGACTTGCGCAGCCTTCCTTTGAAGAAATCTTTCACCTTGCTCCTCTTCTCCTCGGCTATCTCCACATCTGGTGACTCCACCGCCCCTCCGCTCACCTCTCCAAACGGCTGCCCTAGGGTTCCTGACAGGGCAGCGTACCGGCCTGGCACAATGGCCGAGGAAGACTCCACATCCCCCCTCTTCCTCCCTGTGACCCGATCCTTGAGCTTGCCAAACGCAGAGCGAGGTTTGTCCTTCATGGTGAGGTCGAACATGCTGGCTGTCATGTTGTTGCGAGTGAACTGCACTGTTACCTGAAGTTCACCACGTTCCTTCTCCTTCCTCCCTGCCTTAGAGTTGAGTTTGAACCATCTGGAGCCACAAAAGAAAAAAGGGACAGTCAACATCCACACTGTGACTGTGTCTTATATCACTGCTTTAAATAAATACGTTACATTAGCAGGATATCCGAAGTGCAATGCTGTCTGTATAAAGCACAAATCAATGGTTGTGTGTGTGTTATCTAACCATTCTCCAGGACAAAAAAAACGAGCAACAACAAAAACATTGACTTCCTTTTGGCAGTGCTTTCCACATATTACATAATCTGAAAATATTGCTCAGGGCATTGTACCCAAAATCTTTGACAACAAACCTGAAAATAGGAAATCACAACCCACATTCCTCGAGGTCCACCGACCGATGTGCATGGGCAGTGTAAGACATGGGCAAAACTGTATGAAGACAACCAATTAAAAACCTCCCTCTGTTCCCGCCTCCGAGATCCTCAGAGTGGACCAGAGAGCATGTTGCAGAGCCAAAACTAACAGCAGTGTGAGTTTCACTGAGCGAAGAGAAGAGAGAGGGCGGAGAGCCCACAATTAAAGCCAGATGTGTTTTATTGCTTTACTCTATTCTGCTCTTCAGTGTTGATAGTGGAAATGTTACTGGTGAGTTCTGTTGCATCACCTGTGACACAGCTGAGGACTTCAAATACTCTGAATATCATATAAAGTTAGTCATACAAAGATTCATCACAGAAAAAAGATTGTGTAGTATAGGATGTCAGTCGGTCAGAATTTAATGAGTCTTTATGCATTTAGGGTTCAAATGTTGTTTCATCCTGCTAAACACTAAAAAGGTATGATATAATAAGAAAAAGAAGACATTTCCAACATAATTTTGGGTAAAAGGTCAGAAATGTTGAGATGAATGGTTTTGTTTTACAGGAAAAAAAGACCAGTAATAGTCTTTTGATTGAATTAGTACTGCCTTTAATTTTTAACAAGCGTAGATAGGTCGGCCAGAGTTCATTCTCCATGAAGACCATGATGACACAGAGTCATTTGATGAACTGGTTCATGACATACAGTACATCACTGTTTACAAAACTGAATGAGGTAAACGGCGTCAGCCCTGTTGGAGCTCTGTGGCCTAATTATAACACATTGCATGACTACAACTTTTCATATTCCCACTTCAGATCTGAATGTAATGGACAATCTGTCACTCCTCCTCACAACCTTGTTCTATTTATATCTTTGCATCATACCAAGTTCTGCAGGTCAAACACTGCTAGATAAAGTAACATTGTGGAGTCCCATTTCCTGATCACTGTTGTTTGTTAATAATTTAGGTGCAAGAAGTACTGAAAAGGGATATAGTGCCCACCAGCCTTTAAATTAAAATCTATATTTTGCTCAATGCCAGCTAGAACTCATATAGCCTACTATAAGAGGTATAGTAAGCATTTGAGGACACATTTAGAGCTGTAATTGAAATGGAGGATGTGCATTTTTTCAGCCTAAAATCCTCACTTATTCCCCATTGGATCTAATTTTCTTGATTTGCAGTGCATTGTGGGAACTGCTGGCAAAGTAGCCTGGTAAAGGATTTCAGTCTAGAGGGCCAGGATGTATCGAGGGTACAGGCTTTAGTAGTTGATGTGATTTCTTTGATGAACTTCCGATCTACTATCCTCTCAGTGACATCAGCGGTAGTGTGATGGGTTGTGTAAACACGTGGATGATAATCAGTATGAGGAGACTGTCAGAGCAGGTGGGTGGAGCAGTAATAGGCTACTGAATGACTTACATCATTTGAATGAAGAACTACATGAAAAGTGGTGAGTCATGCTTTAAAGTTGATTAAATAACCTCACCCTGTCAATGTAAGCACATTTACTCATTTAAGTTCTGTACCTCAGGTATTTTATGCAACTTTATACTTATACTCCTTTACATTATACAGTATATACACTACATTTTGGAAGCCAATACTATTTAGTCCACTACATTCATTTGACATTAGTTAACTAATGTGATTACTACTTACTTTGCAGGCACAAGTTATCAATACAAAATATAAATCAGCTAATAAATTATTATTTATTATTATGGATCAAGCTGGCAGTATACTTGAAGTTAATTATAATGCAGTGATATAATATATTATTCTGAAATGGGCCATTATGGTCATAATGAGAACTTTTTGGTACTTTAAGTGTATTTTAAATAGGATTTTGGATGATGAAGACTTGCAACAGAGTATTTCCACTCTGAGGTCCTGTATAAAAGGAGGTCTGAATACTTTATTCCACCACTGTATCTATCCTAGAGTGACACAAGAACATGCCACATCACTTGTAGGCTATATGAGCAGTACAATGACAAACCACACGGCTTGTCGTGCAGGCTATCATCAAAATTCAAACACAACGTACTCATCTCGAGGACACATCCCGTCCTGAAATATCCTATCGAGAGGGATGACAGCTTGACCGAGAAACACGTCCAGTCCGATGAGCACCCGGTGCATGACGGTGAGGACCAGATCCCCGCTCCCGGGGGGGTAAGCGCCCCGGCCACCGTCCTCCAGGATCCCCGGGAGGAGCTCGAAGCAGCACTCCTCGTTCCACTCGGGCACCTCCGCCTTCTCCACCAGCCCGGTGGTGTACTTCTCCTTCCCCACCTGGATGATGGTGTAGAGGTAGCGGCTGCCGTGCTTGCCCTTGGTTCGCAGTCCTCTTGCGCGGAGGACGGTGACATTCACATGAGTGGGCACCCATCGCTGATCATCGTCCAGATCTATCAGTGACATCATCTTGCACCGCTATACACACACACAGTGGCTGCCTATGTGTCCTTTATGATCGTAGTTTCACTTCTTAACAGCTGATTGGGAGATCATCCCCTTGGCGTTGAGTTTCCGTGCTGCGCAAAAACACCTCTGCAGAATATCTCCAAAGTCCCCCCCCCGGAGCCTGTGAGGGTTTACCCGAGGTCAGTCTTCAGACAGCAGACCAGGCCTATATGTTCAACTTGAAGCTCTGCATGCCATTCCCCCCAAATTCAATCAATGCAAACCAAGTTATGCGAGCTGCGCACTGAAATCCCCCCAAAGTCCGCGCTCCGTACATTGTCGCATGACATCAGTTAGTTTACTGTCCGAAATCTGCTCATTGTGTTCACGGCCCGCCCTCCTCTCCACAGCAGCAGGCCCGCATACAGCGAGAGAGATGCCGCAGAATTAAAGAGAAACACCCAACCAAAGCTTTATCAGATACTCCGACACTCGCAGCATGCAAACACTGGCTGCTGTACGCGGAGCTGCCCACTCACACTGTGGACATGTGAGCAGTGGAGAGACACTCAGGAGCTTGTCCTCGTATGAGACACTAGAAAATTCGGCCACTGGAGTTTCTGGGCGGAACCCTCCGTGAAAAGTACATTTTCCTCAATTTTTAAAAAAAAAAAAAAGAAGAAAGAAAATGTGCAGCTCGTCCTGATTATTCTTTGAGAATTACCGTTTCCAACAAAAACCTCTGGAACAATGTGTAACCACGTGCAGCAGGCTATTGGTGCAAAATGTCGAGATAAAATGTCGTTGCACAAATTAACTGGATTATGTAATTACAATTTGTTTAATTGAGCAATTGTTTTTTTTATTTTAACCATTAATATACCATCAAGACTGATCTCTTCTTTCTAGTTTTTACTTTATTTTATTGACACATTTCCGTGTACTATCCTCGCTGTCGCGGACCTGCGCAAACACAATATTACAGTATAGTCCTTTTTTTATATATTGGACGGAGAACAGCTTTTACTGCTGGACTTCATCAGGTTCACTGTCATTCTTGCAACTACAATGCCATCTACTGGAGCTCAGTGACAAGTCAGTGTGAGGGGAATCAAGACAAAGAGAGTAACTACATACTGTCACACAGACATATATGGAAGCCTCCCAGGTGGAGGTGCTGTACTCACATCCTGTTATTTCTCTCTAACCTAATATAACATTACAAATCACCCGATTCCTTCAAATGTCTGCTGACCTGATGCAGTCATAATACATACAGAGATATTTGTTTCACACAGGCCTTTTTCACAGCAGACATTTTGACTTGTTAGAGTAGGAAAGTCACAGGTGTTTCTAATACTACTAATGATGGCTGTGTGTTATTAAGACTTGACAGCGTGAACAGCACCAGCATCCTGAAAGTGAATCAGTGTAATGGAAGTAGAGAAGGTAGAAGACATTGCAGGTGTGAATGCAATATGCAATGCAATGAAAAGTTGACATTAAACTGCATTGCTGGCTTTAAAAATGAAAGATGTGGAATATTTTAAGGTTTCTTAAAAAGCTGACACTAAACTGAATTGCTGGCTTTAGTTTGTCTGAATAATGGCTGCGAGCTGCTGCTCGCTTTAATTTCACACATTACTGCACTGTTTGCGCAGGAACCTTACAGAAATCTAACATCCAATTTCCTTCACTGGATTTGTGAACAAAAAATATACTTGGATTTTATTCAACTTTTGTTCTTTTTTTGAATACATTAGATGACAAAGGCTTTAATTCAGTAAAACAGGTGAAATGAGCCTGTGGTACCGCTACACAACCAGTGTGGTGAGTTTCCACATCAGTGCCCCAGAAGTACATGTGGTTGGAAGCCTTGAGCTCTTTTCTCTGCTACTCTAAGGTGTTCCTGCCCTCCATGGTCGAGGTATGGGGGGGGGGGTGTTAACAATGTCACTTTGTTTGTGTAAACATTTCATTAAGTCTGTGAATATATCCAGGGCTGACATCCCTGTGAGTGTGTGTCCTTCTCACTAAAATAACCGGTGTGAATGTCCGAACATGTTGTTTACAGCCAGTGTACGTCGTAGTAGTCAGTAGCCTACTGATTGATTGAATGCATATGTGAGTGACTGTGGCCGACAATAATCAGAGGTTGGTGATGTTGTTCATGCTAAACATTTCCCTTTTTACCAATGTTTGCACATAATGTAAATACTACAGTATGTCAGATCCGATCACAAACCTGCAGACCACCAATCCTGCACAATTTAACATTGATTGCTATTTGTTATCCTAGATTTGATGCTATTTAATGACAAAAAACACTTAAAAAAAGTCTAGAATAATGCAATTTTTGACAAGTTTGCATAACATTTATATAGATAGATAGATAGATAGATAGATAACTTCAACCATCCAGCCACCAGTAAACCATCAGTGTAAGTTTTCAGCTTCGGTGCTTATTTTATTTATTATAAATAAAAAACAACAGAAGCTATTAGATTTGTAAAAATCCTACTGATGTTTCACAGTGTTGATAACAGCCACTTTGAGGGTAAAGGAGTAAATACAAATAAACGCTCACATTCAGAACAGCAACACAACGACAGAATCCAACTGTTTAAGGTTTCTGTGGCACTTTTCTACTTGGCTTTTTAAGAGAGAGACGTGGTATTTCAAGAACACCTCACACAATACTGTACTTTATATTACACATTTACACAGCACTGTTGACGTGGCAAACTGACCTAATAAATCTGGTACATTCAAACGTAGAAAACAGTGTCATGAAGTGAAGTTACTGAGTACTGTAAAAACAGTCAAAGAATAAAAATGATTAAATTCTGTTCAAAGACTCCTTACTGGGGCATGGCTTTAGCCACAGTGAGACACATAAAAGTGCAAATAAGAGCTTCAGAGAGAAAGAAGTGCTCGATTTTCTCCACTTGGGTCAACAGCATTTTTTAGAAATGGATATTTTCTGTAATTTCTGTGATTACATGATTCAAAACACACAAAGCATCAACACTTTATGCTGTGGAGGTCTGGAATCGGGTTTAAGGCATTATTATGTGGCAACTGCTTTAAATAAAAAGACATACTGTTCATTCATCCAGAGTTAAAAAGTCTGTAATGTAAAATGCAACAGATTACCTTGTAGTTGGATTTATACCAGACTTTTTGCATCAGGATGAATAAAATAATCAGTGATGGAGAAAATATCTTATTGATTGTTTTTCCCTTGTGTTGTTTTTTTCTGCAAATCTGCATTTTAATAATTAGAATAACATATAAGAACAAATATCAGCATTATATTGCTGCCTTATAATATTTCAAACACATTTAGGCGACCTGTGAAACCTTTGCAGGTGTAAAAACATTTGCAGGGCCAGTTATCAAACTTGACTTTGGTGGAAGTTGTACTGGAAAGTAATTACAATTATGTAATTAGTCTGTTTTAAAGAGTTGTGAATACAACACTGTGGCTGTCTGTGTGCCTAATTACACACATTTTATTTTTTTCATATCCTGAAATCTGCTGTAGGAAATTGAAACCAGGACCAGCTTTGACCAAAACTTCTTTCAACCCAAGTGAAGCTGCATTTGAGCACATTGGAAAGACTTTGTGTTTGAGTTCACTTAATAAAACATCAGAATAAATTTAAATTAAGAAAAAACGGGGATGCAAAGTGCAAGACTACAGGTAACAAAACATGACATTCTCAGAGGCACTCCTGTAGAGGGGTTGCAAGTAAAGGTGCTTCGCCAATGATGCAGAATTTTGCAGAAACATATTAAATGCTACTTTCCGTGATGGAGGGTGTGTGATGGCTGTAATAAGTCTCTAACTTGGGCAACATTAACACAAATAGCTTCCTGATTAAGGTATGCATGTTAAGTGTGAAAACATTCACTGGGACTCCATCCCAAAACACAGAACAAACAGAAATATTCCACTGATAGTGACATAACGATCAAAACAACAAACCATAGAAAAGGTAGCAAATGGAAGACTCAAATATTGTGTTTAAAACACCCGTTTGGAGTCAAATTTTGACTAAACAAAGTTGTAGGTATAAAAATGGCAAAAAAAGCTAGAAAACTAAAAAGAGAAACTGCTTCAGAGTGACTGTGTTATATTCTGTTTGATAAACTTCTGGAATGTTTTCTTCACTTTGTAAAGTGACAGGATAAGGTCAGTGTTTTGGGATATGTTGTTGTACAGCTACATTTCCGGCATTTGTCTTTTTAATTCCTCCTTTCAACTTCAGTCCGATTGGCCGTTCTGGCATCCTTTTAAATACAGCTCGTCCTGCGACAGATGTCCATCAAAGGCGTCCATGTAGAGGCTGCTGGTGCTGCTGCCGCTGCTGCCCAGGAACGTGCCAACCGCTCGGCCCTGACGAGCGTGACCGACGGCATCGCTGAACACTTTGTTGATCTGCTCCTCTGAGGGCATCCACCAGTCTGGGTTTGAGGCACAGTGCATCCGGATGAACTCTATCGAGGAGATTTTGAATCAAAAAAAGATTAGAAATCAAAGTTGTATTATTGGAAATCAAAGCAAGCCTCGATTTTTAAGAGGGTTCAACAGGAATGAGGTTTTGAAGAGGGAAACCAGTTGTGTTCTGTATCATATTTGTGATCTAATCCTTTTTAACTTCACTTCACACAAAACCATGTTAGTTGGACTATCAATGCTCAATCTAATAAAGATCTTTCATAGACCTGATCTTTCTGTCTCAACTCCATATTTCAAAGTTAAACAACATCAGTTACAATGTATGCAATGACAATGTTAAAGTCGCCTATAGTGATGAACTTATAGATATTACACCTGCTTACAGCTCAATGCACCGCTGTGCCTGATTACAACATGGCTGTAGACTCTTGTTCAAGCAGAAATGTGAAGTATTCACTGCTTCCAGTTTCTCACAAAACACGCTTTTCTCCGTCATACAAGATATAACACTAAATATTTTGGGATCTTTAGTCAAATAACTGACATTTAAAGATATTTTAAAGACAAACAGTTGAACAATTAATTGGGAATTTAAATGGCAGAATAATTGATAATGAAAATAATTGTTAGTTACAGCCCTACAGTGTAGAAACACAATGACTTTAGATGCTTCCACACAAGGTAAAGGTTCCTGAATGGTTTGATGACAATAAAAATGATGTAAATCATACACTGTGGCCTTCACAGTCACCAGCTATCACCTGAATCTGCGGTTCCCCTCGGCTCTAAGCAGCGTCACAGACAGTTTGAACTCATTGTTTAGCATAACTTTACTGTTTTGATATTGGGATGATATGTCAGTATTGTCTTCACAGCTTGTTTCCACTGTCCCCAAGAGACAAAAAAATTAAATTAAGAAAATTAATTATTGCAGGTTTAAAATAATCAGTGTGTGAGACAGCTCGGTAAACAATGGTTGTTTTATGTCTCACATAGAATAAAATAGGGTGTCAAGCAACAGAAATCAAGTGCTGAAGGAAATAAGAAGAAAACATGTTCTGATTGGTTATAACTGAAATTATATAACCACAAATTGGATTTGTGTCAGATCTCAGGCCGAATATAATAAGATAAGATAATGAAATTTTAATATTTTATGTTTTCATACTGTTAAAAAAATCACATCTGTGCCAAATGTGAACCAAAACCATTTGCTCGCCACATGAACATATAACTCATATTGTTACGAGCCCATTAATAATGAGCTCACTTGAGAGCTATTGCAGCTTTTCAATTCTGAAACACGGGTCATAGGAGTGGAGTTCTCTAATAAGTATTGTAATACATCATTCAAACAACACTGAATTTTATATGCAGACATTTGCCAGAGCTGTATGTGCACTACCACTGTTCTACCACTGTTTCACATTCACACTGAGTAGAACTGAAGCATAATGCAGATACTACTTTTCCCGGCCGTGTACCTCTGAGGCAGCTGACTTTGACGGGGTTTAGCGGCCGTCTCTCCAAGCCTGGATCTCCTGAGTGGACTGAACGCTTCCTTTTGCCCAAACCGCAGGAGAACTTGAGCTCGTCAGTGGTGAAGACGTAGCGAATCAGGTAGCGCAGCAGCCGTCTGCCATCTTTCTTAGAGGAGTTGACGGCTTCATCCCACTGCTTATTAGTGATGAAGAGAGGATAGTTCTCCAGGAGCTGTTTGCTGCCCTTCAGGGAGGAGGAAGACAGGGAGTTTAGGTATGTCCATAGTCTTACTGCACCTGGAACTGAACTGCTCATGCAGCTTATTTTATTCCAAATTCGACTGCATTGTTTAAAGTTTTGTCTGCTTTGAAACTGACTTCTAACCTTTAAGATGCAGCTTATTTTAACTGAAGTAATGGATGGTTCTTTCTGTGTGCACAACATCTGGTGTCAATTTCACTAATGCGCCACCTCTTTCTGTTGGTTTTACAGGCAAGAATACACACAAATATATCCTTGACAGTGTTAAAAAACAACAATTATTATAGGCTTCAATAAAAACACAAACCTCAAAGACTGTTTGCCGTTCTTCTTCCTGTAGAGAGAGTATTCTTTAATTGCACATTTTCACACTTCAATTAACACAATGAAGAACTTAATGCAGGATATATTTTTAAAACTTAACATATTCTTCTTATAACACATGCTGTAAATAACTGTGAACAATGTATATGAGCCAGTTTTCTCACCTCGGTGAGCTGCTCCTCTGGCATCGGCTGCACCAGCTGGTTATGAAACTCAAGAACAGTCTTGAAGTAGTCAAGAGCATTTTGACAGGGAACTGTACAGAAATGTGACCAGTCATACAAACACATAAATAGACGACTCATCTGGTATATAATCAAACAATAATAAAAACCTCCAATATCTCCATAAAAGATCATTTTCACTTTAATGTTTAGTGATTTTAAATTGAGATATGTGCAGATAAAATGAGCCGTTTAGTGTAAATTAGGTTAAGGGGACACTGGGGAGCTCATAATGCTTTGGGGAGAGCAGAGAAGTTATCAAAAATAGATGCTATTAGGACTGTTGCCCCAAACTGTGATGCATTTAGATGTAGTGAGAGCTTGTGGCTTTCTGAAACTGATGACACACAGAAACTTAACCCAAATTATTGAGGTCTAATATTGACAAACTACATGGATATGTGGGTTTGGTACTGATTAATGCTGGCCTTTTTGATCAGAAAACATTTTCAGCGTATTTTCTCTGATACAGAAGTGACAAGAGAAACAGCATGGATAGTTAGTTTATTATATGTTAAAAATAGTCGATTAATCTATCTACATAAAATTGTCCCTATTGATCTACTTTTCTAGTCATTTCATATTTTTTTCACCACTTTTTGGTTCAGACTGAAATATTTCAACAACTCAAAAAGCAGTTTTTCAATGCCTCGTATGAAAATTACAAGAGCACAATGGACATAATCCCAATACATACTTTTTTTAAATGGAAACAAACCATTTAACACCCAGTTGCAAGTAATGAACCAAAGCATCTGTATGTGTCTCATAGTTCAGTGAGGGCATTCAAAACCCATGATGAGTTTCTGTCTGTTGGATCGTTGTGTTGTTTCTATCGATCCTGGTTTGATATTGACAAATCTCTGATTGATCACATTAAAACCAGGATGTTGATCCTGAATGTGACATTTCAGCAGAAACTGCAGTGCAAGACGGATTAGACTTGAAATTGCCAGGAAAAAAATAAACATTACTGGTTTTGTAGTTGATTCACACTTACATTACTGTACAACTTACTATCAGTAATTTAATTAACTTAAATTTTAAAGGCAGTGGTCACTAATATTTTATGTTGAACCAATTTTAAAATTTTTAAAGTGTATTCATATTTTAAGCACTGAAAGGCAAATCGTAATTATTTGAGTGCACACAGACATTTTGTGCTCTATTCTACTTAACTAACAAGGTTTAACTTTAGTTTTAAACTTTAGATTGCACTCTGAGGATTATGAAGCACAGTGACAGGTATGTTACAGTAATTTTCAGCAGTTAAGATAATTTATTATGAAGCTGCAACAGGGTTTGTACAAAAGATGTTTTTTTGATCACAAATTCCACATGCAGGGAGCTGCCCTCTCTGGTGTCTTGTTTAAAACAGGATGGAGGCATAAAATATAAATTATTTCTAATAATTACTACAGTAGACATTTGATAACTAAAAACAGGAACTAGCACATAAATAAATGATTTGTTCCTCAGACTCATTTTCATGGCTGCAGGGAGGAAAATAGGCAATATGCTGCAGAGGAGGGGAAACTATGAAGCTACTCATTTATGTGTACAGACTAATTCATTTTATAATTAAAGGCAGATTGTTCCACTGACATAATACTTAATAGAAAAATGCAAACAGCGGTTTCTATACATTTTCATATCACCATTTTCTATAATCTTTGTTCTTCGCAGCCAAACAAAGATGAAGGCCTTAAACCTGCTCTCTCCTTATCAACTGTTTACTTGCATTTGCTGCCACCTTTGACATTATGTTCTGCAAAACTAAATACATTTCTTAAAATAGAATTGTGTTTTTATTTCAATGGTATATGAAGGGGTACTTTAAATCGATATAAAACAACTAGAAAAATTAATGAAAAATATATAATCGTGCGACAGGATTATATTATATTTTGTCACAGGTCGAAGTGCCGGAAATGGCCCCCAGGCCGGCAGTATGAGACCCCTGAATTAGAAAAAGGGTGAAAGCCTTGGCCCCCAAATCATAAAAATCTGCCACGGACCACTAAATCAGGGAAGTATCTTTTAGAAGCTCCAGAGCTGTGAAGAATCTGTGGCAGCTGTTCTGGTAGCTCGTAGTGGAACAGCACCTTTAAATTGTCACCAATCTATATCAACACAAGTATGAATTCAAATCAAACCCCTTTGACATCCTTTCATTACTGCACCTGGGATGTTCTCCAGCTTGTTGCGGAGCTCCTCGTTCTCCTGCTGCAGAGACAGCACCTCCTGCTCCAACTCCAGGCAGCGCGGACAGCAGTTCTCCTCCTCCTCTTCTTCCTCAGGCAGCGTGGATGATGGGTGGCCGTACGACTCTGACGGAGTCGGCGAACCCCAGCCCCCCAGGTTGTGTCTCGGAGGAGACACCCCAGAACCGGGCTCCGCCAACGGACACTGCTCATCCTCCAGACCCACAGCCAGATGTTGCTGCTGCTGAGGCCCTGAGAGCAGATAGTTCTGTAGGGAGTCTGTGAAGATGCGGAGAACGGCAGAGGTCTGTTGTTGGCTCAAATGGCTTTGTTCGGCCTCCTCTTCTGGGTCTGTGGTGGAAGAGCTTTCTTCAGGTTTGGACTTCCCCAGTGAGGAGCAGTGAAGCCCCTGTACCTCCTCTGGCCCGTCTTCCAGCTTGATGTTAGAGGTGAAGGAGGAGGAGGAGGGCTCCAGGAGACGGCCGTTGTTGAGGAGGCTGAGGACTCGGCTACATTGCTGGGCAAAGGCATCCAGGATGAGACGATTCTCTGTGGCGGAGAGAAGAAAAGACAAGCGGTCAGAGCCACTCTGCAGGTCCGTCCTTGCTGTAGAATCACAGAATCTACTGCGTTCATAGACAAACTTTTGACCTTGGAAACAGCAGTTTACCTCAAGATCTATTTAATAGCTGTTCTGGAGCTTTTATATGACATGGTCCTCACCAGTCTGCTCAGTTTCCATGTGAAGGAAAGAAGGAAAAAGGAGGCAGAAAGAACCAAAACCAGTGAACACAGAGTCACTCATATTGTTTCACCTCATAGGGAACTTCATAATGTTTCAGTGCAGCAAATATAATCTCTGATTATTATCTCTAAATAATCTCACCAGCGTCCATTAAGTAACTTTTCTGGAGCTTTTGACTGTATAGCAGCAGAATGAGTTGGTCCATTGCCATAGAACAGCAGATGTTCAACATGGGTGAGAAGTCCTCGAGCTGCTCAGGATCTTGGAAAGTTTTAACATCAACGGTTCCAAGCAAACTCAATCGGCTGACAAAGACCATGTGATGCAGTCAAAAGCTCCACAACAGCGACTGTATCTATCATCTGGCTTTAATAGACATCATTCTTTGCACTACAGCAGAGTGGTTTACTTTAGGAAAAGTATCAATAAGTGCTGAAGTATTAAAAGTATTAAGTGTACTTCAAGTATCACAAGTAAATGTGACATTATTAGGGTTGTTAATATAGATCCATCAGTGTCTAAGCAGCAGTTTATTGTTACAGCTGGTTGAGGTCGAGCTGGATGTAACTGCTTTGTATACAGTTGTTTAGTCCAGGTTTTTGACCTCGGGGTCAGACAGTGGAAAAGTCAGAAAAAAAAGAAGATTTTACTACACAACTCTGTATTCATATTTTTGAATCTTTGCTTTTATTGTAAACTATGGTGTCATTTGACGTCTTTGGGCCTTGAAAACATGTTTAATGAAGCCATCTGAGAAGTTTAGAGGGGACATTTTCTGTAGTGGAACTGACAAGTCATAAACATTTGAAATGTGAGAAGGGGCTTCAATTGTTTTATTGTACAGAGGTCACAAACCAGAAAGGTTGATACTACTGGTTTTATTTTTAACAATGCATTCTACTTTAAAAACTTAAATCATATGTTTTTAATGCACAACCTGTAGTAAATAGTGCAATATTTCCCTGAGTAAAAGCAGAAAGTAGCAGAAAATAGAAGGTGAAGTACTAGTACCTCAGTAGTACAGTACTTGAGGGATCATACAGAGCATACACACTTCTGAAAATGGTATAAGTGGTTCTGTGATTCTTTGGGCCTCCCTTTTTCTTTCTTGTTCAGCGTGTTATTGTGGCGAAGCTCTCCATAACAGTAACATACAGTTGGCACCTCTGTTCATAGAAATGTCAGCTTGATTATGTTGATTTATTCAGATGTCAATAAACTCACAGTATCTGCTGTGACCAAACACAGCAAAGGAAATCAGCACAGAGCCATTGTCCAGAAACAAGCCTCAGTGTATAGTTTCCCTGGTAGTCTGAGCACGTCTCAATGAGATGATCTCACACATACCTCCATGTAATGATTATCACTGGCCTCACACTCTTACACACACACACAAATATACACACAGGCAAAATGAGTTCTAGGCGGCCACTGCTGCGTTGCCACTCGCTCAGACGTGTCTATCAGCCTGGCGCAGATGTGTCGCATTTATTAATATGCGTGCTGTCTCTGTTTACCCGTCGAGATGTATCTGATATCATTCGCCTTCACCCTGCACCCCCTCCTCCCAAAACCCACCCACTCCCCACTACCACCACCACCCCACTCTCTTCGCTCACCAGTTCTGTGGCACCGTGAGCTGAGAGCCTCATAAAATTTCATTAAAAACAACACGCTCGGCAGAGGCAAATTTATGAGCCCCATTTATTTTAATCACAACTCTTTGGGAAAGGCTTCTCAATGCAATTTGTGTTATTGTGTGCTGAACTGATTGCTGATGCCCAGGGGTCTCTGGTGCTTCTCCTCATGAGAAGGGCATCAAGTTTTTTTTTCTTTTCCAGGCCTGAGAGGGACATTAAGTTGCTCATGCCGTGCAGATAAAAGCACTTTGATGTGTCATTATCAGTAAGAATGCACGGCACGTTTAGCTGGGATTGGATGATACATCTTGTGTAATATGGGTAGATTTACTGGAGCAGGGAAAATATAATTTTGTGTGATTATTTCATAAGTGAAATTAGGACCACGTGCATGCCAGAATGGATGCAAACAATGGGCCATCATCCCTGAAACCTGGGCGTTATACTTACAAGGAATCAGGCAGGCTTTCACAGATTGAAGTGGGTTAAAGATATGATGTTAACGCCTATTTTTAGATCAAACCTGTAATACTTCATGCACACATTTGCCAGTTCTCATGAAGGTGAGCTATTATAGGGCTACAGTGCAACCTGAGCTCAGCCTGAACACTTGATTGTCTGTAAAGCAACAATAACCAGCAGCAAATTGAGCCTGTGCTGCCAGCGGTGATAAAGAGATTAATATCTGATTAGAGGATGAGACGTCTAATGTTTAATTTCATAACTGCCTGGATTAGGTTCATTGCTTTCATCTTAATTCCCATGGACCCGCCCTCCACACGGGGAACACATTTCTTCCTGAGACTGCACAGCCCTCTAATGAAGAGCAGCTGAGGAGAAAAATGAACAATGTGTTTCAACCGGAGATTGTGAGGGCCCTTCTTGCACACACACACACACACACACACACACACACACACACACACACACACACATGAAAACACACACAAGTAAACACACACACACACACACACACACACACACACACACAAGAACAGACAATTACCCAATGTAATTTTTAGCACATGCACACTGGAGATTCAATCATGACTGCTCTCATTACAACAGCAAATCAATCACTGCTGACAGGGAGAGAAAGAGGAAGAAATGGGAACAAAAACAGGAAGCTCAGGTGATGTAGAGCAAACAAAAGAGATGCTTGCGTTTAATGGCATACTGTTTTGCCTCCCATCCAAGTTTATTGACTTTACGCTCATATATCTGAGCAACTAAAATCCAAAATATGCACCAGAATCTGGACAATCTCAGGACACCAGAAAAGTCCTAATACCCCTAATCCAAAAGAATAAAAACAACTCTCATCACTCACTCTGAACAAGTTTGAAAACCCACCTGAGCTGATCCCGTAGGTGCAGTCAGGGGAGAATCTGGGCTCCGCGCTGCCGCTGCTGGCGCGCCGCTGCTGGGTACCAGGAGATGCTGCCGCCGCCACGCTGCCCGCCGGCGCTGAGGTGGATGTCGGGACCCTGCTGCTGGGCCTGTTCTCACATCGGAAACGATGCTGCTGCTGCTGCTGCTGAGGCGTCGGGTGATGCTGCTGGCTGCTGCTGATAGCGACGCTGGTTTGGTGGAGCTGCTGCAGACGCTGCTGCTGCTGCTGCTGGTGGTGGTGATGGTGATGGTGCGGCTGGAAATGATGAGGCTGCTCGGGATGAAAAGTGAAGTGATGCCCGTCGCCGAACAGAGGCACCTCGACCACAGCGGACCTGTCAAAGCGCGACTTGCCCGCCGAGCGCTTGCTCTGGAAGGTTTTCAGGGTGCTGTACGGACCCCGTTGTTGTCGGCACATTTTCGGGGCGCAGGGCCCTTCGTCTGCGGGCTGCATCTCTCCCTCCATCCCTGCCAGGTGTCACAGCGCGGCGGATGGCTCCGGGTCGGTATTGTGGCGTGCTGGTGTGACAGGCAGCTGATGACTTGGAAGGGGGTGGGGGGAGATCAGATCCGTCACTGTCTGGCTCGGTTTCCCTCATGCACACTGTGTGAAGGGTGGGCTAATTTACTGACAAGCCGCCGCTCCAATCCCCAGTCGGGAGCGCCGATACTGAGACTCTTCCAGGGGGAAATACAGGCGGGACTTGTGCGCCGCTGCCAGCCTCCTTTGTAGCCACCATCCACACAGAGAACAACGGGGCGCTATTACAGTTGTACAATCTGAAAAATGAAAAAAACGCACAACGAAATCCGACTAATGAAAAGGCAGAGGCCATTTTGCTACTGAGCTCAAAGCATCAATAGAGCAACATGAGCGCAAAGGAAAGAGAAAGGCTGCCCACACCCAGACATACAGTGGGAGCTTAAAGCGAGCAAACAGTGCAATAAATTACATAATTACCATTTCATTTTTTCTTTCTGTAAATGGTTTTATTGCTGTTCCAATAGATTAAAGTAATACAAACATACATTATCTCTACCTTTCGGTTCTAAACGCAGCAGAATCTGAAGGTTTTATTCTTTGGATCCACATTTATACTCTTTTAAAAAAAGTTTTTAAACGACCCACTGTCTGTAAATAAAGTCAGAATTATTTACCTTTTATGTGTGAAATCCTTAGTTTACAGGCTGGTGTGGCAGCTGCAGCCCGCAGGGATAAAAGTTTGCAGCCCCACATGGGGGCGCCACATTAACGGGTTACAGACAGAAGATTTAATGGATGGAGGAATGGAAAAGACCTGCTGCTCATTACCATAAAGGGTTTTTTTTCTCTCTTTTTCAACAGGCCAGACAGGTCGGAAGTTTTTACCTCTGTGTTATATCAAAACACCAACAAGTGCTTAGTCAATATTATTTAGACACCAAACTAAACATGGCTGCAAGCCAAGGATGACGGATATAGTTATAGGCACATAAAGTCCCTATGAATGCTCTCAATACAAATATTAATAAGATATTACAATAACCTTAAAATCGTTTATTATAAGCCACCAAATCAACTAGTTTTAACTCCCTCGTCTTCCTCTCATTGAACGTTTTTAATGTGTAACTCTTGCTGAATAGCAGCTTTTATGGCAACTAAAAGTGAGAATTACATGATTTAGTTTAGTTTGGTTTTTATGTTTTAAGGAACTTCTCTCAACAGAAAAAAAACTGTTAACCTGAGTTAGACTGATTTCCATCTGTGGGGTACCTAGTGAGGTATTGAAAGACACACTGAACACTAAAGTAGAGGTGCTGAATGCTCAAATTTAGTGTTAAAACATTATGTAACAGTTGCACAAGATTTGAGGAGTCAGCAAACTGACAGTAGAGGTAGTTTCATAGTAACATCTGGAATCTACACATTGTTCATGTTAGGTAACATTAAAGCTGCTGGTCATAACAGAGCAAGTCGCCTGTAGCAGCAAAACCCCTGAATGTATTTAATTGCTAATTCATTTAAGTGCTTTATTAGCCTATTTATGAAGTCCTCTAACAGGAAATTGTTTCTTCTTTCAAAGTAGCCTACTTGGTCTCACTTTAAATGTCAAGAAGCATTTCTTGTGTTTTTTTTCTCTGAATTTGACCTATTTTGTGTGTCATGTCTTTAATTGTACACACATTGTACATAGGCTTTAGTTTAATCTAAAATGTAAAGACAATGATTTTATTGTATTCAGTGGTCTTCTTATAAGCACTGAGGTCGTCTCCCATGCAGAATAAGCTAATTAAGATAATGTATGCATGTTGTTTGAGCCCTTTCATTGCTCTGAATAACTGGCATCAGTGCACCGCTGCGACCACCGCGCCTGGGGTACGCGCACGCCCGGTGTGGGGTTTACGTGCGCGCGTACAGAGCCCGAGTCACAAAAGCTGCAAGTCTCCAGTGAGGTGGGCGCACAACTTTTCTGCACCGACATCAACAAACGGAGTGCAGGAGCAGGAGGGAGAGCGGAGAGAGAGCAGATTGTTCGGGTGAGAGGAGAGTTCAGAGAGGATGTTTTAAGAAGGATTCTCTCACTTTGCAATCCGGAAACTTTTTTTTGGCTCAAAGCGGTTCGGATGGTCGGGAAGATGACAGTGACATAGCTTTACATCTTCGGACTCATTCACCGAGTTTCTTTTGTGAGTAAATCCATCTCAATGAAGAGTCTCTAACCCGGAGCGGCACTCTCCTGAAGCCCACAGGACGCAGGGAACCGAGAACCGCAGCGGGTTGCCGGGATGCTGCGCCTGCTGAACTGCCTGCTGCTGGGATATCTGACCTGGAATCTGCGGATATCAGACGCACAGGGGGAGTACTGCCACGGCTGGCTGGACGCTAATGGGAATTATCACGAGGGTTTCCAGTGTCCGGAGGACTTTGACACCATGGACGCCACCGTGTGCTGCGGCTCCTGCTCGCTGCGCTACTGCTGCGCCGCCGCGGACGCACGGCTGGACCAGGGCATCTGCACCAACGACAGGGAGGTGGACAACACCGAGTTCGCAGCGCGTAAGTTTAGACGGTTTAAACACGTGTTTGGTTTATTTTAATAGTTCGTCTTAAACATGCATTAAAAAGACTTTTTTTCTCCAAGTGTCCCCCAAGTAACACAGCTATTTAGTTAAACCTCACATCAAAAGGGCAAATTAATTCAGAGTTAAACTAGATTGCATAAAAAACTCCACAAATACATACACTCATTCTTAAATCAAGTGTATTTAACCTAAATGTAATCACATAGTAAATTAGTTTAGTCTAATTTATGGATTATATGAATTTTATCTGTAGGAAAGTTCCTTCAGAGAGGTCAGAGGTCAGCTGAATAACGTCAGTAAAGAGCAGGTTTCAGTGCCTTGCTCAAGGACAGTTTCCACTCACCACGGCACCGTGTCTAATGAAATTATGTGAAATGAAACATTATCTTAAATATCTGGTGCATCTGTTCGAAGCAGACACTAATGTATGTCTCTTCAAAAGGCCAACATTCGTCCTGTTGAACACACAATAACTTCAACTTTGTTAAATTGTTAAAAAATGCAGGAAGAAAACTAAAGTAGACATTGGTGTGTTAAGAATTACACTTTTTTTGATGTATCTGGTCTGTTTTATAGGTTTGGAAGTTTTTCTGATGCCACCTTTTCAGTTACTGCTGTTTATTTTGTACTCGCCAGCTTGAATCAACCAAAGTGTCCAGTTTCCAGCACCTGCTTTAATCTCCGCTCCTCATTTGACCTCAACTCCCTGCAGATTGCTATCAGCGTAAAAAGGAAGTTTGTGACGTGAGTCACTGGACAAATGTTGTTAAAACAAATTCTTTATGGATCTTTAAGAAGAAATTAGGACAAAACTTATTGGATCACAATGTAGGGATGTATTCTACCACAATCAGGCGTATTGTTTAAAATGTAAAACACATTCGCTGAGACAGCTTTACCAGCTGAGGGAATCACAAACATTATAAGACAACAACTCATTTTCTTTGGCTTATTTAAAGATTTAACAGACTTAAAGTGTTAACATTAACCCTCTGTTACTTGTGAAGTCCTTAGTAATAGGTCAGTTTAACTCTCAAGGTTGCATCAGTTTTCTTTAAATTTCCCGAACTGATAAGCTCTGGAGCTTTGACTGAATGGGCTGTGTGCTCGCAATTTCCTAATTTTTTCTTATCAAAATAAATAAACATTGGCTGATTTCCTGCAGGAGTGCAAATGGGCTTCATAGAGCGTAACCAGAGCTTTTTGTGTTGTTCAGCAGGAATGTGTCTGTTAGAGTTTGTTAATAATACTAGGAAGGATTTTAAATAATTGTTTCAGTTTCAGCCGCCATAAACAGCAGTACAGGATGTCGTTTTCAGTGACCAACGCTTTATTTTAAACCCCCATATTTTGGTTTATAAGCTCCACATATATATTTAATGTTTATTATGTAACAACTACTGTGGCCATCCACACAGCAAACAGATTATGAACAATATAGTAAAACACTGTTGTAATGTAAAATATGTCTTCCTAGATAAATAGACACTTAAAAAGTCTTATATCTGTTTACATTTATATGACACTGTGTAATACACCATTTATTAATACAGTGTAAAGTCTTTTATTCTCTTGCAGTTTTTCAGCCATTAAATTAGTTATTTTTGTGTCTCAAGTGCAATTAAATCGCTAATAACACTAATTATGTTCCTTACATGTTGACACATATTAATAACCTGCAGTTTTCAGTCCCATGAATGCGCTACTTCATTATTGGTCCTAACCTGTTTCCTCAGAGCCCATCTACGTGCCCTTTCTGATGGTGGGGAGCATCTTCGTCGCCTTCGTCGTGGTCGGTTCTCTGGTGGCCGTCTACTGCTGCACCTGCCTGCGGCCCAAGCAGCCCACCCAGCAGCCCATTCGCTTCTCCCTGCGTAGCTGCCAGGGCGAAACCATCCCCATGATCCTCACCACCGCTCCCCCGAGCCTCCGTGCCCCATCACGGCAGTCCAGCACAGCCACCACCAGCTCTAGCTCGGCAGGAGGAGGCAGCTCCATGCGGAGGTTCTCCCTCGGAGGTCAGGGGCAGCAGCAGCACGGCTGCCTGGTGTCTGCCACCGTCTCCTCGTCGGCCTCCACCCCCACTCAGACCCTTCAGACTCTACCTCCACCTCCACCTCCCCCTTACACATCTCCGCCTGCACCCATGTCAGGAGGCCTCCAACACCCCTCCACCCACGCCCAGCTACAGCTCCACCAGCCCTCGCTGACCTCTCACCCCTCTCAGAACACCGGGTTCCTCCTGCCGCAGCAGTACTTCTTCCCCCTGCAGCCCGATGCCTTCACAGCGGCCAAGGGCTTTGCAGACTTCGGACAGAGCTGACAGGGCTCCCAGGAGGGGTAATAGAGGGATTACATGATTTTTTTTTTATGGTAGGATGTGAGCCGGCGAGGACAAACACACTGCAACACAGCTGGTGGTGTTTGGGTGGAAGGCCCAGGCCGGCTCAATGGACACAGAGAGCGCCAGAGGAGGACAAGGGACAAAGCTGCCGAGGTTGAGCAACGTGGCGTTTCCCCCTCTGCATCACAGGTCACATCAACAAACCTGTTAGAGGCAGTTTTAAATCTTGTGCACTTTTATCTTATATTGTATACAGACCCTCACTGGCCTACATTTTATTTTTTATACATGTTGTTTTTCAATGTGACGTCTTACAACACAGACTGAAATCTTGCAAATTTATCTCACACCTTCCATAACAGACAGAAATACTGTAGACGGCAAAGACACTGTCACTCTGAGACTCTGAGCACCGTTACATTATTAGAAATAGACGTTCGAAACCAGGGAAATTTTGTGTTTTTTGACAATCGCAAGGACCTCCTAAAAACAGGAGGCTCTGATACACAAAGGACATTTTATTTTGGAAGAATTGTGTACTTTTATAAGATGTTACAGGCATTATAGCCAGAGCAGGGTTGTCATATCGATTCTCTAATTTACAGTAAATAAAATGTTGTCTCTCAGTACCGAACTGATAAATGTGAAGAAAAGTCTGTTAATTTACAATCCTGACATTTGAGCGTAAAGTGTGCGCTCTGAAAGAAGCCTCATCATCGTTCAAACAAAAAAGGAAACCGGAGCGGCCGGGCCTGCAAAGCAGCTCCCTACCTGTCGCTCATTCTTGCGCCAGAGTTCACAGCAGGAATGTAGCGCTGAGATCAGTCATTGTCAGTGTTCAATGAGCATGGCATGGTCACAGTGTTAAAAACAACTCGCCCCAGAAATAGAGGTTTAGGTTGCAGCAACAGGTATGGCAAACTCTCGACAAAGACCCTTCTGTTCTCCGGTTATCTGACTGTGAAATAGACGCGGCAATCAGTGTCTCACGAAACCTGCAGACTGTCTGAGGACGTTTGCGGCTACGTTCAGGGGTCCCTAAAGTCTGCTATCACTGGACTGTAACATCACAACTTCTATGATCAGTTATTTGACAGAATCCAGTGTTAACTTTTCCAGGTCTTGTTTATACTTGCAGCTGTCAGTTCAGGCTTCAGTTCTCACATTCCACGCTCTGCTTATAAAAGGATAAAACTAGTTGTGAACAAGTTTTCATGACATTTCCTAAATCTTTTGGATAGTTATAATCTTTAATGTCTTTGCCAGGTCTTGAGAAAGTTTCCAGCTTCTTTTCCAAGTTCTGCATGAAGGCAGGAATCCTGATGATTACTCCTCACACTGAAGGCTTTTACTTGTCTCACAGGTTTCATCAAAATTCAAACTTTCTAACTTCTTAAGTGACTGTGGTGATGACATAAACAACACATTAAAGTTATTATCTTCTTCTATTATCCATCATCTTAAACTTATTATCTTATTTTCATGAAATCAAACCAGCTTTTTGATACTCTTTGTGGTTGCCATTGTTTCAACAATAGCCAGCAGTGGTGGAGTCCGCCTGTCCTGCAGTGCATTCACACTGCCTACCCTCATAGAGAGGATTTAAAGGAAAAGATGCATTTACAAATTCAGTGTTAAGGTACAGCCATAATACTTTTCCATTCAATATAACTGCCTCTGAAAAAGGACATGTAACAGCTCTAATGCAGGTAATAAATTAATATTGATTAATGAAAGACAGAAAACAGCATAGAAGAGTAACGCTAGAGTTTGTATTCTGGCAGTGTGAGAATGTGCTAACTGTAGTGATGAAATATGCTGGTGCTAATGCAAGTTGGAGATGGAACCAAATATCAAATGTCAAAATGAGTCTTCAAAATAATAAAATAAATATATATATATATATTACTCTAATGGAGCCAGAAGCATCAAACACTGTTAACAGATACAACAGTTTCTCTTCTATTGTATTTATGACTTTAAATGATTTTAGTAGGGCTGGAACTAACAATAACTAATAATAATAAATCTATCTAATGATTCTTTTCTTAATTATTTTGGTCTATGAAATATTAGAAAATGGAGATACAGTCAATAACAATTATATTTTTTTAATATTATATATTTTTTTGTCCAACCAGCTGTCCAAAACCTAAAGATATTTAATTTATAATATCAAACTGGGAAAAGCAGAATATCCTCACAATTGACAAGCAGGAACCATTGAAATATTGGTACCTTAAATAATATTAAAAGTCTCCTCTCTGACTTACTTTGGTAAACTATAACCTGAAGTACATGAAGTAAAAGTCTACTTGGGTCACTTTTAATTAATCTGGATTCTATTGGTTGCATTTGTTTGTCCTGAACGCAGACTGATGTCTCTCCCTGTCTTTTCCTGTTTGGGTTCTCACTGTGCTGTGTGTCCTGTTTGTCGCCACACACAGACACAAGATGACACAGTGATTACAAACCTGCAAGTAAGCAGAAGAAATAGCAACGATAGTCACATGGTTCCTCAATGATTGTAAAGTTTATTTCAGTAGTCCTTCATGGCAGTAAAAGACAACACTTATAAGTTTGCAGTCCCAACATGCAGAACAATCATTGAACAAAATGACGGAAAAGAAGCAAATATCGAACAGAAAAGTTAAAGGTGCGTTTTTTTCTCTTTTGTGAAGTGATCAACACTTGAGGGAGAATTAAAGTAGTACAGTTAACATTTCAGAGAACAGTTTGTGTTATCCATTCATGCAGCCCACGACTTTCACAGACAACAACATGTGTTTTATGTTTTCTGGAAAAAGAAAGCAACAGTCCAAGCCTTCCACGACGACAACATCCACATTCAGCAGTTTGGAAATATTTGACAAAAATGACGACCAATTAAGTTTTAACACTAAAGACCAGCAGAGAAAAAGAATCATAAACCCTCAATAAGCTGAGAAACACAAAAGAGCTTTCTTGTAAAGCAGAGGTACACTGCATTAAGAAAACAAGTTACAAACATGTACGCTCAAGAGAAATCATATACCGAAACCAGATAATACCAGATATCCACAACTGGAAAAGGTACATCGAGTGCTTTGTGCAACATCTCCTGTCGAAGCAAGCTGAGCATCAGGAACTCCCACAGTCTGAGAGTGTGACCACACACACACACACACACACACACACACAACATTCACACTTCCCCATACGGGCCATGCATCAGCACACAGTAGTACACCATAGTTATACCTGGAGTCGTGCAGACGGACATCTGGAGCAAGCGTCACAACACACACACACACACACACACACACACACACACACACACTCTCTCACACACTCTCTCACACACACATACATACACCATAAAACAAACACACCAGGAGGACTGAGATGCCAGAAACTCCTGGATTCACATAGAGGACACAGACATGCAATGCATACATAGACATTATCCACAGTAGAGGTGACACACACACACACACAGGCACACACACACACCACATGCACATGCAGGCAATAAACTGACACTCACACACACCATCAGAAATCTGATCTCCCATAGGGAGAAGAAAGCAATCACACGGACATTAAGTAGTCAATTATAAATAAATCAAGCTGTAACAATATTAATATTAATAATAACAAGACATTTAAGAAAGCTCAGTTTCCTCATTCGATCTATTCTATCCTGCCGTTTATCAGAGGAACAAAAAACTAAAAGTTACAGACAGTTCATTACAAAGCCAGTCAATGCAAAATTCATACATCTCCAATATAAAAATACAAATCCACAAAATAACTATAGAGACAAAGTAGTTTTGATATTGTCGTGGAGTTTTCCTGGCTAATATTTCTCTCCCTTAAGCTAATGGCACTTATGTTAGAAGGATAAAATCTCCATTTTAAGGGAAACACTATCACCACTGTAAGCTTCAACAAGACCATCAGTTAGCCTCCCGTTCACCTCTGCAGGAACAAATCTTAGTTTATACATGTGCCACAAGGCACTCTGTAGTTTTCACATTGTACGAGTGCAATATTGTGGCGGGGAGACAGTGATTTTGTCTTTAGTAGGTGTGTGTGGAGCACTGGTCTAAGCTAGCTGGCTAAACTATTCTTGGCTATCTTTTTCTTCTACGAGGGAAAAGTTCTACGTAGGCACCATTGTGATCGTTGAGACAGGAGTGATGTGTGGAATGCAATTATTTGTCAAGAGCAATGCTTCTGCTGTAATAACGGTGGAAACGGGACTACGGTAGGTTGCAGGAGGCAACTTCTTGAAAAAAATAAAATAAAAAGGAAAAAATAAATAAAACCAGGCACAATATCTACACACTTTAAAAATGAAACTAAAACAAACATATTTCAAAAGAAACAAGGATGAAGGCATGAGCAAATGTAAGGCTTTACACAATAGATGCTTCCTTAAGTGCAAAACAAAAAAGTTAAATATTACAAATGTCTGCTCTGAAGTGGTCCGTTTAGTGCTGGAATACACTCGGGAGTGTGATTACATTTGGTTTTCCGAATTCACTAGTTACTTGGAAGATTGTATATACGACTGCTCTTTGGCAATCTTTTACAAGTTCAAATCCTCTAAAACTAATCATCGTCCAGTGTTTCAACTTCTATAATAACAGTGTTCAGGAGTTTGATTTGAATTTAATTAAATGATATTAGATGATATTCAATTGAGAGGAGACAAGCGAGAACAGTGAAGAACTTCAGACCACAGACCGCTAATAAAGCACAGTGCTCATCATGTCTGCTGGACACACAACTACAGCTGATAGTGAACATGTTTTGTTTTGTTCCTTGTTTGTTTTTTTCTTCCCTTTTTCAAAGACAACTCCATGTCCCTCTCCTCTGTCCATTTAATATTCACGCCCCAAAAAATCCCCTCAGTGCTGGAGGCACGCGCTCGCACCTCGCCTTCTCCTGGTCAAGCTTCAAATTTGCCATCAGAAACGGCTGCTGTGGCTCCAGGTTGGCCGGCGGCTCACCACTCGTTGGTCCTCTGTTTGGTGGTGTCGTATGCTCTGATAACCTCAGACTGAGACACCACTCCGTTCTCGTCTTGAGAGAAGGCGTAGCCATCTGAAAAAGGATCAAAGCAGTTTAAACCAGGTCGTGTAGATCAGTGATTAAAGTAATAAATAATACTTAAAACACACTTAAAGCAACTGAATAAACTGAAAAAACAATTAAAGAAAACACAAAACTTAAAGCAATAGTTAAACATTTTGGGAAATATGTTAATTGGCTTTCTTGCGGAGAGTTAGGTGAGAAGCTTGATTCCATTCTTGTGTCTGTACGGTAAATATGAGGCTAGTAGCTGCTTAACTTAGCATAAAGACTAGAAACAAGAGGAGACAGATAGCAAAAACAAAATCCAACCAAACAATTTTGGTCTTACGTTGACTTACGTGTGTGACATTTGTTTGCTGGTAGTAAGAGCCAGAACCAGGCTTCCTGTTTTTACCTGTTTCCAGTCTTTATGCTAAGCTACGCTAAGGGTCCAGCCCCAGTTTCTCCTTCTCATGTATTAGCGTTAAATTCGAGTCACAGACCTGAGAGATCTACTACTTTATTTCATATCTAACACACAGACAGAGCGGAATGTCTTCTTACTGTCTGCAAAATAGCAAATCAGCATATTTCCCTAAATGTCACACTGTTCCTTTAACACAATACGATGAAAATAATACACTAAAAGGAGTTTTAAAAAACAACCACAGCTGCCCTTAAGTTTTATCTGTAGTATTAAAGCAACAATGGGATTTATCACTAAACTGTCCTACAGGGTTTCCTTTCTGACCTTTGACCCCTGACTCACCTTCAGGTGTCAAATGACTCTGTCAGTACCTGGAGGCCAGCGGGGAAGTTCAAAGGACCCCGCTGAGACGAGTGCATTGTGGGGGAATAACAGCGCAACATTTCATCATTTCATCGTTATCTCACTCTACTGAGCTCAACTCAGGACACACGAAGCACACGAGGGGAAGGACAGGAAGTTGACAGCGAGGAGGGAAAGGAAGTGAGGCGTCTATCGGGGAGCTAGAGGGGGCTGGGGTTTTAAACGGACTGAGGTTTGAATAATGAAATTTAAAAAAAGGTATCACACAACAATGGTCTCATCCCCACCTATGAGACAAACAAAAAACAAACTGATCAGACAAAGGACACAACAGAACAGAGAAAAATAAACAGAAAACCAAACACATGCTTTAGAGTATCACTGGAAGTTTATGATTTCAACGTTCCAACGTGACACCTGAGTTTTGCTCCTCTTTTTGATACCATACTCTACTCTTACTAACACAAAGTCCGTCTGAAGCTGTATTTAAACAAGATTGATTGCTCTGAGGGAGGTTGGGGGATCGCAATATCACTTGCACTGGTCAGTTGTTTTTAATCCAACAGCATATGTGCAGCACATATGTCTGTGATTTTTCAGCCCACACCCGAGGAATAATTACAGCTCCGATTACGTAATGTTTTTTGGCAAACTTGCTTGTCCTCCCGTAATTTAAGTCCAGTCCAGAAAGACACTTCAAAAGCACTTTAAAAGTGTATCTCGGAATTTGTATATGTGCTGTAGAGCTGCTTTTACTGTTACTGAAACTGGTTTTATGTGCAGTGAAGTTAATGTGCAGTATTTAACACTGTTACAGACATCAGCCCCTCTCTTACTGCTTATGCAGAGCCTCATCAACATTTAGAACAAGATATTCTAATAGTCTGAAACTGTCTATGTTACAATTATATTTGAGATGAATAATTACCAGTACATAAAGCAGACATTAAAAACACAATAAGCTCGGTGAACCCGCTCCTGTAATTTGCCACTGACTTTCTTATTCTATACCAACACACAAGAAAATCAAACAGAAATTAATCTAAAGGAAAAATACATGAACAAAATTGTGATTTTACCTTAAAATTAAATAAAACAATAAAAATACAAGATTCTGACATGTCCTTCACGGCCAAATTTCAGTATTTTACAGTTTTTTTATACTTCAGATGATAAAAAGTAGTGACAATATTCGTGTCTCCAACTCGCCATGAAAAGAACTCGTCTAACAGTTCATATCAGCAGTTTGTTGGGTAGATATAGCAGATATAATGTAGGTTCAGACACAGCAAACTGTGGGCCTGTAACAGTTACTGATGTGTATTTTCTGCATTTGGTCAAAGCAGAGTATTTATGAAGAGGACAGGGATGAACAGTGTTACTGCTTCCCCTTACTGACGGAGGGCGAGCTACTCTGGAGGTTTTAGAGATACTGTATGTGTCAGAGGAGGAATAGCGGCGCTTGATCTGTTCCTCTGACGAGGGAACAGGTCTGGAAGCAGATAAATCTAACGTGGATAAACTGAAATCGTTGGGGTTTACAGCTTGATGCCTCCATCTTTTTGGCACGTTTAGTAAGAAAGGGAGACAGAAGTCTGGAAGTAAGAGAGGCAGAAAGAGAGAAAGAGAAAAGAGAAATATTGTGTAACTTACGGAGCAGGTTCTGCTGCATGGATTCAGACCGGTACAAACTGACTGTGCTCTTCTTGAAGACGTTCTTCAGGAGCTGGGCCCTCTCCGTCAAACTACACACACACACACAGAAACAGGCAGTGTGTTAGTAGCATGCTGAGCACCACAGGCAGATTTAATGACCCATACATCAAACCTGTGTCCACCTCCAGAGTGGATGGACCTGGCAACTACTCATCCACTCTACCTGCTGGTGCAAACACCAAGTTGGGAGACAAAACTCTGGAGACGCAGGGGGAAGAACAAAGAGTGTGTGTGTAAGTGAAATATAAAAAAAAAAATGTGTGTATATGAGCCATCTATGAATGAGCACACATAGGTCCTCCTATGTGCATATATGCAAAATCATCCATGTATCTGTTTGTTTGTACCTCTGCAATATCTACATGTTTGTTTCTGTGTGTGTGTGTGTGTGTGTGTGTGTGTGTGTGTGTGTGTGAATGAGCGCGTGTGTGCCTGCAGCCTGCTGGGTCCGGGACAGTGGCCAGACAGGGGGATCACTTTCAGCCAGCAGGAGATCTCACACTGATCTGCTCCATGTTGATGCCTGCTGCAGGCCTCAGGCTCCAGAGAGCAGAGCAGACCTGGTTCAACTAATACGTTTTTATAATATATGGCTTTAATATAGACTGCTGCTCGAAAATGAGACATTCACTATTTCAGAGAAAAAAAAGAGAGACATCTACTCTTATGACATGATTACTGACATTACAGTCAAACTGCAGCAATTTAGCTGCAATTTTAAGATTTCTTCCTTCCACATAGGAATATAGTTGGCAGTGGAATTGGGAGGTTATAGATGATTCTTCCTCCAAGTTGATCTTGAGTATTCAGAAAAAAACCTTTTTATTTTGTGTACCAAAAGAATAATGGCATCGACTCTGTAGTCCTGATAATGTTGGGCCATATGATGATATGGTGTCTGGCCATTGTGGGAAATATTGCAACTTGATGAGGAGAACTGTTTAATAGGATTTTATGTATGAATGTAATGAAGTAAGAAAGACAAAGCTTTGGATCAATAAATGTAAAATGTAAATCTAAAACCATGGAACAAACACACAAGTGGTGAAGCGGTGTGTAACTGTACCTCTTTCCATGCACCACTGCTCCCGGATCTTTGGATAAAGCCTCGAGCTCCTGCACCTCATCCACCAGAGTCTTAAAGCACACCCTCTTCACCCTGTAAATTAAACTACGCTTTAAACGGTGCTTTAACATGATAGAACCTTCAAAGGCTGACATTAAAATACCCCACTGACATCAGGAAATAAAACTTCTAGCTTTGCAAATTGCTCCTGACTCCTTGAATCTGCTGTGGGCTGATGTCAACCAGACCCGGGGCAGAAACAAACATTTCCCATGGAGTGTTCACAGAAAAGAAAAGCTAGACTTCCTCGGAAGTTTGTACAGTAACTCGAGCAGGAATTTCTTCAGGAGATACGAGAGATTCTGGAGGAATTTCCTGTATTGGATGAGTATTGGAGTTATGATGAGCGAGAGGAGTGTAGAGAAGACTCACACTTTGTAGGCCACGTCAAAGACCAGCGAGGTGATAGGGATGAAGACCAGGCCCGTCCAGAAGACTCCTGAACTGAACATCATCTCCGCCTGTCAAACACACACACACACACACACACACACATATACACTTACTTTCCGGTCACCGTAGACAATGCAGAGTTCAACAACTGATCAGATAAAAGGAAGAGCTCTTCAAAAGAAGAAACACCTGATAAAGGACGGCCACTATCATCCTCTGTAGTGCCACGTTATCAAAAAACATACATGACAAAAGCAGCCCAAAACAAACAGTTATATTGTGGAAATAGAGAGGAGATGGGTGCAAATCATTTGCTCAAAGTGGGTTAATCCTCCGTGACTAAATGATACCATGTTTTTGTTTGGATCTTCTCTACCTCTCAGCCCTCCGGGGCGGAGGAAGTACCTGTGAAGTATTTAGACAGTGGTATCTCTTTCACAGGAAAACAGATCGACTCTTTGCTGTGCTGAGAGCTCCTGTCAATGCATCACAGGAGACACAGCAGCGTGAGCTGAGGTGCTTTTAATGATACATTCAATACAACACTCAGTGCAGGAAGGGGTTGATGAAGCATTAGAACTGCAGAGTTTAAGACTATGTTCCACTTTCAGTAATTAATGTTTGATTAATGATTTTCTCTGCTGTCAAATAACTCCTCTGAGTTATGTCTGGTGTCCTCCGAATTACAAACAATGAGCTGATGTTTTATTTTTAATGCGGTATGTAACAAATGTTCACATTGAGTTCATGAGCAAAATAAATCTACAAATGAGGCAGCTGTGATCCTCAATGTGACTCATTTATCTTTAGCCAGAAGAAAAACACATTTGGATATGATCCAATTGGAAAACAAGCCTGGCGTTTCAAGAAACAGCTTCTTCTCCGCACTCAGTCATTTGTAGGAAAAATACAATTCATTAGCAGCAGACTCGCCTGTGATGATTTAAATTAAAAATCACAAAACGGTGGCTGAGTCGGGAGGTTGTTTTGGGTCCAGAGTGGAAGAGAGACGGTGGATCATCTTGGTGGGGGCGAAACCTTTCAGCTTTCTGTGTGAGGACGATGTTTTCTTTGGCCCGCTGCACTGAAACTATCTGTCATTACATGTCAAAGTGCAAAACCCGCGCTCCTTGCATTGTAATGTGCCACTTGTTTAAACTGCCGGGGCCCCTCGACAGTGTCCTTCCTGTAATGTGACACAGGCAGGGCCCTTAGGATGCGCGCACACAAACACACACAGATCAGTGTCAAAACTATCAAAGCGCTCAGGTTTGCCCAAATTAGCTAATCTGGTCGCCATTACCTGCAAATTGACTTTGATGTCTGACTAAACACTGGGGGAAGAGGAAATCCCAAATGACAGGAAATCAAAAATGGCCTTTGCCTACAGTTTGAGATGGGAGGCGGATGAATAGAGCTTTTCTGTGATGCCCGGGGGCTGAAAATGTATGAGATGAGGGAAAATTGCAGCGAAGCACAGGATATTTTCACATCAATTTTTGAAATTATACAGCCCTGGTGGAAACATTTACTGTTTTTTTTTTCTTGTTGCAAGTCAGTTTAATTATTTTCGTTTTCATCCAGTGTATCGTGCATTTTAATGGGGGCGTTTTAGGTGTCTTGAGAGTCTTTCGAAAATAAACCCGGGATGTATACTCAGCATATTAAATCAAAGTTGGGAAAGCTTGAAAAATAAACCATCTTAGTCTTTCACAAGTTTAATCTATGAACAATATTTATATGTCTCTATACATAACTCTGAGCCACAAATTATGTATATAGGGGACCGATACTTGAGGTCTGTAGATTATCACAAAATTCAATACATAATACTGATATGGCAGTAGGTACAATAACTCATAATAACATTAAGTACAACTGTTAAAATAACAGAAACAAAGTGAAGCTAGACCTAAAATAACTGCATTAATTTACTGTTAATTCTTCAATTTGACATCAACGTTTCACAATCCAAACAAATCCAGACAGTTACAATCAACAAATGTTTGTCTTCAGGCATCTGGACTGACTAACAGCAGGGCCCAGCAGTGTTGGTGGATGCTAGCGACGTCTCATACCAGGGGACCCCTGGGAGCTGGATAGGGTGAGAAAGGTCTGGGGAGTGGGGCTGTATTTTTAGGACAAACTAATAAACTTGTCTGGCTGGACAGACAGTAGTGTCCACTGGCATGAAGGGATGTGTTTTGACAGGCCAATGACCCCCATCATGGCCACACACGCACACTCAGACACACAGACTAGACGTAATACCAGACAGACAGAAGCATGTGCACACACGCAAAATGCCAAGTACCTATACGGTTGTAAGATGTATGTTTCTTAGTATTTCAACTCCGTTCCAAATGGTGAATTTAGGGATGGTGTGGTGGTCAAAAGGTATAGGATAGGTGGGTTTCATCCTCCTCTCGCTCCCATCTTCCCTTTCTTTTTATTTCTACACTGTCAACAACCCAGTAAAGCTAAAACAAAACCAAAAATCTTTAAAAACAAAGACGGATGATTTCTGACTGCAAGATCACTTATTCATATTGTTGGCAGGTATGCCCCAACTACTCCAGAGATGCTGCGCAGTGGCCAATACACCAGACTGTGGTTGCAGCTTCAAGGTACAGTATCTGTTTGGAACAGGGCAGCATTACTCACGTTCAGAAAATCTGCTCAGATCAAATGAACTTTTCAAACTACAGAACATCAAAGATACAATTTTATTAACAGAGATAAATCTTATAAAAACTTTTGGAATAGAATGTGGAAGGATACAAAAAAAACAAGAGTTGTATGCGTCCTTTTCCAGGAAGACTTGATCAGGGGAATCTGACACCTGGCTGATAAACCCTGAGGAAGCCTGCAGTCTCAGCATCTTGAATTATGTTAATGTCGACCATTGTAATGGTAAATGCGAATTGAGGTAATCCACTACTTTACTATTCACCCCACAGGTCTACAGTATGCTCTGGATTCAGTAAACAAGACTAAGAAAAAACAACTTCATAACACTCTGCCAGCCGTACAACATCCCAGCGATGCTAATATTCAAACACTTGCATCCTGAATGCACAGAGCTTCTTTGTACAACCATTTTTATTAGGTAGACTGAGGGGAGAAGGGTTAGACTAAGTTGAATCCTGTCTCAGACTTTACTTTGCATCTATCCATGTTGATTCTCAGATTCGCAGAATTCAGCTGGCTTAACCAGCACTATAAACACTATAAATCCTGGCTTCAAGGAGAGGAGGGAAATTGAGGATGAAACTATACATTTGGCAGAATGGGGCTCCAATCCTCAATAGACTTTCTTGTGAATACAAAGTTACGGATAAATAGGCAGCAAGCACAGCACAGTAAAAATGACCAAAAAAGCCAATAAAAAGAGCAAAAAGGGTAGCCTTGCTTGGATGAGGCAAATCCACAAATTCCCCAAATGTCATCAACAGGAACAAATCGGCCAATAGGCAACCCAAAAGAAGTCAATGTGGAAAACAAAGACCTTTTCAGTTGCATCCTCTATGCACTCCAGGCTCTCTCTGTGTGTCGCCTGACAAATACATCGACTAGGAAAACAGAGAAAAAAAACCTCTTACATAAATACTTGTATCTCAGCAGTCCCACCACTACACACACATGATTTACAGTGTGTGTACAGCAGATTAAACCTGTTCTTCTCACTAATACTGTACACCATGGTCAGTTATTACAGTTACCATGTGTTGTGGTACCTATCAATCATTAGCTGAGGGAGGACTAACAGGTCTGGGTACAAGAGTTTAACAAAACCTTTCATACAACATGCTCATGAGTCTTAAAGAAGGAACAAAAGGATTCCACAAGTGCCACTGAGGGACTAAGTCAACAGCAGTGATGAACAGGGGTTGATAAGTCTTTCAATGGGACTTTCAAAAGTTTAAAAAGCAGAAACATATTTTATCCCTATGATGCGACAGGTGTTGGGAGCTTGTTTCAGTCTGAACCAGAAGAATTTGAGCTCTCTAAGTCTCAGTGATCATACACAGTTTGAGTATTCTGAACACCGTTTTAATCACATTTTTATGTTTCCTTGTATGTTTCTCACTGAGATGAGATTGTTTCATGAAGCAAAAGTAACATAAATATCATAATACACTATCCCAGTTTTTAGAATCTGAAAGATAAAAACATCCACCACTGGCAGGGCTTTTGCTGTATTGGGGGATTTTGGCAGCCAACTCTCCCATTCAGCATGTCTGAGCACAAGAACTCATCACCTGTTTTCAGGTACATTGCAAACAACAATAATCAAACTGCCTGAAAACTAAATATGTCTAAATGTTCCCTTTGATGGATTACGTGTATAAAGCAAGTTTCAAGTTTCTTTTTCAGTTGGTTTCCAAACCAGTAATTGCCTGGAGGGGAATAAAAACAAAATAACTACAGTAGAGTCAATAATAATGGACTAAAATGTGCAAAACTGTAGCATGATAATTTATGGAGTGCAACACCAAAGCAGTAAATGGATACCTGACATCAGCTTTTTAAATTTGTGGCTTCATGACAAGAATTACAGAACCTGGGGATATTATGATTTTACAACTCAGCTAGATGAAAAACCATTCTATCAGTCTCACTGACTCCAAAAGCAAAATTAAATAAGATATACTAATGCCCCTTAGTCTGCCCTTTAATATAAACCACTCTTTCAAAATGTCTGTAAACAGAAAATAATAATTTGATCTGTTTCTCTATAAATCGTTTTAATTTCTGCTCGATATCTCACAGAGTGGCACAGATAGCCCTGAGTGTATTCCTGGCTCGCTTCGCATCAACAAACTTCTCGGTAAAAATTATTCCTCTCTGAGAAAATGTTTCTTATCACTGAGCATAAACCTGATTCACACTTGTCGAGTGTAAAATCCATGCGCTGTTGACAAGTACTTGAGTCAGAGTGAGGGTGAGAGGTGCTCCACTGCAGCTCGCAGAAGAAACTGGAAAGTAGCAAAGGTGTGTGTGTAAAGTAAGCAGAGAGTGAAGGGATAAACTGTGTTGATAGCGGAGGCAAGTCTGCAGAGAGCAGGTCAATGTGACAGAGACATCTCCTGAGGTGAAGCTAAGCCGCTTAGCGTGGTAGATTACACTGCTTGAACAGAATAATCTGGCATTTTCTTTTGATATCAGTGTCAGACTTTTATGAAGTGCAAAAAGGAATGAGCCTGTTTGGGAGTACTTCGGAAAAAAAGTATACTAGCTGTTTCAGTGTGTTGTTGCGGATGGATCCTGCACCTGCCCTGTCAATCGCCCAAAGCTTATTCAGCCTGACATTGATGAATGCGTTCACATGAAGCTGAGCGCTGCTTAATGTCTCTTGTTAAAGGCGGTGAGCTGGATAGTGAGCGAGAGCAGAAACAGGAGGAGAATGGAGTTCTGGTGTCTGTTATGTTGTTGGCCCTCGGGCAGTTTTTCAACTAGGGTGGGGGGGTGAACAAAAAGAGAACAAAGAGGAAAGAGCTGATGCAACAAGTAAGAGAGAAAGGAGCTAAAGAAAATAGATGGAAGGACCGAATGCACAAAATATTTGAAGAGTCAAATACACATCGAGGAGGCGGAGGTGAAGTATGTGTGGCTGCAGCAGGGTTGAGAATTATCCTGCTCTTCAGAGGCTAAAAGGTCTTGGAAGGGGAGATTGTGTCTCTGATGCCTTCTCGAGTTTCGGAGACATGTGTCCCTGTTTGATGATGTACTGGCATCCCTGAGTTTGGGCAGGGGCATAGGGTTACAAACTACCCACAGGACACCATTATTGTCTTCAGTCAAGTGCTGCAGGGCGTGGATGAAAGCAACAGGCTTTTCATGAACAGGGGACAGAGTGAAGCTAATATACCCATCGCCTGTGTGTGTATGTACGATGGAGTGAGCCAGTAAGAGCAAAACTGTCAGCATTTCTGTGCATGTAGTTAGTTAGTTATGTTATTTATTGTGTCACGCACATACACAAGCCCAGCTGTCATACCCTACCCAAAATACAGTTAACTACCAACCTACAATTAGATCCAGCACATATGCTCTTGTAAAATGGAGAATTGTGTGAAAATCTGTTTTTTTTTGCGGATTAAAAAAACAAGGTTTAACATATCAATTAGTGATTTTGGTGCCGGTGGGCAGATTTCGTTAACAGATCCAGAGCCTGTTTCGAGTCTTGACACTATGCTACAGTCAGTGAAGCGGTTGCTTGCTGTAGCCTAACAGGCAGATGTGAGAGTCATATTGATCATCTCATCTAACTCTCCACCAAAAAGCTAATGAGAAAATTTCCCCAAATGTCAAACGTTTGCTTTAACTCATCATATAACGATAAAACGGACTCCATCTTCCATCTCACCTAAATCGCAAGACAGTCTTTTGTCTTCAGTGAGATTAACATTAAACATTCAAACTGCCTGTTTCTGAAGCGAATGTTAATGTGTCGGACTGTAACTGTGCATACAGATCGTTTACTTTTTGTTAAATTCGATTAAATTTTTTTTTTTCTTCACCTCACTTATCCATGGGTGAACTGTTGTTCAAGCAGAGTCACATGTCTGTTCTAAAGTTGAATCATCTCACAATCGTCTGACATAGAGTTTCCCATCCAATATCACCACTAATTGCTCAAACTGGTGCAAAGTTATGAACTCCCAAAAGTAACTGAAGAGCTCTATAATGAATCTACAGAACGCCCATGCCAGACGCATTATCTCAAACAGGACACACAAATACAGAGTCTGAGATAAACAGATATTTCCTTCTACTGCGTGCTGTGTGGTTCTAGTCTTTTTCTTTAAATGGCTTCCTACTGTGTTCTTGTTCTCTAATGAAAAGATGCCTCATTCTCTTCCCCAGAATGCACTGGGAAATGTCACCTGTGGTTAATGGGCTCCCATTGACCAACATTGGGGACCCAGAGAGACAGTAGTTACATTCAAATGTAAATAATAACTCAACAGTAAAATCAAGGGGCAATTTTTTAAATCTTTTTTAACCTTTTTTTAACTTTAAAGGGCATTTTCTGCTCCTAGTGATAGTTGGGTGGTTTTGTAGGACATCAGTATATATATATATATATATATATATATATATATATATATATATATATATATATATATATATGTATACAGTATGTAATACATCCTCTCCTCTCTGCTTAGCTTTCAGACTGCTTTACTGTTTCAGTGTCACCTGTGGATACTCAGAGCCCAGGGAGGGCAATGTAACACAAACATTGGGCTAATTGGCCCAATTAAGTCATTATGCAACACAAGCCAGAGGTCTGACAGTTTACACCCCTCTGGCTCTCCTTACAAAGACCTGTGTCAAGTTTAACTCTGAAATTTCCCACCAGCAGCATTTGTCCGTAGCAGAAATGAATTATGAGGCACTGTGGGTCTGTCAGTGATAGACGATTATATCAGCAGTTCCTTTTGTACCAGAGGAAGTTGTTCCTGTGAGAGAGAGAGTGAGAGTGCCTGCGTGTGTGGATGTGCAAGCATGTGTATGATAACATGCTAGCATGCGTGTGTTTACCTCTCCTGACATGTCGGGAGCAAGAGGGATGAGGGGCCACAGCGAGGAGTAGATAATGAAAAACACCACCCACAGGCCGATGCTTCCCCAAATGGCGATGTGACTGAACTGTAAGTGGAGAATCAGAGGACAGTGAGGTAGCAGAAAATGTTTAGGCTCTTCATTTACTGTGGCTTTACGACAACTTACTTACTGAAATTGTAATTGGGACAATTTTATTCACTTTACTCTCTTTTGTTTTTGTTGCTATTTCTAGAATTTGGGTAGAAAAGTTCACATTGAGTGGCTTGTAGTTACCTGAAGGAGTTACTGTACGGTACTGGGTTTACAGTTACAATCTCATTGGGAACAAACCATAAAGAGATTTAGGGATAAGAAGAGGATGTAAAATATGTCACAAGTATCGGTGGTCACATAAAATGGAGGAACTGGAAAGAGATAACAGAACCTTTAGCGAGAGAAGAGAGAGCCATCAACTTACCATGGTCCAGGATGAGGTCTCAAGGCCGGCTTTAAGACAAACTGTGATGACCACAAACTGTGGAGACACAAATCACACTGACATTAAACCAAGACTGTCCCCCTTTCAATACTAAAATCAGTCATGGGAAGTGCATCACACATATGTGAATTTTCATTAAGTACATATTATTATTTTACATACTGTACTGTATAACATTGGAAAAGATCCAAAGACACAATGAAAAGCACAAGAAAAGGATGTTCATTCACAGAACTTGGATAACACTTGGCACACAGACAACTGAACCATTTAACACAGCAGAGACACTGACTGTCAAGAAGATTGGTGCACTCACTGTATAAACCATGTTGCCTAAGAGGAGATAGTCTGGAGTTCTTCCGTTGCCAAAAACTGTATCTGTGAAGGGAATCAACAACAGAAGCTTTCAGAGCCAAAGCTGTCTCTTTTGAGCTCTGGGTTTCTTGGGTTTCATACAGATTTAAGTGATCCAAAGAGTAAACAACCAGGCAACACATTGGATATTACTTTAAGTACATCTCAGTGTGAACTTTGGATTATAGCTATAAAGGGGAACATGGGAACATCAAGTGAAAACCACAGTCAAGCTCGGTCAAGGCTGCTTTCATTACTGCCCTTTGAGAGAGGCAGGAATGTTAATTCTGTTTTTCGCAACTATTAGGAAAGAAAGTTTCTATGTAAAGCCGTTAAAAAGACTGAAACGCAGAATTGGTGTGCATTAATCATGGTCAGAAATTAAATGTTCTGGTCAATTTACTGCCGAAATAGAAAGAACAGGACTGTTATTCTGGCAAAATGGTTGTTTATTCTTCCATTAAATCGGAATCTAACCTACTGAGAAAACTTTTCCTAGAACAAAGGTTAAAAGAACTTCCTAAATTAATAAAATAGAAATTAACTGCAAATCACACGGACATATTGCTCCAATCTGCCAATGTGGATTTGGGCTGTGGCTGTGGCTAAAATATCAGCAGTGTGCAACTGCCAGCGATGAAAGAAAGAAAGAGAAGCTCCCTTTCCATTTACTTCCGGCTGGTCACATGTCTTGTGTGCGCTGAGGCTTTGCTGACAGCCTGTCAGTCAGTGTGAAGGGGCTTGGCGCCTTTGTTTGGAGAGCAGGCCCAAGCTTGTGTGGTCCTCTGCTCTGGCCAGCCAAGACTTACCGCCTCAAAGATCCCTATTCTCTCAGCACACACACAGAGAAACCTTGCATCTTAATGTGCACAAACATGCACAATTGACCTATAGATAAATAAAGTTATTGCAAATTTAAATTTAATTGTAACATAAAAAGACTGATAGATGTCTGTTTGGATAAAAATCATCTATGTCTGCACTGAACAACCATCTGGAAAGTTTGTATATGTTGGTGTATAAAAAAACTAAGTACGTGCAAATAACTGTGTGCAAAAGCATTTTAGCAGATCATTGTGTGCACACGTGAACTGGTGCAAATGTATATACACTTGTTAGTGTGTTTCGATCCCGCTGGAGCACACACATGTTTGCAATTCATGACTGGACGGTTGAAGAGAGAAACTAATTAAGACAAAGTATGTGTGTTTGACTGTCCTCCCTCTTCATCCACCAAGTCCACCGAGAGCTGTGCCGGAGTCTCTGGGAGCTACTTACCATGCTGGAAGGCTTTAAGGGGGAACCAGAAGAGGATGACGGAGTGGAAGAGGCCATTCAGACAATGGGCCCAGAAGACCTGCAAAATAGAGGGGAGAAGGATGGAGGAAGGAAGGAGGCAGAGGGGAGGAGGAAGAGAAGAAGGGAGGGGGAGGTTGGAGGCGGCAGGGGATTCCAAGAAGAGAGAGTGAGAGGGAGAGAAAAAAAAGCATGAGAAAAGGGTGTTGGGAGCTCCAGCCTTCCAAGTGACCCCTGACCTGGGCCCTTTGTGCCAGCCCAGCGCTAGGCTAAGTGGCGGTTTTGTCCGAGCCTCCTTGCTGAATGGCCACCCCGCTGACAGACACGTTGTATATCCTCTGTGTGTGTTATGGGGGAGAGAGAGGCTGCTGAGTGTGTGCAGTAAAAGGCAAGTGGACAATCTAAGTGTGCAGGTTTTAACTTCCAGTTGTTGTTTTTTTTTTTTTTTTTTTTTCTACAAAGATTATACCATATTTAACAGAATCAAATAAAAAAGTGAGCATAAGAAACTGCAAAATACACATCGCCGCCTTGACAAAGAACATTATACAACATTAATATATGTGCTGCCAGTGTGAGGGTTTCCTCTTATTACATTTCATTAGGCTTCGGCCCTTTCATGTGAGAATTTTAACTGGTGTGGAAATAAATGACAGGAGGGTTTAAACAAGCAGAAATCAGTCTAGAAACACACACAGGGAGACTGACAGGCCTGACAGAGATTAAACTGTTTTCATGGTAATTATTAAGGGCCTGGAAAATCGTGGCGTGGACCGCAGTCTGCGTGTGTGTCTGTGTATGCAAGCACGCAGACTTTGGATGAGTCGTTTAAATCAATACTCCCACTCCAAAACCACCTTGTTTCAAATTTACATTATGCAACGCCAGAGCCAAACAAAACACTAATGGGCGATGTAGCATGAAACAGCCGTGAAATCTATTCTGCCAAAAAACGCTCCACATTCGTGCCCCCTTTTCCTTCCCCAGTGCTGACCCAGACGGTGGTGTTAATTCTGAGAGCTGAAAATTCATCAAACCCAGAGTAAATGGCTGACGAAGGAAAAATAAAAACAGAAAAAACATCACATTTTAATCTTTGGCCTCCTTTTAATCATCAGCGCTTGGCAGACGACAAGTTAGAGGCTCGATTTCTTAAGAACACCCATTTCAACAACTTCAGCAAACCTGTCAGTAAAACGTAAAACATGACTTATTTGAGACTAACTGGACACCATGAAAAGTGAAAATTTCTTTGGATTTCCGCAGGTTAGAGTCACTTTACAATAACTATTAGCACTGTTTTACATCGTAGTGATATTTTGCCAGGAAAGGATGAGAAAAAGAAGGTAAAAGAGTAGAGAGTAAAGCAGGATAGAGTACAGTGAGGGGAAATGTCTTCAGCCTTTATAATATACCTTGGCCTCAGTGGCACGACCTCCTCACCTTTTCTATCAGCTAAACAAAGTCCCATAGCAGCCACCCAGCCCCCCGCCCAGGATTACCTCACCCTCCCACTGTGTACACAAAACCCCAATACACTGAGCACGGGGAGGTTGAAACCAACCCCCACACTGTGGTCAGATGTGGAATAAATAATCACTAATGTTACAATCACAAGCATGTTTATGCCAATTAGCCTCCCACTGACAGGCTCAGCTCTCTATCAGCCTCCTCCTCGACTGTCCCATCCCCAAACACTGTGGGGGTGCAAACAAGCCCTAGTTTCCCCTCCAGAATAATGAATGCTAATGAAATCAATAAATGTTCATAATCATTTGTCACAGTCGGATCCTCTCTTTCACCCTTGCGGCCGCACTGCTCTCTTTCTTTCCCTTGTATCCCAGCAAGTTGCTAGGGATCCCCTCCGAATGAATGCCTGGTCTGTCCTGTAAAGATTCTGCCCTTTGTGGAACTCCTAATTGCCAAAAAAAAAAAAAAAAAAGCATGAATACCAGTAATTAATATTGAGCCAAATTTTTCCAGAGCTGCCCACTCCTTCCCGTTTCTTTTTGAATGGGTGAGGAGAGAAGGGAAAGAGGGGGAAAGAAATAGAAGAGTACAAGGTACTGTATAGGAGGTGATAGTTGCTTGTAAACGGCTGTAATTACTACGACCACATAAAGGGCAGTGCGGTTTATTAGAGTGACTCAAGTGTCAGGAATATGTAATTAAAAGTGAACAGGCGACACATTTGAAGCCACGCCGTGCGTTTCTAACACCAGTGGTCACTCCTTTTTCTCACCTCAACACAAACAGCTTTAATTCACAAAGACAGTATCTGTTGTGTACAAAAGAGCCAGACGTGCAAAAAGACAGGCTTCGAGGGGCCAAATTCCAGCTGGATTTTCTCGCCTTGCCTCGGGCCAGCTGCAAGGAAAATATCTCGGGAAAAGAGTGGACAAGCCAGCAAAAACAACCTGCTGACCTGGCCGAGTCATCATTTATGGGTCTTGGAAAATGTGGCCCAAACAAAATTGAGGTTCATTTGCTTCTAACTATCAGACGCATATTTTTGTGACCCTTTTTTGGCATGAAACAGTTAATGAAGGGAAAATCCACCCTACAACAGAATTCAACAAAAATTCTGGACGATTCAATCAGCAGTTGGGAGCACAAACATCTCTCTAATCTGCATAATTAATTATATAAAGACAACGTCTGATGCTGTCAACACGTTTGGTTTTGCCACCGAATGATATTTCTTTAGCTTTTTTTCATTATGAAAAACAATCCAGGCCATAAAAAGTAATGGATTTACTTACATTAACTCACCTAATGTACCAGAGTGTGTTCATTAATCATGTGAGAGCTTACATTTTTTGTAATAATAGCTCCAGGAGAGACTTGCTCACGCACATTCATTTAACAGATAACAATTTGCTTCATCTGTAAAATGTCAAATATAGTAGTATTTTACAATTTCCCATAGCTCAGGGAGATGTATTCATATTGCTTGTTTTATCTGAACAATGGTCGAATACCCAAAGATAGTCAGTTAACTATCATATATGATGCAGTTCTAGACATTAGTGTTAGAAATATGTGATTACAATTAATTTTGTTTTGGAAGAAATTGGAGGATTTGACTTTAATAGGCTTGGTTGGGCTAGCTGCCTCCTTGTGACTAATAAACCTTATAATTTACTTGGTCAATTGTGAAACTTTCAAAAGAAGTAAATAGTCTTTGCTATTGTTATTTCCTACGTTGAGTGTGGTCTTGGATGGGTTAAACTCAATCTGACAGCCTTGCTCTGAGAACAAACAACTCCCTCACTTAAACAAATTGAATAATTTTCCGCAACAAATGCTGTCACACAAAGACAGCACACTCTCTCTATTCCTTCCTTCCTTCCCCCAATTCTTTTTGCTGTGTCCCCCAAACCATCTGACCTTCCATGCCCCTGACTGCCATGGCCAATCACTCTTTAATCCACCTCCATGTGGTGCTAACCAGGTCACCACGCCTGTGAGGACGGTGCAGGGCTCTGGCTCAGCATGGAGAAAGGAGGAGACATCTTTATTACCAGCGGGGGAAAGCTAACGGACAGCCTCTGCAACCAGACAGAATAGGTCAAATCAGGCCAAACCATGGTACGACTGGAGACCCACCGACTCCAGCTGCCAGGTCACTGTGACGGGAGACGCATCAGTCCCAAACAACACAACAGGAGCATTTCAAGTCATTAATGGGATATTAATTGGGTGTAAGAGCTGGAACGTTTGACCTTTTCCTTTGTGTGTTGGAGCACAAAATGGGTCCCCTTTTAAAAGTTGAACATAAAATAGCACATTATTAGGCTATGGCAACAGACCAACTGCTCCAAAAAGCAGCAGGTTTGAAAAACTACCAAATATTAACAAGTTATGTGGTAGTTCATTAAAACTCAAGCAACATTTGCTTGCAATATTGCACTAAATTTGGACAAACTTATCAAGACATGATTTTACTGTAGCTGCATAGAACAGGACATAGACTGGGAAAGATTTAAAAATGCAACAAATAACTGAAACAATAAGACCAAAGTGAGGATAAATAAAAAGCAATCTAATAGTATATCAATCTGGTCGTGTGCAAACTGTAAACACATAAATAACTATCATGTTACGTAGACACTAGTGTTACCTTGGTATTAAAGCCCATAGCATTCTGGGAGGTTTTGTAGAGTTCTGGGTATTTCAGCATGTTTTCTTTCCTGCAGGAGCGCTCAAATATTCCCAGAGTAAGAGGAGGCAGAGCAGTGAAGATCTGCATAATAAAAAAATACACACACAGAAACATCAGCAGTTTGATCACAATTTATCACATTCAAAAACCTATTGTATTTGTTAAAAATCATAATTCTTGACCTTGGGAACAGTATGTGTGACAAAATAGTCTCAACTGGAAAGGTCCACATGCTTTTCTGTTGTAAATGTCATGTCATGTCATCTGAAGCCTGTGAGATGCAACTGAACGCTTTGAAGAAGAGAGTAAGTAGACTTTTCAGTTAAGATTTTCTTTAAAAATCAAATTTTTTTTTATTTTTTATTATCAAATGGATTTATTTGCACATTTTATTTACTTTTTGATACGACTGACCAAATCTGTACTCTCTAGGTATCAAAGGAAAAATAATTTTACAAATTTGACCAAATTCATAAGTGTAGTTGAATCTAGGGTCTAATAGTCTGTTGTCAAACTTATGGTAGATGCCACCATCTCCGTATGTTACATTTATAGACAAATTTGTTTCATTTTGTTTTCTTTTCCACTTTCCCCATTCTTTATTTTACATCATTGAAAACTATTGATGTTTAAACCCTTCAGGGTTTCTTATTTTGATTTGTCATGCTCCAAGCCTGTTCATATGCAAAACCCATCTCCAATGAACATCTGCGATGCTCTTGACTAAGAAGCAGGTATTTGAGCTTAGCTAAAGTGTAATTTCTTAGTGGTGTTGTAATGTTGTTCTGTATAGCAGCTGCTGAGAGAGGAGTGATGGTATTGTGTGGCTGGGGGGCTCAGCGGGTCAGTTGATGTGAGTTCCCTGCAGGCCCATCTGGAGTGGGAGTCTGCAGCCCTCAGTCTGCAGGACCAGTGGGCCACAGGACATGCTCCACTGGGCTCCTTTCTTATTCACAGCCAGGCCCAGGAAGATCTCCATTGAAGGGTGGATTCAGTCCACTGCCTCCGACAGACCCCCACTGAGCCGGAGGAATTCTCCCAGTTTTTGGATAGAGTGAAAGACTGAACCCTCTTCCCACCCCCCCAGCCCCCAATACTGTACTGGTTCTAAGGTGGGGTATATTATGAAATGAATGCAGAGCTGTGGAAATGTTCTTCTCACTTGACAGTTTGTCCCTCCCATAAATTACTTCCATTTGAGGCCGATCAGGAATGGGGGGGGAATTTCACTTCACACTTCTCTCATTCATTTTTGTTTATTGAATTGAGTTGATTTTAATAAACAGTTTAAAGTTACATATCAACTCCTTGTGGGCTTAATGGCATGGTATTAAAGATCAGACTTACAGATGCACATTTTTTTCTTTTACTTAATTCATGACAGATATGAAATATGAGTTCATTAGGAGTGGTCCCATTATAGAGCCCTGTGGGACTCCCTACATCAGCAGCCAGGTCAGTTGCTGCTCAATTCTTTCTATTCTTTTTATCATTCAAACGTAGCTGCCCTTGCTAACTACACTCTTTGGGGCAAGTAAAGCTGTTGTTCTTTCGTATTCAGTACATAGTTTAAGGCACATAGGGAATATGGACTTGACAACAGGTCATAAATAAAGGAGAAAGTTTTCAAGATGTTGATGACATAGTCACGCAATAAAGGGATCAGCTTTGGGGCACCACTGCAAATCAGTTCTGTGTCAGAGAGCAACACGGGAAAGGGAGTAAAGTTAGCTCTTTAGAGAGTTAATTTTATTAACACTCACCACGTTGTACAAGCCAATGCACCAGCGTTCAAACAGGATCTGACCTGAGAAGCCATTGACGAACGCGAACCAGATCTAAGGGAGAAAAAAACACAGAAATAAAGTAAGAACAAGCTAAATAAGAACAGAAAGAAAAGGCGGTGCAACAGTTTAATGTAATCGCAGATTTATGATTAGGTTTATATTTAAGAGTTTTTTTTATTTTATTGACAAACCAAGATGACAAGGATGTCCACAATACTCTTCTTTTCACATTACTGTCATTTCAATCAGTAAGGCATTTAGTCATGAATTTGATACCATAGGCTTCACTCAAACTAGAACATGAAAACACTAAATCTCTGTAGTCTTTCTAATTACCCTTTTAGTGTATGCTTTCCATTAGTGATAGTGAGGGTGAGTGGTTACCATTATCAGATTTGAGAAGGACTCACTGTGTCTACAGACTAACAATCCATTTTTCCATCACACTACATTCTTCACTGTCTTGTGACTTCAGAGGGTCTCTTATAATGTGAAAAATAAAAGAGTGAACAGCCCATGCTAATATATCTTTAATATTATTGCAAGGGTGATGCATCTTGCAGTAATGGTTGTTTTGGGAGTAAAGCAAATAAATTTTTCCTGTCAATTAAGAAAAACAACAACTAAATAATCCTAAAACTAATGTGGGTTTGTTTGAAGTGCCGACCTACGATCAACATGTCATTAGTCTAACTTAGCCAGGTTTCAAACTCAGGAAAGGCGAGAGGCCACGTTAGACCAAATCAGAAACAACTGAGTGACAGTGGGAAAGCCTAGACCTCCAGATGCCACCTCTACCATGCAAATTGTCGACTGGATTCATCACGGGATTACCTACAAACATATATCAAGCCCACTATTTTCCTCCTTGATCTACCTGAAGACAAGTGGGTGACAGATGGGTTATTTATAGGGGCAGAGTCAGGGCTATGGGACTGAGGATGATGGAGACATTGATATATTATGTCAGGAAAGGGAGACAGAGGTAATGTAAACCATATGCTGGATGGAGATGAGGCTTATCACCGTATATCTTGATTAGTCATACTTATGTGAAAAACACAATTCCTTTACGATCAGGACAGAAGCCAGGTATTCTAAATGAACTATGTTAGCGTGCAAGTAGAGCAATTGTGTCTATTAGGAAAAATGGCACATGTGAATTTTTACATTGTTGTTTAGCAGATTTGTCTGACACATCCTGGAAAAAACTGCTTGTATACTGATCAGAATCAGAAATTGTTCCTCACATTATTACAGATTGACACTTTGTGGTCCAGAACCGGCACTTGCTCACGCCAAATCTGTCAGGGGTACATCAGGGGTGTTGTGTTTTTGCTACGGCCAACCAAGCATTTCTTCGCTTCATTTAACTTCATTATGAAAGCATGAACTGCTACAAATTCTCAGATTGGGACAAAGCCTATTTGAGGGCCCCACCCGCCGCTGCCACTCTCTACACGACCAATACCAATCTGCCACTGGCCCTTCCCATTTAATCGTGTAAGAGTATGCATGAAAACAAATGTCTGTCACCCCACCAAGGGAATGAAGGGGGGGGGAGGGGGAGAGCGGCGGGGTGGCTGCCTATAGACAAAGCCTATGTTTATGTGTGTGCCCCCAGAATCTGCCCCTCACCTCCCCTTTCTGCCACACCCACCCATCGCAGATCCCACCCTCCACTCCATCAGGTGCACTCTACCATGAGGTTGTTTCTTTTATAAGAGGGGGCCTGTTTTCAAATTCATGTGGGATGTTCACCCCAATCTGGGACCATGTGGCTCTGTAACCATGAGAATCAGAAGGTGTACAGTATATCTGTTGGCAGTGCAAGAATAGTTTTAGGCGTTTTGGGTCTTGGCTTGCTGAAAATACATTCAGACCCCGTTGCTATGGGTTATGTGTAGATGAAGCCCAAGCCAGGAGGCAGGTTCAACCATTAGCGTGGCTCAAGCAATGTTAACGAGAGGCTAGCGGGTAGGTCAAACTGCTGAATTAATTACAGCTCTGCCCAATGAGAAGCTCTGGGCTCATATATTGTTGTGCTAAGTTAAAAAAGGCTCCTATTCATAGTATGTGGTAACTGCTTCTGTGTGAGTGTTTTGGCCTGGTCCTTGGGGTCCCAATAGCTTCTCTCTCTTTCGTCTCTTGAGGGACAGATGCATTGATTTGCTCATTAGGGGAAGTACCAGGCAGGATTTTTCTTCCCCTTTTCTTCTCCTCATTGAGTGCCACTCAGCGGAGGGGTGTGGCTGGCCTCTCTCCCCGACTGCACATCATGAAAAACAGTAATGGAGGGAAGCGGGAGTGAGAAAAGGGGGATTGGGCAGCGGCTAGCCGATAAGAAGACTTCTTGCATATTCATCAGCGAATCAAAAATCATTGATTCCAAGGCTGTTCCACAGCTCTGCAAGCCCTGTCTAGAAGTGGCTATGGGGTGGAGGGGTGGGGGCAGCATGACATTTGTCCCCAACAATGTGAGTCCTGATACTCTTAAGCTCAGTATTGCAGAATTGCAAATGTATTCAAACACAAAGCAAGCGAAGAAAAAAGAGGGATATAAAGAAGGTGCTGATAAATATGCTTGAAATATGTGGAGCTACAAACACAAGCTGTCTCACAATGCCAGGCACAGCCTCTGTGGTTTCATTCAGTGTGCAGTGGTCGGCAAGCTTTGCTCTGCAACTCCGAGCCGTCTCTAACTACACTGAGACGCACTGAATGAGCTTTCATGTAATTGCCTCATAAATGCCACTTGTCCATCAGCCCCCTCTGTAGCACCCTGGCAATGTGTCAATCAAACATGAGTGGCCAGCTGGATCGGCCATTTGAATTAAGTTGCTATGGCTTCCTTTGGAAAGGTCTCTTAGATTGAATGTGGCTGAATTAATCCCCTTTCACTCCTGTTCTTTGGTTAATAGTGTAATTTGTAACTAAGTAGGAGTTATGAATTCTGCTTAAAGTTCGTTAAGCACTGGGCTTCATTGTTTGAAAAATATCTGAGTAATTATAACCACCTTTTTTAATTAGATAGTCATGTTTCAAGTGTAGCCATGCTTGAACTGTTCTCGAACTGATTAGGAAGAGGAATGCCAACCATAATCAACAGCATAGGGAAAGCCAAAAGAAACACTGTGAAGCAGTTCCAGCTGTCAGTCAATCATCCACTCAAGTGACAGTTTTACTTTCTGACTCACAATTAACCCTACAGAAGTTTACAGAATATCCTGAATGATCACACAACTGTTCCAAGAGCCTCAGACTAAGTTTTGCGCACATTCACGTCTTCCACAATAGCCACAGAATCCTTCACCCTCCTACTCTATGTCTATTAAAAAAGAACCAAAGACCCCGAGAGGGAGACGAAAAGAGGCTTAAACACAGAGTCTCCCATTCCTGGTATTCAAATCGTAACACACACTGTACCAGACAATGGTGCTGTGAACAAAAAAAGTTAAAATTCCCTTCAACATCCTTGATTCTCTCCTTGCACGTTAGCCTGGGAGTCGACGAGAAAAACATGCAAGCACAAAAGTAAACCTATTAGTGCAACAAATGCAGCTTTTACCCATACCCTGGGGTTGCTGGTGTGTTAGATGTCAGGGTCTTACAAAACAGGGACATTTGAAATATTGAAGCACACGAAATGTGAAGAAATGTCCTATTATCTACTTGAATCCCCTGAAGGGACGTAGCATGGGGAGTTCTGTTTTCAGAAATCAACAAAAGGTGTGCAAGAAAGAAGCTCGCCCTGCAGACAGAACTATAGATGTTATGTTCCAGTTGTAGGAAAAGACCTGTTTGAAAAGAGATCTAGAAGAGCTGTAGTTGGAGAAAAAAATGTATAAACAATTTGGTTTGGAATTTTGATGTGATTGTGGCACAAAAGTCAGTGCATTTAGGATTCAAATGAAGGGCAGAGAGAATAAATGACGGCTTTGCATAGTCTAAAGTTTCTGTAATATATACATTAGAAGTTATGCCACCTCTTTTGGTGTAAGTGAAACACTGATGTGTTTATACATGGTTAAAAACAGGGACAAAAATGAAAGAAATTAAACATTCATTCAACATTAAGGCAGAGATGAAATGCCATACGTAATGTTTTTCCGACAGAAAATTCAATTTGCTGCAAATTGAATTTTATTTTGGATCTGCATTTACAACTGCTATTTTACCTTATCTGGAAAAGGGTAGAATGATCAAACAGTTGCAGTACTCATAACTGCAGTTATAGCCTGCAATGAAACTGACTGCCCTCTTTCACTTCAGGTCACAATAAGCCAGAAGCAGACATGCTGGAATGTAAAAGGTAGTCTCCTGATTCTCCATGGTATATAAAGAAGAATGCGGATGAAAAAGGGGATCAGAGGTCAAGTGCCACAGAAAGACGATGAACAAAAAAGAATTTTAAAGTGCTCATATTTCAATCACAGGTTATATAGTGGTTATATCTTAAAAACATGTGGCTGATCCTTTTTGCCATCGCAATTCAGGGCCAGATAGCACTCTTCAAATTGTCCCCCTCAACGGCAGAGGAAGTGTGTAAATCACCTGCTTTCTATGGCTATTGGGCCCCTGTGTGAGACCATTTTTTTAAATGCCTGAGTAATACATTATTTTTTTATTCTATTTTTATATGTTCTGTTCTTCATGCATGATCTAAAGCCAAGACACTTCTTCACATTGTGGGCAATAAGGTACATAATTAACAAATTAAGTGCTGGAGAAATGCACTGACCTTTAATTTGCAATAAGAGCATTTTATTCTTATAAACAAATGGCTCCAATTTGCAAGGTAAGCAGATTACATACAGTACAGCAGTGTATCTCCATTAAAACATCCTAGTGTGCTGGACAAAGTTTGATCAAACATTCAGTAGTGACTTCTAGAGATTTAGACTTTTTGAGAAGATGCACAGCTATAGTTGCCACTTGTGTCAGACAAGTGCATGGTCGGCAGATCAAAACATCTAAGCACCCCCGATGATAAAGCTGCTGCTGATAGGAAGCACTTAACCTGTCTGGTCATTCTTGGTCATAGCTCTGAACCTGCAATCAGTGCTGGGTCTGGTATCTGTCAAATGCCATCAAACCTACCGCACATCAGCAGACCTTCCTAACCAGCGTCCATTGATATGCAAGAGACTGGAGCTGGGTGGCTGTGAACAGCATTCATTACCCGCTCCATCTCCATCCAAAGCAAATATTCCTGAATAACCAGTACAGTATAACATTAACAATGGAGATATCGTGGTTAGGGTTAAAGTCTATGAGTTCATGTCTAAAATAACTATAAGTTAAAAGATCAGTGTGAAGGATTTAGCGCCATCTAGTGGTGAAGTTGCAGATTGCAACCGTATAAATACAGCTCAGCCTTCCAAGCGTGTATTAAAAACTACGGTGACTGTGAATCTCGCAAAAAATGTGAAAGCCCTATCTAGAGCTAGTGTTTGGTTTGTCCGTTCTGGGCTACTATAGAAACAACCTCCGTGGAAGAAGACCTGTTCCCTCTGTAGATAAAAATGGCTCATTCTAAGGTGAAATGAATATTGAATATTATATTCCATTTCTGCCAATAGATCCTCCTAAATGTAACACACTGGACCTTTAAATATTAAGATCATCTGTAAAATCATGAGATCTAAAACGTTTGAGACCATTTGGTTCTAAACACTAGAAAAACACTCAACTAAATGGATCAAGGAAATGCTGAATACTTCAGTAAATATTATCACATATTTATACTGAGAAAATGCTCTTATAATTACAACTATATTTGGTTGTTACCCGTGTAAAAAGCATACAGCATTTTATTCTGTTACATATCTGTCAGCATCTGCTGTCAAACAGTGTAAAACAGTAAAAATGAACATCTTAGGGCAGAAATTGGTAGCATTGTTAGTATGATGTCTGTAGTACATGATTATTCAGATTAGCTGCGTGGATTAATATATTCTAAGGATCCAATAACTGGCAAGGATTTCCTAAAGGCAGACTTCCTGTTAATTAAGTATAGTTTTCCCTTCATTACTGAGTGCGTATGTGTCTGTGAGTGTGCCTGTTTGTTTGTTTGTGTATAGTCTATCCAGGTATGTCAAAACTCAAACCATTCACCCAAGAGCTGCACAAACTGGCAGGTAATGTGAAGGGCTAGTCAGCACAGAAATACAAACATGGAAACTCTAACAAGGAATCTTTGCCTTTACCTAATCATGGCATGTGGAAAAATCTCAATGCATTGCATTCAGATCTTGTTCATTGCATGACTCTCAGTCTTGAGAGCTACTGTGTGAGTCTTACCTCAATGATGTAGAGGACAATATTCTTGTAGAAGCAGTACAGGATACACTTGGCTACCCGGTTGTAATTCCAGGCTCCATGGACGAGCAGTAGATTCTTCAAGTATTTGAACTGTGTGGGAGGGAAGTAAATGGATGAAAATGACAAGATGAATTAATAGCAAATGTCTGTGTACAGGACACTGTCTAATGCTTCTTCATAATCAGAGATCAGTGCTGGAACACTAAAGCAGTCACAGGAACTTCAAGATTAAAGGAGGCAGCAGTGTTTTGTCATCCCCCAGTAGAGAGGACTGATGAGGCATTGTGGCCAAAGCTCTCACTAACACATTCCAGAAACTTCAAGTCAAAGATTGCAAGATCGAGCTTTAAAGTTGTTGAAAATGGAGGAGTTCATATGGGGGTATTGGTCTCCAAGGACTCAGCATAATAATTAAATGGCTATATAATTATACCACAATTTAGGGTCTGTGGTGAATTTACAATTTCAGTGCTATTTCTGGCTGTGATTATACTGGAGCAGAACTTCAAGTTTTTCATCTCAGTTGCCAGTAAATGGCTAAAACAAAGCCCACACTCTACACTGCATCCTCCTGCTATTTGACAAAAGGAAGTTCTTAAATTGTTTTGGAAACCAGAATAGAATTAAACGTACATTTGTGGGCAAACACAATTTTGTTTACTTGTAGGCTTTCTTGTCTTTAAGCATTACCACAGTATTCTTTGGTGAAATGAAAGCACAGTGGTGCCCCAGCTTGTCTGACCCCTCAAATGGTCGGATCAAACATCAGTTAACACAGACTTGAGCTGATGACAGATGGAGAGCAGAGGTGCCTCGGCCCAAAGCCTCTTCACTCTCCACTTGCTTCAACAGATAACTGAGCTTTCAAGTATTACATCTTAGGAACTAGCTCCTAAATATTCTACAGCAGCAAGGGGCTCATCTGACACTTTACAACATTAATATAAATCATGTATAGGAGTAGAAAAACAAGTTACACAACTTCCAAGGATTGATTTCAGTGTGCAGTCTGAAAATTACAGTTAATGTACCGTTACGCCAATTTATAGAAAACACCACTGGAAGTCTGGAGGTGTAATTTAATTTGATGCTGGGACACAACCTAAATGGATTATAGGAGGCCACCTGTCTTTGAAAGACATACACTTTTACATGTCATGCCGATTGAAGGGGGCACTTAAGACAAACCCAAGTCTCTTGAATGGTAATTGCACACTGAAGCACAGAGAGTGTACTGTGTTTGAGTCAACTATTGGTTTCCCATACTCTCATGCCCTGTGGCTGTAATAGAAACATGATGTACTGAGTGGCATGCTGTGTAGAAACGGAGCCATGATACAGGAAATCCATGGTTTTTGTTGCATATGGGTATCAAATATCGATGCAGAGAGTTTCCGACAAACTGGTTACTGGGACATAAGTATGTATTTAAGTAGCATTTTTCCCGGGATCTGTTTCTGTATAGTTATGTTGGGAGTTTTGTGTCACCAGATGCCTGTTTTACAGGTGTTCCTACTTCACTGTATAATCTAACGCCCTAGCAGACATATGACCTATTGTTATTCAGAACAATGTGCCAAGCTATCACTTACACATATTACACTTGAGGAGACAATGACATGGCTGACAATTTGTGGAATCAGACATTTAGAAGATAGAAATGGGCATGGATATCAATGTACTGCTGCCAGATTGAGGACATGTACATGCAGCTTCAAAGCATATTTAGATCAAGTTAAATTTATATTCTATGTGCAAAAGTGTAAATCTGCTTTTCTAGTCTTATGGTTTTCATTTTATGTACATACCTAAGTTAGGTATCTGTGCGTGAATATTTTTGTTTCAACAGAAATAACTCACCATAAAGTTTTCACAGGTGTTAATTTTACATAGTTTAGCCCTATAAGTTTAGATGAAGACTGTCTTCTGTTAATCTAGTCTGAATCAATCAAATCAAAATGTGAGAGTGCACTGGCATAATTTTATATATGGGATGCCATCAGGCAGTTAAAATGATGCAAGCTATCAAATTGGCTTCATAAATGTTAATTAATACATTTTAATTCAAACAAGAACCGTTATTATGAAGTTCCAACTACAACTTCTAATGAGGAAACAACATACTTTAATTAATATGTTGTGTTTTTCTCACTTGGTGTAAGCCCCTGCCCTCGTGCTCACCTGGGCAATAGAGTAGTCAGAGGAGTTTGCTGCCTGCAGGCCCTCGTTGCCTGAGATTCCCACACCGACATGAGCAGTCTGGATCATTCCCACGTCATTAGCACCATCACCAATGGCCAGCGTGATCACCTTCACTTGTTTCTTTACCATCTCCACCACCTCGGACTTCTGAAGGGGGGACACTCTAAAAGGGAGCAGCAGCACATGATATTTAATAAAACTAGAAATAGATTTTGTGTTCATCAGGAAGTGTAATTAACGTGGAAATATAGTATGCAGTGCAAAGGACAAGGACAGACATTATACTGGAGAGTAGATGAGCGACTATACATATCACTCAGGAATGTATTGTCCAGGAAATTCTATTTCCTACTTTCCCAGATTTGGGGAGTATAATCAGGGCATGCATAAAATAATATCATCTCTTGAGATCAGCACTTGGCAAAACCTAAAGCTTTTCCTCTACTTGGGAGAATAGTAGGTTGGAGCGTGCAGACAGTCCTGCCAAACTGTGTGAACACCCTAAAAATAAACATAGGGACATATTGTGCATAATGTTTCTTTAAGAATTACAGAAAAACAGGTGCCCAGGTGGCAGGGAATAAAAGCACTTGTAAAGACTACTACATTTAATCCCCCTTGACTGGATGTCACAGACGGCCGTATTCAGAACAAATCATGCGTTGTGGCAATTAGGGCACGGTTGTGTGGTGGTGTAGAGATGTTTATTTGTGCTTTAGAACCTAACTGCTGTAAAACAGAAGAAGCAAAAAATAATATTTTCTTTCTTTGATTCACCAGCTTTCTCACTACCAGCACTTTCTCTCTCTGTCTCTCTCTCTCTCAAACAAACAGACACAAACCAAAGAAAGCTTGCTGGTATTGCAATTTTCCAGCAAAGATGTAACACAACAACAACTATATACAGGTATTGTACCAACAGTAGACTTGTAAGATTAGGTCCATTGAGCAGAGCCAATGGTTAGGTGAACTCTTCCTTTACCAGACTTTAAACTTGACTTTATGCCCTTACTCACAGCAAAATCTGTAGCCTCCCACACAGGAGCTTCTTCTTAGTGCAGCAGAGGTTTGGGGGTAGTGTACAGTACAGAGAGTCTCCAGAGATGATGTCATAAACTGCACGTCTGTCTTAAGCTGTGAAACTGTTAATATTTATGATCTCCGTGGTTTTATGAGGCCTCATTCATCTCCCGGTGTCTCTTAGTGCCCACAGAGTGTGCACAAGGCAAAGGCAGGTAGAGGTGGAGGGAAAAATACATAAAACATTTGACGAGTCATAAGGTTTTCTGTTGTTCTGAAAACATGGTGCTGACTTCTGGGCCTAGACGCCGTCATGGTTGCTTGAGTACTTAAGTACTTCCTATTATTTATGTGGTCTGGGAAGGTCAACAGCGTACCTGCATAATGTTGAAAGTTGCCATTTGAATTTATAAGTAACACTTTTTAAACTGCTGCCATAAAAATACTCAATGACCTTTGTGGTGAAGACGTGATACTTTGTAGTTCAACCATAGAGCTTTCAATTTAATTTAAACCATTTCTAAGCAAAAATGTCCAACATTACTTACTTTTAGCTTCTTATTTGTTTGATTTTTTCTGATTTATCTCATTGTAAAATGAGCATCTTTAGGTTTTGGGTGATTGGTCTGACAAAACAAGCAATTTTATGATACCAGCTTAGGCTCTGGGATTTTGTGATGGGCAATTTTTACATTCTGATTACTTTTATAGACAAAACGATGAATCGGTCAATCGTTAGTTACAGCCATGCTTGAATGTCTCACTATCTCTCCTTTCTTGTTTATAGAGGTTGCGGTCAAAAGACTTCTCATTGGGAAGCATTGAGGAGATTGTATAAGAAGGTCAGTTTTGTGTAGTCACTACAGTCTAATAGTCCATGTGCATCTTGTTTAAAGAAAAAACACATTAAAAAAATGACTCAGTTCTCATAAATGATAAATGATATCAGTAAAAAGGGATTTTCCAACTCTATATACAAATTTGGGCACTTTTTTTTGTCTCATGCATTAAAGTGGATACAGGGAAATGACTTCACCTTGAGTCGTGTACAGTACTTCATGTTAGCGTTTGAACACTTGTAACTTATTTTAAGCAGTCGTGTTTTCAAGTGCAGAAACAGATTGGGTCTTTTAAGAACATTGTCTTCATTATTTCATTTTGGTCAGTGGGATTTATTGTCTCAGGTTTATTTTATTGTTTGAGGAGTAAATCTTACCTGCAGCATATGACAGCTTTGCAGGACAGGGCGAGGTCCAGGAAGTACTGTCTCACTCCGAATGTGAGGGCGTATTTGAGAGTCTTCCCGTCAATAATGAGAGCAAAGTCGTTCTCCTTGTAGAGGGCATCTCCCAGCATTCCACAGTGGTGGCTAAGTGTTTCCCTTGTTCTCTGTGTGATGGAAAACATGTCATGAATGTTAGTTTAATTACTGTAATTAGTCATTATAATTTCAAGCCTATAGTGGTGTAGATGCTAGAGCAGATAAGCATCGTTATTATATAATGTTAGCTATTTTCACCCGGGTGGATTGGTTTTCAAGGGTCTACTGTGCAAGCTGATTATGATTAAATAAAGTTATTTAAGATGGTTTTGTTTAAATTGTTTATTTTAGAAGTATTTGTCAATTTGTTAACAGATACAAAAACACTATACAATTATTAATAACACCATACCATCTGTTATCGTGGCAAAATTAATTGTGCACATAAACATCTATGAGTAAGAGATTAATTGTGTTTGTAAAGTAAACTGAGATGTTTTCATGGATGACAGATCACTATACAATGATGGAGTATAAGAAAACATTTTTTTTTTTTAAACTTCTATCCAGTTCTTCATTAACAACATGGTTTACTGCAAAAACAATCGCATATGTAAGATCATTTTTAATGACACCTTTTTTTCTGCTGCCATTTCACAACTTTCAACCAGTTTCTGGGATTAGAAGTTTCTAGGCTATGTCTTCAGGAAAAAAGAACCCGTTGGTGAATGTTTTTTGTTAGTTGTAACTTTCTTTTCTCCATTTACACATGAGGACTGAGATGCATGGAGAATCTCAATGATGCCGAACCACAGTAAGATCCCCCACTGTAATCTTCTATAAGCCTTATATTTCATCCACCGTAGTGGGGTGTCCAACAAATGTCTTCCTCTGTTTGTATAATGCATTTTAAATGTCCAACAATGAAATATAATTTGTTCATTACATTTTTGTCACTACAATTTGCAACACCAAAGGCACCAATGGCATTCATATTGATAAGCTATTTCTTCACAACAGTAGGTTTTAGACTCTGAATTTTAATCGAGTCTCTAATTCACATCAGTGTCAAATAGATGTGGCAGATTTGTCCACTCTTCTTGCTAATCCCAAACTGCTGCACAGCAGCTGCTCTTGATATTTTAGATATTTATTATGTTTCCCATGCTTACTAAACTCAGACCTCGGCTATGAGGTGATAACATAGACGAGTTCTGAGACTGGATCATGTTTGCTTATACAGTATATACAGCTATGATGATGAGTGATGATGAAAATCCATAAATATAAGACTGACAAGAGGATTAACTGTCCTGGTATTGGGGCATGTGGACTGGATGGATGGGGTGGTGAGATCATCATTGTATTCATCATTCAATCATCTTCCTCACAGATGGTGAAACCATTAGGAAATAAAAACTAATTTCTGTCTATAAACATTTCCTTTAGAGACAAATATTACCTGTATTCAATTAAACAAGTTGAGGTATATCATATTTTTTCAGAATTACTTGATTTCAAAAATATAACAGAAGCACTTCCTGCAATAACATACTATTCTTAATGAGGGTGGGGTCATAATCAGCAAATGTACAGTCACATTTCTTTAAATGGACAGATATAAAGCAATAACACAATGCAAAATAATCAAACCTAATATGCCAAACAGATGCTCAAACAGCTGTAATCATTAAAAAATGGTGGCCATTAACAGCAGCGAGGGAAGGAGGGGTCCGGCACGGTGTCGAGGTCAGATATGTCATAGCAGTCAGATTGTACCAGAGGGACCAGGCAACGTTCGCTTGGCATAACAAAACTCTGAAACCCCAGCTTAAAGGAAATATTTGGAGAAAGGGGCTTTACGTTACACAAAGTGAGAGAAGGAGAGTGAGAGACACGCAGAGAAAGAGATGATGGATTAACAGAGGAGAGAAACTGAGCAAGAGGATACAAGCAGAAAGCAGCTGCCAGGACTTAACCATCCATGATGGGGTCTGTAAAACAGCATGAGATGGTGAGCAGTGGGCAGGCTTGTGTGTGTGTGTGTGTGTGTGTGTGTGTGTGTGTGTGTGTGTAGATCTGTGTGTGTGTGTGTGTGTGTGTGTGTGTGTGTGTGTGTGTGTGAGAGAGAGAGAGAGAGAGAAAGACGGAGAGAAGCACAGGTCAAAAAAGGCATAGGTTGTGATATCTGTATTCAACCGCCAAAGCCAAACAGTGAAAGCCTCTCCATCTCAGTTATCAGACTGATTTTACATGACGTCTCAGTATGAAGGTGCGTGTGTGTGTGTGCGTGTGTGTGTGTACTTTATATAAGCTGGTATACCATCTGCATGAGAAGGAATTCACTCTGTTTGGGGCAAAATCTATTCATCACATAGTGTGATAAGCAACGTTTACCATTTCCTCAAGTAGGGCGGCCATTTCCCCCTGAATTTCCACTGTGGAATTTTAACACTAATGCTACATGTCTCCTCCTAAAGCTTCTTTGTTATGGCTATAATGACCAGTTTAGCCTATGTGACTAGCTAGTGTTTGGTTTTGGAATGTGTATGTGGCGTCCATTCAGAAATCCACAAGAGCTTCCAATAAAGACTGAGCTCCATTGTTGATATAGGCCCTTGAGTGATATACCCAACAGGACGTGACACTCATGATGTGGAATCTGGACATTTGTATGGATGTAGTGTCATCATCTGTCTTAGACTCAGTGATACTCAAAAACCTCTCCACCGTAGTTTGAAGTGTGTGTACAAAAACCTTTCTGACATACGTCTCACCGACAGAACACTTATGCTTGCATGTTCTAATCCAATTCTCCCCTGAATTTTATTTATTTAATTTAATGTTTTTCAACTTTTTTTAATAATGAAAATACACACAAATAACCCTTTTTACAGAAAAAGGAAAATAATAAGCCCCATGTATTTGTACTCCATAAAGATTAATATACTAACAAACCCAATAAACTCTCCAAATGGCAAAAACAGGCTGACTGAAAGACAAAGCTGTTCAAAATGACCTAATCCCACCAAAGTTTCACTTTGGGAAGATTTAGTACAGCAGATGTCTGAAACTTTCTCCTCCCTTTGATAGCCATTTCTAAACAAAGCAAACAAGGAAGACATGCTCCAATTACTCTCTTTTGCAGCACAAGGGCACTCAGAATTACCAGCACTGCTACCAGGGCCTCTGTTCACTGTGCCTCCTCAGTCTTGGTGGAGAGGTTTCTCCCTTCGCGTTTTAACAAACTACCCTATGTAAGCATCTGCTCAACCACAGGAGAATCGGAGCTGACATTTCAAAGCGCCGCTCCGTTTGCTTTATGAATGCACCGACCCCAAATTTCTACCTCAACTTCATTTATCACGCTCAGCGACCGGCTGACAGAGTGAAGGCCGTCCGTCATCACCCCCAAACACCCCCCTGCTGCTTTCCCCTCCTTCCACTTCTCACCATCCCCCCCACCTTGTACGACAAACTAAACTTAGTCAAGTTTCCCCTCAATCCGTGGCTTCCCTGCATAGCTTTCTCCTGTTGGAAGTGCAGCGACTTGGCCTTTTCAATCTCAGAAACAACAGACATGGCTCTCCTGCCGGGGGTCAACAGACTTCTCTGCTGGGTGTCTTAAAAATGTTAAAGACAGATTTGGGATGTATGGTGGCGGTGTGTGTGGAAGACTCCCTGTGGCTTCATCCTTTCGGTTTTTTACAGGGATTGGTTGATGAGATTAGGGCATTATTATACTCAATCATGTCCTCATGATGTCATATTTTTACCCTCAAGGTTAGTAACGAGCATTTGAAAATATTTCTTATAAATTGTTTTAACTTGTGTGCACACTAAGGCAATATAATTTTCCATGTGGGCATATAAAACTACCGTATGTATAATGGGTGCCAAAAACACTGGGAGATGCATGCATGAGGCAAATGACAGAGATGAGCTTTATGTGCTTGGTGAACTTTTTGGTTCTGTATACAAAGAAGTCTGATTATTCGTGTGAAAGCAAAGTGCTAAATACTCACATCCAGTGTGTCTTCATTGATCACAAGCATGCCCATGTTCTTGGTCAGTAGTTTGCAGGAATGTCCTACATGAAGAAGAAAAACAGAAGATGAGATTATATGTCTTACAGAGCAAATTTAATAGACTTGAAAGACTGGAAAGTAAGCATGTAGGCCAGCAGGAATATATTTAAAATGAATTAAATTAGTACTCATTACTAAGTGTAGTGTATTTTAGTTTCAATAACCCCCTTTAGCTTGACAGCTTATCAGCTTTAGACCCAAACACACATGTACACACACACAGATTAAATAGATCAAACAAAAAATGTAAAAAAAAGAAGAAAAACAAAATAAAGTACGCTACAGTATGCAGCAATACATTTTAAGGGACACCAATTAAAATGTTACAGCTCAGAGCCAGTGTCTCGGGACATAACTAATGAGTTTGGTTTACAAGGGTTTGTCAGTTTCCTGTTTTAATAGGCAGTTACAACTTTGAGTTACCCAACATGGCTCTCTGGGGAGCGTTCCCCTCGGCTCTTGGCTGGGACAGATGCTCAGGGTCACCAGCAAGGTGGTAGAGGGAGCCTCCCGTTTAGGGAAAACAGAAATGTTTCAGGAACCAAGACTGAAGCCTTCAGTTCAAAACTGAGGCTGTATGAAAAGGCTGCCATCTGTGGCATAACCACATGAATATTTGTGGGCTTTAACACTTTGCTTCTGTCTGGAAAGAGAGTTTTAGTTTCTTTAAGGGGGTTACCACAAAGCCCATGTTTTGTGAATACATGGGTGGCATTTTCTGTGAGTGAAACTGAGATAAGATCCTGCACAGAACACACAAAAACACGCAGTCACAGTCAAACACAATAGTGCACACACACAGTACACACAGAGGGGGGGCTTTGCATGAGGAAATGAGAGGGTTTCACCTCCAGCGTCAAAACAAAACAGGGTCTGGGAGATTGTTTTCCTAAGTGCAAAGGTGCAAACGTCCAAAAATTTGCCAAAGTGAGGGAAATTTCTCCCCATCTCAACACAACGTCTCAACTCCCTTCCCCCTGTCAATTCCTGCCACAGCCCTTCCGCTTAAACTGTTTACCTTAAGCTCATTTGACTGCAGCCAAACTGGCCTTTTATATTTCACCAGAGAAAGTTGAATTCCTGGCCTTTCTCCATCTCAGGCGGAACTAAACACAGCTCCCACAGGACTTGAGGAATGTGTAACAGGGACACTCAGGTCACAGTAATCTCAAATGTTGAAACAGGAGTAACAATTAATGTAAAGATACAATGTTTAACAACAGAGGGCACACAAAATGGATAACACATACTGCCACTAAGAGTTAGATAGAAAGGTAGAAAGAATGGTGACCTGAAATTAATGAATGGACAGAAGGTGGGAAGGTAGGTATTATAGGGGCTCATATTTGCCTATGTGCCTCTCATCCGTGATACCTTTAACAAGCTCAACAGCGGGCACTTTCCTTTCATTGAATTCTGGCTCTGACCGGTCCTTAGCATCATGTCCGTTCAACTCCCCTCAACAAACAGCTCACAGCACTGGGAGCGTGTCCCAGAGCAAACATTGCTCTTTCCTCAGGCAGCCAGACACACAGTGTCAGAGTATTTACTGTACATTATGTCATGATAGTTCAGGATTACGGACAACCTGAAACAATCTGTCTTTACAGTTTGAGATCAAAGGAATCTGTCATGTTTCAATATCATAAATATGGAAAATAAGTCAACTCAACTGCATTTACAACCAATATTCAGTGCCTAGATTGGTGTTTGGGTGGTTCAGGCCACCTTGAAATGTAGAAAAATCTAAATATGATGGGCTAAATTCACCAGTCCAATGTGGCAAATGGTGCACCATTAACCCTGGTGATGGGGATCGTCTTTCAGTGAGGAAAATAGTATAAAACAAAGTCAATATTGAGCAGAGATTTTACAGAGCGACTAAGTCAAGCGGCGGACCTGTAAAAATACTTCCAGTGAGCATGTGCTTCTGCGGAGCTCCCTCACATCTGGGCACAGTGGGCACAAAGGGCCGATTCAGTCAGGCCACAGTGGTAGGTATAGCCACAAACGGAGGTACTTTTCATATCTATTTTTCTGGCTCCTGTCTTAAAATGTCGGCTGTATTTAAGGTGGATCCATTTGTAATGTTTAGCCACATCTAAGAGCTTTAATCAGGACCAATTAAGGAAACTGAGATGGAACTGATGGACCAGAGTTAGTCTTTCACCTTTCTGATAACATCTGCAAGGCTTAAACCTCTAGGGGAGCCAGGTACGTGAGAGCTGCCTCGTTGTGTACATATGCATGTTATTTATTTCATGTCAGTGCAGTGTGCTCATACATCATCTAGCATTCTGCAACAGATGCTTTTGCTAGATATGTGTGACAGAGAAGCATTCAGCTTGTCAGTAGTTTGTCTTGCTGGGTGAAGAATGATCACAGGACTGACTGCAGCCAATGTAAGAGCCTAGTGTACAATTTATCACAACACAGATCAGGTTCACCAGTGACTTTTCATCAAGTGCACAAGTATCTTGATGCACAAAAATGAATCGGAGTATGTAGGTGCAAACAGCCTTTAATGCCCAGCTGCATTACTAGCATCAGCCTGCTATTTGACGAGTGGCAGCAGCATTGAGCTTGTATCAGCTTCAATATGTTTTCTTTAGACATTAAGATGCACATTCAACCCTCCAGGTCAGCAACACACTGAATACCAACTGCCTCCAGGGTGCAGTTGACTTTTGACCTCTATGTGGAAGGGAAAATATTAAAATCTAATTTCCCTCTATGGTTGCAGGATTGTTGGTCTTACTACGAATAATTACTATGAAAACCCAGTTTTCTTCATACTGTGTAACAGTTTGTAACACAGAGTCAAAACCATCTTACAGTCCCTGAGTCTTACCAATATTGATGGCTGTTTCCTGTTTGTCCCCTGTCAGGATCCAGATCTTGATGTCTGCCTTCATCAGAGTCTCAATGGTCTCGGGCACCTTATCCTGGAGCTTGTCCTCTATTGCTGTGGCCCCAAGCAGCTGCAGATTCTACACCCAAAATGAGGAAAAGAAAGAAAAAAAGTCAGTAAGTGGTGATCACAACAGAGGAAGGCCTTTAAAACATCATGTGTCAGAGAAACATGTGAGCCAGGATTGTGTCGCTCACTTAGTCACGTTTTTACCCTCATCAGCTGCTCTTGTTTATCACCCAGAGAAAGCACCATGGCTTTGAGGGGTTTTGGATATGTATATGTTACTATGCCGCTGTGTGTGTGTGGGCATCTGCAGACACGACCTCTCCTACACAAGCACACCCAAAAAATACTCTTGGTGTTTTTCCCAGGAAACTTGGTGGTTCTTTGGGGCTGGTTGTGGGCTCATATGGGGCCATCACAGGGCCAAAGATTTGACAAGACCCAGGAGTAGAGGGGAGACAGGAGCCAGCAGCAGAGAAAAGGCAGGGGGAAGCTCTTGAAGTTGAGACCCGAGCACTGCTGCCTGTACATTTGTAGCTTTGTCCTCTCTAATTGTTTGGAACCATTAAGCATGGAAAACCATGCCGGAGGAGAACATGACTATACCTAATGCGTCCTCGTTTGCCTTTTTCATTTGAACTGTTCTACTGTTCCTATGGTTGTTGTTAAAAGCACTCTTTGTGGATTATGATACAAGAACCACTTAGATCAGGATTTCAACCCCCGAGCCAGGGTGGGACCATAAAAGCAGCCAAACGCTGGTAAATTCTGTCTGGTGTTAGTGGATTAACCATAATTTAAGGGATTGTATTTGTGGTTCAGAATCCATGTAGCACTGAGAGAGTGGCTGCTACACCAGAGTACTTTCCTATTATGCTCTTAATGTGTAAGAAAATAAGTTATAACTTTGCAAACTGAGGCAGCAGTGTAAATGATATATGATCTTCCTGGAAAATTCTATCCAGTTACTGATAGTTGGCTGAGCTGAAGTGCTGAAACGTAGGAGACTGGAGCAGTTTACTTTACATTTCCATACTGCAGTACAGGGTAATATGAGTGTAACAGTCTCTTTGTTGAAGGATGATTAGTGGAATATGATTACAGCAATCAAGTATGCTCTAAAGCACAGTACTGTACAAGTAATGGAAATCATTAATAATTATTGAAAATAATAATAATAATCAATTGAAGGATTTGGTATCAAAGTACAACTCAATACAGAATGCAATAACACAGGAATAAAGTGATTTTGTATTATTATTAGCTAGTTCCTATCAGGGCTGAATAATGTGGAATTTTTCACATTTTCTTACACAGTAAGTATTCACACCTGAGCCTTTTGTTTGAGAGATGATGTGAAGGAGTAAGATGATTTCACTGTCTTTCACTGCAACTCCATTGTGCCCCCATGTGGCGCTACTGTGTGCATTTCTAAGTATGGGTGGCCCCGAGGAGCAATGAACCCCAAACCCTGGCTGCATAACACTCCACTGCCACACTCTGCCCATTAAGCAATGCACATTACATTTTCCTCTCTGAAAGCTTTTATGTTTATTTCATGATTGATTGCCGCCATTTGTTTTGGGCAGCCAGGAGCAGCCATGAAGAACATGCCAAGTGGTTGATTTACGACTGTGGCTTCCTGTGTTTGACTAGCGCTTCCACATAGACCCACCTCACAGGAAACCAATTCTACCTGCTGGAGAAACCCTGAATTTCTCTCACACAAACACACAATTTGGAACTTTTTTCCATTTCCAGGTGTGATTACACTGCCCCCATTAGTTACACAGGGGGCCTTGAGTTTGTGCCCCGTCAGATTTTTCTGCAAAAGGACAGATGCCTACCAAAAATGCATTCTATAATGAAATACCTGACGGTAGGACTAGAAGGCAAAATGACAAACAAAATGATGACAAGGAACATAACACACAGTCAGGGCATCAGGAACTGATACCACACAAACACGTATCAGTTTTTCACTTAGCAAACCTTCTCTATCAGTTCGTAGCTCTCCTCCAGTTTTAGGGATCTGTTCTGCAGGGAGGTGGAGGCTCTGTGGTAGATCTCCAGCCACTGCTGATAGGACGACTCACTGACGTCTGCCACCGCAAAGCACAGAGTGCGCAGACCTGGAAGAGGAAAAATAGCACCGAGGTCAGATGTCATGACTTTTTACCATTTTCCATTTCAAAACTTTTAAGTGTTGACTAGATTGACCAGCTGTGCACTGTAACCATTGGCGACCTCCTCTCTGTGTAGCTAAATGAGTACTACAACATAAGAAGCAATAACTTAAATGATTAAATTATTTCTTAAGCTTTTCTATTGATTTCTGACCAGTGAATACGTCTACACCTTTTGAAAGGACTGGGTGGGTGCTTGCCATATAGAACACATCATAACTAAGCTAACTACCATGTCTTATACTTTGGTATTATTTGTTGGTGGATGTTTATTTAATTATTGTGTACAAATGTATTATGGTATAAAGACTCATGTAAAATTATATTGCATTTTATACTATTTTAAGGGTTCCTTATTAACATCTACCCAGGAATAACAGTAATAGTAAGTAAGTACACTTTTTTTCCCCTGTCAAATAAAACACCAAACACCAGAGGAAAAGAAAGTCATGACGACATATCATTTATTTCCCCAACAGCTAAAACAATAACTACACACACACTATATCATGCTAATGCACTACGCCAAATGGGCACATAACTTCCTACATGCCTTGTTTTCCAAGCAGGATAAATACAAGTTCTGGCACAGTTTAACATGGGTTTAAATACATGCACATAATATATGTGCACTGTATCAGTGTTTGTAGTTCACATGAACATAAATACTGTATGTTAGAAGTCAAAATATCTGAATAAATTATGACTAAATATAGATTCTCTCTTCAATGCAAATAACATTTAAGAATCATCATAAAATCAAGAATCAAATATGTAGTCATTAATAGTTAATTCTTCCTGTCAGAAAGACAAAGGAAGTTATATTTTATTCAGGCCTCTCCAAATTACAGTAACTAAGAATCTTCACAATCTGTCCTGAATGCTATTTTTAGCCTACATCAAATATTCCCAATGACATCATTGTGCTGGTGTCTCACAAGAGGGCAGTATGAACACAGAACAAAAAGGAGTCTCTGATGCAGTTTCTTGCAGCTCCACTGCCTAAGGTTAACACTACTTCAGCTTACTCATATTTGGATTTATAGTTTCAATCAAATAATGCAAAGGCTTGTGATGTGAAAAGAAAACTACTTATTCGGCTACAACTGATGGTCAAGTGGTGATAGTGACCACCATAAAGCAATGAGAGCAGCACATACAGTACAATAGAAGCGTTCTAAGATGTTTTACTTTTGCCAGACAGGGGGCGACATTTGTTCACTCACCTTCAGTGGCAAACTGTTCTAGGTGCTTCAATGTGATCTCTTTGTACCTAGAGCTGTCTGCCAGACGGTCATAGATCACTGTGTCCTGAAGGGAAACAAACACTCATTGGTTATCGACACCCAGAGAGGAAAGGAACGTTCTGGACTTGCTCTCACACAACCCTTTATGTTGCACTCTGTTTCTCCTCAGATTTGCCCAGTGGCCTTCAAGCTTTTCATACTGCAATAATAATTTGCTTAAAAAGCAGGTAAGGGGAAATTATTAATACACGACTAATGTATGTGGATCTTGTGACAGATACATTATTCTCTGAGCAATGCGTTTTAATAAATATTAAAAACAATCAAACTAAAATAAATATATATATGCACTAAACCTGCTAATAAATTTTGTGCCCTTTTGATGTTATAACAAAATAAATATTGCGTCAAACGGAAAAAAAGTTTTATACATTTTACATAAGACTGCTAGGAAAAAATATGACAAGCAAACTCAAGTTTATTAATTCTAATTCAAATGTTTATTAGATTCTTCCTGTAAATTATGTTTGCATAAACCAGATATACATGTGCGAAACACAGTGAGCTTCCTTTATGCTGCTGCTCATTGTAAAGATTTCCTGATGAGAGCGAGAGGCTATAAGGGGAGGAGAGTGTTCGACACTTGTATGTGTGGTGATGATGGTGATGGGCTGTCATGCGTTGCCATGGAGAGAGACAGACACTCACAGCTCCTTTGCAGTAGAGGCGGATCTTTCCAGATGGGGTGCGCATGATGACTGACATCCTTTTTCTCGCACTGTGAGAGAAAAAGGCGAGAGAGAGAGAGAGAGAGAGAGAGAAGAAGGTGAGATGAGGAGAGAAAGCAAGTGGGAGACATCACATTACAAGGTGTGACATCAAATTATCAAGTACTGTTTGAGCCAGCATACGTCTACTGAAATTAGAAATCAAAGAAGTCGGTAATCACACCTAGGACTTACAATTAATTAGCACAAATCATAAGGGCAAAAGGAAAATAATGAACTTTGATATCATACAATTCTTCTGAGGTTCATTCATTTACTAATTCATGCATATATGGCTTGTACATACAACAAATTACAGACAGTATGTATTCAGCAGTTGTATACATGATAAAACAAAAAAAACCAAAGTAGTTTACCTTGTAAATTCCAGCACGTGAAGTAGTTCATACTTCTCCTCTGCTCCGAGCTAAATCAAGAGACGGACAAGTTAACATATTCCAAAATGACACATCATAACCTTAGTCTTCTTCTGAGACAACTTATCTTAAGTAGCACAAGTCAACCCTGCCACCCCACTCGAATCAGCTTTAATTACACTTAATATGTGTTTATCAGTTGCCTGCACTGAGCTGATGGAGGGAGAATAACAAGGTAAAATTCAATTAACTTCCTTAATTGTAGAGACCGCAAGGTACAAGACAGCGTGATTAAATAGATGCTGAGAGCTTTAGAAGGTCTAATAAAGGTTAAGAAATTGGACAAACGTCTTGGAGACAAGATGTTCTCAGCAGAAATGAAAAAAAAACTGAAAATGGTTCTGGACTTTCTGTCTCGGCCTCTTTGAGTGCAATCATCAGGTTAGCCAATTAAAGGAACAACAGGATGGGTGACCTGAGCTTTGGAGAAGACACAACAGCTCAGGATATAATCACAGACAATGTGATGTTTGTCATTTTCCATTATTATGGCCCATGTGAAGACAAAAGGCTCAGTTCTCTGTTTCATTATGCACATTAGTTTCAGCTCAAGGTCTTTTTTGGAACATCTGAGCAAAATAAAAAATAGAAAAATACAGAATTCATTACGTAAGTTAGTGCCTAGAGATATTCTACCTATTGCGAGGCTCTATAACTTCAAAATAATTGGGATGTGCAGTGTGGTTATAGCAACAGTTCGACATTGTAGGAAATACGCTTAATCAATTTCTTGCCACGAGTTATATGATAAAATTGTTACCAGTCTTAGCAAAAATCTGCCAGGACTACCAAAGCTTGTTTTTGTTAACACATTAACTCTTATGTGATTAATCCGTACAGAAGTGTGAAAACAACAATTTGCTGTTTTACAAGGGGTTATGAGCTGGACTATTTCTTTGAGTATGTTCTATTTCAGTGGTTTTCTGGCAATTGCTCCCCATCAAGAATCTTTTGGGGATTTTGTTCCCTGTGGACAGACTAGCTGTTTCCCCCAGTCTTTATACTGGGTTCAGGTAACTGGCTGCTTGCTATAGCTTAATAGTTATTGTACAGACATGACAGTGGCATCACCTTATCATCTAACTCTCGGTAAAAAGGCAAATATGCAAAGCTCCAAGTATTGTTCACTTCTAGTTAGATCTTAGAGAGGATGCGCCTTCCCAGTATTTTGTTTGTGGTGCTAAACCAAAATCTTAAGTTCCCAAAGGTATAAAAAAGAAGCATAAACAGATTTCCAGGACAAAATTCACTAATCTCAAGTCTAGCAATTTATTTTGGCTGTCAGGTGGCCTTCATCATCAGAGCATGTACTATATATATATGTTTAATTTCTCTATTTGGATTTAGCTGATAAACTCGTTGTTAGTATCGCACATCTATCAGCATGTGAGCACACAGTCTTATAGTTTGATACTTTTTTTCTTTTTTGAGGTCATAGTAGACCATCATGATACTCGTACTAAAGATTAAGCGGATCTATCGATCAGTAGAATGGTATGCATACCTTTACCTTTATTAAATTGTCACTCTTACCATTTCCACAATGACGCTGTCTGGAGTTCTACCAGAAAATACAAAGCCAAGGTTTTCTGCTGCTCTCACCAGAGCTCCTTCATCTTGAAAGCAAACAAAAACCCCAAATGTTACAGATAAACACACAAAAAAAGAGCACAGACTGTTGGCACAGTGCTGTCTCAAGACAAGTCACATTTGGTACATAATACTAGTTCATCTCGACACATTTTCATAATGAGAGCGGTGACTGAAAGCTGTGGACCAGGTATAGCTGATGCTCCAGATTGCATGAGGGATGAGATGCTGCAGGGCGACAAAAAGCTCTCTGCCTGTTTTTTACAGTTCACTTACCTACCCTTCTCTTTGCAGCAAATCCCCGCTCTGCTTCAAACCCCAAAGCTCCATAAGACCATGATTGTTCTAAGCAATCAGGCAAAAAAAGTGTCTCTCTTATCAAAAGCAAAATGTAAGATGAAAAGCAGCAGCAGTGCTTTGTACACTTATTATAGAACACTTTTAGCCAATCAATACGTGTTCATTAAAAGCCCAATCAGTAATGTTTCACCACAGAGAGAGATGGAAGAGCATTTATTGTTTCTAAATAGAACTGCATGTGTCTGCCTGTTTTACTTCTGTGTCTTCTACTAACATCACCAATGTAGTCAAAAGCTTAGGGTAGCACCTCTTCTTTAGATGCAGTCTTGTTTTTGACCATAAACTGAAAGCCCTTTCAATCAATTTGACAATCAATAATAGGAGCTTCAAATTCTGTGTTTTTAATTCTTCCCATGAGAGTCACTTCATTGTTTCCATTTGGATCACAAACGTGTGCCTTTAACCATAGTGACATTTTCCGAGTTGATTAGGATGGTCCTTTATTTTCAGGAAATTTACATAGTGCTGTTAGGGGCAACCACTGTGTCTAAGTGGTGAAGCCAATATGCAAATGCTTTAAGCTGCAGCCATTCTTGTAAAATACAAAGGCAACCAACTTTTAGAGTTTCAGTAGTTAATTTCACCTCCTCTAATGGCAGTGATTTTGTGCACAGAATCACATTTAAGGGCATATTTTCTTGATTGGCAGGTGTCTCATCACTACCATGGATGTGAGAGACTAAGGGATCCAAGCGAGGCTCAGAGAATCAGAAGTGACACACACCATGCATTGTGTAAACAGGATGTTTTATTTTCTAATATGATTCCTGGCTCTTTCCTGCACTAATGATTACATAAATGTCTTTATGAAATACTGTTATCTGGAGGCTGTTCCATTTGCAAGACACAAAGGTCACTAGATGGAAAATTAAATATCTCAACAGAAACAAAAAAAGCAAGGCCACAGCATCATTGATGGAAAGCACCTGGAACCCAGTCCAGCCAGCATCACCCAGAGCTGCAGCACCAGCAGTTTAAGACTTGCACTTTCTGGAGTTTCAGTTCAACTTGCCAGCACCAGAAAATTGTAAATAAACATGCCACTGAGCACCATCTATAGGCAACAAAACTAACAGTTTCTGCTATTAAGATTTTCTGTGTGGGTGTGTGTTCAATGGTTAACATTTTACACTGTAAACCAAATTAAATACTGGGGTGAATAATAAGCTCACTGAGTCACTGTGTCAATCAATCAACACAGGGTGGGGGTCCTAACCACATTGTTGTGCTAAATATCTGTAGAATAAACTTGGGAATTAGTAAAACACACTTTCTATCTGAACTTTTTTTTATTGGTAAAATAGTTAGCTATGAACAAGTGACTATGTCCATTTTAGCTGTAATGATTTCTACAATGGTTAAAATTACAGAATCTATCATTTAGGAATCCCCAGGTCAAGACTTATTATTTTTGTTTCGTAAAGATGGCGCAGTTAGGAATGTTTATAACTGCTCTGAGAGTGACTGAACAACTCCACACATGGAAAATATGCTGGTTTGCAAGTAAGCAGCCATTTTGATATGATTCAAAACTAAAAAGGTCTCAATAGCTTCTCCATTCATAAATATCTAATCTTGATAATAATGCCATTTTATTTCAAATGTTTTGTTATTTTTTCATTATTGAGCTACCACACACTAGACAAAGTCTGGGCAATAGTAAAACACACACACACACACACACACACACACACACACACACACACACACATCATACATTAGGGTAATACCAGGGCAGTATACTGTATATCGAGTAGCTGTGCTGATGAAGGTGTGATCTACCTGGAGATGCAGCCTGGTAGGTGATTTTTCCATCCGTGCGCTCTGGGACTGCAGTGTGACAGATGGCCATCATGGTCATGAATTCCTGGATGACAGCAGCTGTAGGCTACAGGAAAGAAGAAAGGGCACTTTGACTTTAAATGTTCTTTAGGAAAACATGTCACAAACAGACACAACAACTAGAAAGATCTTGATGATACTGTAGGAAGACAGGCGTGAATGTCACTGTGGAGATTCCTTGAAAGACAGACATTATCTACTGCAGTCCTAGAACTGGGAAAAGAAAACTGGACAAAAAGTCTGTCTAAATAGCCATTAACTCTACCTTCAGGTTTGTCAGTCTATGAAACGCATGGGTTCCAGTATTCACCAATCAAGTTCAGATAGACTAATAAATGCTGGTAACAAACCGGTAGGATCCCACAGAACACGCCAGCTGCTGGCAGACATTTTCTCATGCATGTGGATGTAATATAAACTTGTTTCAGTTAATGAAAAAAAAAAATCCTAACCTATAAACTGAGGGCATTTTACATTAATGAGGGGAAATGTATGACTAACTAGCTAAAGGGGAAACTCGGACAGGCATCTGCTGAGGCTCCTGTCTGAGGCTGCAGGACCACCAGCTACTAGTCAGTGAGGCAGAGATATCGGCTACCTCCAGGGCTACACCAGGCCTGAATCATGCAGCAAACAGTAATCAGGCAGCTAATGGTTGTTAAAAATGAGACCAACAGCAGAATAAACTCACTAGTTCACCAACATTTTGAGCATCCAATGAAAACACAGTTATAGAGAATCTTCACCAGATGTAACAAATGTGTGCCATTCTCTGCATTCTTTACTGCTTATTACTCAAAAACATCTGCTTTTCTATTCCTTTCTCAAACAAAACGTTGTGTGTACACACACACACAAACACAGTATTATCAAATTTGCTCTCTCTGTTGGCCGTGGCAACTCTGATGAGAGATCTCAAACAGGGAACAAAGGAGCAAATGAATGGAGGGGGAGGGCAAATCAAAGAACCTCCTGTAAATGAAAAACACAGAGTCTATTACAGTCCAGGTGGCTGTGAGAGTCCCCTCTGCCTCCTAGCAGCATGCTAATCTGGTCTGGGCTGACAGGTATCCTCTGAAGGACATGCCAGTGTGTGTGTGTGTGTGTGTGTGTGTGTGTGTGTGTGTGTGTGTGTGTGTGTGTGTGTGTGTGGCTGTGTGCAAGCTTATATTTCTATCTTTGTGAGGAGACAGTTGAGTTTTAGACCCTGAGAGAGTTAGGACATTTATGAAAGTGCCAACATTTACAGTTAGAATTATTTAAAGTTTTTTATCTACAGTAACGGTAGCTGGGGTTAGGCATATAGTTCAATATTTTAGGAGTCTCTGCTGTTTACAGTGACAACAAGACTCCAGGAAGTCCCTACGCTGAACAAATAAATAATCCAGCCCACAAACCCCCTATACAAGCACAACTTGTTTTGTAAAAACAGAGCTTTGGAGGTGATGATAGGCTTGGTTCCCCTGGACAAAGCCAGGCTAGCCCTGCATCCTTTATGCTAAGCTAAGCTAACCTTCTCCTGGCTCCAGCTTTATATTAAACAGACAGGCAGAAGAGTGGTATTGTTTTAAACAAAGTAGAAATGTCCCAAAAATGTCAAACAGTTCCTTTAAGGTTAGGTTTATGGGCTAAGAAAGGCATCATGTCAATGAGGGTCCTCACAGGCATAGAAGTACAAACGTGTGTTTGCTATCCAGGGTGGTAGTAACCTAGGCAGAAAGAGAGTGCGTGGCACAATTAGATGTGACAGCTAATACTGTGCTGCCAGCTATCACCCCCACTGACTCCTGGGTAATATGTGTCACAGCAACAGTGACGGACACTCATCACTTCAGACGTGGCCAGTGTGGAAAAAGTTGAAGGGTCAAGAGAAAATGAAGCAGAGAGCCCAGACAAGTCAGTGAGCAAACAAACACCCAGGAAGGCTGCTGAAACTCTGCAGGCGGAGAACATGTCCAGTGACTCAAGAGAACATGAAAAGCACCAGAGGGGATGTTTATTTTTGTCAGCACTGTTAATTCCCCCTCTCCTCTAGTCTGCCATACCCATCACTGTAACACTGTATCAACACTACTCCTACAAATAGCCTGCAGCAACGCAAAAGTGTTGTTAATGATAAGGATTAGTAATATTCAAGTAAGAAGCATATCCTGATGGCCATAAGGACATCGCGTTTGAACATAAGGTGTTAACTGAAATTTAACGTTTCATTTAGCATCTACTGTACGTGTCAGACAAGTGAGCGGGGAGCATTGATGGTTTATTAGTAGTGTTTGGACTGATGTCTTGTAGTTTGGAGATAATCAGAGAGTTTGATGAGAAGATCAATACCATCCTCATGTCTGTGCAGTAAATATTATACAGCCAGCTTCCAGTTACCTTAGCTTAGCACAAAGACTAGAAACAGAGGGAAACAGCTAGCACGGCACAAGTACTAACACATGGCTTTACAGGGAGCTATGGATTTCTTATGCAGGTGCGGCAACTTCCTGGAGTCTTGTAATCACTTTGAGATTGCCAGAAAACCAGCAGAGACCCCAGGAAGTCACCGCACCAGACCAAGACTGCATGGAAAATTATAGCACAACATGTCGTTTTCATTTCTGTTTTATACAGATTAAACAAAGATGATGTCACATGTTAATAATAGAGCTTTAGAAGTACTGGAGGGCGTATTTTTCCCATATTCAAATAAGCATATTTCCCAAAATGACTCAACATTCCTTTAATGTCAGTGTCATTAGAGTTAACCTGGATTACATTTCAAAATACAAGACAGCATGATGACAGACTTGTCATACAGTATAATAGAGGGAGACCTCTAGAGGAAAAACTATGACTCACAAAAGTTCTAAAATATTAAGTCATCCACCATCAACAAAGCATTAGTACGACTGCAACACAATAGATTAATCATATGCAGAATCATTGCTGGAGATTTAGAGAGACTGCAGCTTCCAAACAGCGCCTGGTTATGCGCTATAATTAGCAGTAGATATCAATATGATACTAAAGCAGATCCTGGACAAACTCAATGTGTGGAGAGATTCTGCTGTCATAACAAAGCAAACATCACAGTGGGATTACTACTTTCCCTAGGCGGTGCTACTGTACGTAATTAGATGTGACATTCTGCCTCCCCCACGCTGTTCTGCAGCTGAGCGACTCAAACAGTCAATCAATCACAGTTTTCACCCATTTTATTACTACAGGTGCCCCTCAATGCTCCCTCCGAAGTCATGTGACAGATCCCAAGTGCATGTCTGATTTTCTTATGTCATTTTTGGGCAGCCTTTACATTCATAAGTTCACACTAATGTAATCACTCTAGAGCAGAGCAGATCCCCACAGTGGATAAGCAAATAATAATGTCTTCATTCTGTCAGAATAAGCTAATTAAGTTGTTTGTCTGCTTACAATGTTTACAATGTCCTGTAAAAAAACAGTAATCCACCGTTTTAATCAAACTGATATTAAAGAGAATGAAGTCTTATCTTTTAAAACATGATGTCTTAATCTAGACAATATGACCATAATACATGATGCATGCCATGCAACATCCGTTTTCACACAACACACAAGACAACACACCACCACACCACTAAGGTGCACTTATGATGGCAAGAAAAGACATCACATAACCACATACAATTAGAATCAAAATTCTTCTTGATTGTGTCTAAACAGCAGCCGGGAACCTTGACATTACTTACATGATTACTCTGGAGGTTTTCCAGTAAGCTCGGGTCATTAAATCCTGCCTCGTCTGACGAGTGTGTGCTGTGGCTGGAAAGAAGAGACGGAGAAGTCAAAACAACAGAACACACTGGAATACTTGATAGCACTATAGCACTAGAACAAGATAGCCAACTAGAATACAGTATGTTGTGACAGCAGACTACACTAGTAAAGAACAAATAATTAATTTGCATCATGATCAGAGAATATTCTGACAACAACAGGATGAGTTTACATGAAAGTTTCCCAAACACAATAATAAGCATGACAAAAGTGTTTCTTATGTACCAACAGCACAAAGGAAGCCTCTTGAGGCCTGCATGGAATATGCTATGAATTCCCATCCCAATTAAAACAAATGCTCTCTAATGAATTGTCTACCACTGTGCAGCCTGGCAGGCGTGCTTGAATGTGGTTTTAAAATCAAGCAATGGCACACAGTATTCTTGCCACAACATAAAGATAAAACTAGGGCTTCAACTAACAATTATAATCACTTTCAATTACATTAGATGTATTCAAATTGTTTTATCTGGAAAGAAAACCCAAACATATTTAGTTAATTATCATATGTGACCCAAAAAAAAAACATTTGAGAGGCCGCAACCTGTGAATGTTAATCATGTTTGCTTGAAAATAGTTGCCAATTAATCAACTAATCATGAGCTCTGGATAAAACTAATGTGCACCGATGCTGGCACCACAAAACAGATGTCAAACTGGTATTGACACATCCAGTGCTCTGTGCCAACAGCATTGACATTTGTTGAGAAAAGTATCAACCGCACTGCAGACAGAATGCAAATACAGGTCCCCTGGGGTTCAGTAATGTGATGTACAGTGTGACTGTTTGGGATTCTGGTCACGCTAGCAGAAGCAGATCATCCTTTAAGAAAGTGATGTCCTGAAATGGGACATTATTATTTCACAGTGCACAAAGAATACACACCCATTCATTTATTCATTGCTCCCTTCCTATATTATGTTCACTTCAGTCATTTCCATAAATAATAAATGGTGTTCCCCGTTGCTTTAGGAATTAAACAATGCAAGAGGAACTGCTTACAGAGACACAGCAAGCAGGCTGAATTTCTGGCAGCTCAAAAAGACCATATTACTCATACACTAATCAAAGCCAAACCCTCAGAAATGACTGGAAATACAATTAGTCTCTCACACCAGAAATGCTTTCTGTTACTGGCAACATGCAAAATAATTAAATATCTTGCAGTCCATTAGAAATATAGCAAAAGAAAAAAATGATATAATCTTTCATTGACAACAGAAAGTCATGCTGAACTGGAAAAACACCGTTTTGGATTGCAGAGAAGACCTTTTCATTGATATAAAGAAAGGATGTTTTTTATTCCTCTAACATTGGCTCGGCGCAGTGATGTTGTGTATAGCTACCAGCCACTCGCTGGCTGTCCAGCGGGAATCGATTCATGATTCTGTGATAAATAGAGTCCTATAGATCAGGTAGACAGCAGCTTTGTCCGTGGCACTGGGGCTTGATAGAAATGTTACTGAGGCTGCCATTAGCAACCATAAGTCTTTCTAATCCCAGGATACACTGTTCGGATCCCTAAGAGCCAAACAGCCAGCCGGCGAGTAATACTCCCATCTAGCCCCGCAAAAAGAGGTTTGGGAGGACAGAAATATAGGAAAAACACAGCGATGTAATTAAACAGCAGGGTTGCAATCGATATTGTTTTACACCTACGTGGATGCACTGGAGGATAGGGAAATTTATCACACTCACAGGCTTTATTAAAATATGTCGCAGAGAAATTGGGAAGCAAAGTCTGCATTTCTAAAAGCTTAATAACATACGCATAATAACGAGGGCAGAAGCTTGAAGTTGTGTATCATATACTGTAAAATTACAGTAGGTTACATCCACGCAACATATTTCTACATATATCCAAGCTACATTTCAAAAGTCCTATAAATTCGGATGTGAAATAAAAACACAAATTCATCAACACAGACTGAAAAAACTAGTATTTTTGACAAAAAATCTATGGAGTCATTCTTAATGTTTCGAACCCGTGTACAGGGATTGAAGCCCTAAGCCTTTCTCTACTGCAGCTCACCACGTTGATTGTCTTGATGAAATTTCTGAGTAATGGGGGCTGGGTGTGGGGGACGGTCAGTTATTGATTATCTGCCAGCATACAGAGGTCCTGTCACTATGGGAACAAGGGTGCTGGCTGTTCACAGTCAATAAACAGAGACTGGTTCCAGATCAAACCTGTGAAACGGTATGCTGTCCTATTCCTGAGAGTAAGGAGGAGGAAATAATACATTCATAACTGACCTGTGTCAACATGGCAGTTAACTTTCACAGTGTTTGATCCAAGAAACAAGCTTTGATTTACATTAACCACTGTTCAAAGAAGAACAAAAAGATTCAATACTGGTTTCGGTTCTTTGTTTTATGACTATCTTGTTCTGCATATTTTACTTGTTCTTGCATTTCTACCTACCTACTTTGTGTATAAATAAAGCCTCTAACGCGGTTGTTTTAAGTGAGAAAAAAAGGATATCAAAAAGAGATGTGCTTTTAGGGGAGCTGGCAACTTCCTTTAAAGCAGCACTATTTAACATTTCGCATAAAAGGCATTAACAAACAGGCCCCAGTCCCCATGCAAAATGAATGAGACACACCCATGCTGTTACTGCAGATCCCATCGAAGTAGATGAGCTCAGAAGTAGGACTGTGAGAATGTGTGTGTGTGTGTGTGTGTGTGTGTGTGTGTGTAGGTGAGACAGGGAGAAAGAATGAGTGGGAGTGTAGCTAGCATCTCCAAAGTTAGTTTGATGTTAACTGGGGTGCTGCACAGCTTCAGCCTCAACACAACAAACAAATGCTGGAAGGCTTGGAAGCCACGACACGTAACCACTTGCAATTCAATAATAGTTCTAATACAATACTGGCAGCATACTAGAACGCTTGTTTAATGCTGTTCTTTCACATCAACAGATATACACAGTGAATCAAGAGCCACAGTCACATACAACATGTCCCAAGTGTACTGAAAAAAAAAACATCAAACATACATTGAGGTATTGTGTTCAAAGTCACGGTTTCAACAAGGCAAGGCAGCACTAATACATCACAGAAGCGAAGAGCGAAAAAACGACCACGATTTCACACCAGTCATCTTACCAGTCGTCCTCTGCAAAACTACCCTCCTCAGCCTCAGGGACGTGACTGTTGGAAAAGAAATTATCTTGTTGACAAAGTCTATATACATGTTCTGTGAATGTGCAGGCGCCGGGATTGGGTTAAAGATGGGTTTGTTTATGAGTTGACAGTGTTAGAGTGTGATAGGTCAGATGCCGGGAAGGACTGTAGCTGAGGTGTTGGGGGTCAGGTTGACAGCAGTGACTATACTAGGCCCTCTAATTATTTATACGTGATACCGCTCTCATGCAAATATATAGATAACGCCAGCAGATGGTTAACTTCATTTAACACAAAGACTGGAAAGGGTGGGACACAGTAAGCCTAGCTCTGTCCAAATGTATCTAAATCCCGTACAGCTCACTAACACATTATATCTCCATATTATACCTCGTTTCTTTAGTCCAACAAAAAAACAAACTGTAAAAATCTTGGCAAAAGTTGCCAAGAAATACTCCAGCACATAACCCCCTGTAAAATCACAACTTTTCCTTTGACTTTCTTTTGTAGTCCTATAGTTGCTAAAACTCACTCTTCATTAGTCACTATTGTGCCAATATTTAGATGCCTCAGTAAATTCAATTATTGCTACTAATTTATTAAGTGCCAGTATTTGTAACATAGAACACTGGCCCTTCTGGTTTATAACAGAAAATGATTTAGTGACAGACATTACACTAGCTTTAATTCTTAACTAGAAAAAAGAAAGAAACTGTAGGCAGGCAATTTAGATGTCAGTATAATGTTTTGTATACCCTGTTGTTGTGCATGTTTTGTCAAAAGCAAGTCCTTTCATGTATTAATAACAACTAATTGGGAAAAAAATTCAGTAGAAAGCTACTAGTGAAATAGTATAAAAAAGTATATTCTTAATAAACCGACTCTCTAAAACCTTTTAATCCGAATGAATGTCTCAGCAGATGCATTGTAAGGTAGACAAGAAAACATTTCAGGAGAAATGTCAACAAATTAGAAGAGAGGAAAAACAGCCAAAACCAAGAAAGCCAGACGCAAACTGGAGAGAGAGTATATAAATGTTTGGGAATCATTTTATCATAGTAAGAGGTCTTCTCTCTTGTTCCACATCAGGCAACAGCAGGAACTTTGCAACTACAGCTGCAATATGTACATGCGTATTCTGTGTTTCATGGCCACCAATGAAAACAACAATGTTTGAAACTAAATGTGGTCAGAGAGCACACTGCTCTAAAACGAGGCACCAAATGATTTGGACATCTCTGCTCTGGCAGACTAACTGCAGTGCAGGGGTTTGTTAACTGTGAGGAGTGGAGCCGACCAGACGATGTGCTCTGCTGAACATTACGGCTTTCCATTTGATTTGAACTCAGTTGGATTCATACTGTGAGCCTGTTCAGTCTTGTACCTTCAGTAAAACATCATGGTGGTTATCTGCATTAACAGCGAACCAATCCGTCTACATTATGGATGAATAAAGTAAAGTATTAAACATATGTAACAACTGTAATGTACATATCTACTGGGTTACACTTTACAACGACGCATTTGGTTTAATAGAAAATAAAAAATAAACATCTTATTAAGAGTCTTGTTCTTGAGTACATCTAGAAAATATGCTTTCACTTCACTCCAACCTAATAACACTCAGGAGGATTCTGGGAGCCTTTCTAACCTAAACACTATCTCTCCTTGAGATTTGGACTCCAATCCAGTGGAATTAATTAATGTCTACACCCTTGGGGTTAGCTTTATTAATTACAGCAGCACTTAATTTGTGGTGAGGAACACATGCAGGCGGCAGTGTCAGGGGGGCTTTGTGTGTGTGTGTGTGTGTGTGTGTGTGTGTGTGTGTGTGTGTGTGTGTGTGTGTGTGTTACAAGTCAAGCCAAATTACAAGTCACGCCACACAGTGAGTGCTATGCACATGCATGTTCATTCATTTGTATTAAAATATGCACACATTTTTTTATCTTTGGTTTTACTCAAATCATTTCTTTTTTTGTGCAAGAATATAGCACTACTTCCTGGAGTTGAGTCAGATAGTTTGAAATCTGTCCTTAGGTATTAAGTATGTTCATTCTTGAAGTAGAGACATGTTACTGATGAAGAATTTTAATTAGAAAATATCTGCCTCATAACTACTTTATCCATATTTCAGGATTACCCTCAACCAAGCAGATAACTGGAAGCAGTCAAATCAGACATTTATGAAGGATGGGGAGGAAGTTTGTTTCACTGTTGGGTGGATACAACAATAATTAATTCATTATGTATTTATATCATTAAACGAACAATATGTCATTCCTGCCCCTAAGAGGTCTCTCACAATAAAACGATAATAACAGTTTCATGTCGTCCTGAAGAGTGGGATCATGGGAGTTGTTGTCTTTACCACTATTGTGGTCACTGCAGTTCTCCCAGTTAGGATTACTTCAGTGTTCATTGTTCAGGAGGATTTTACAGGGAGCGAGAATTAGCCGCAAAACAAACGGACCTGATGATTAAAACCAGTAAAAACACAGAATAAAGCAGTCTGAGCTTAAAAATCAGTGTCGGAAACATTTGAGATAATGCACGTATACAGCTCAACAAAATATATAAACAAAATATAAGTCTAGTGTTTTTAGACATTTTAAGTGTACTACTATATATATATACTGCTTATATACTGTAAAAACCTAAACCTAATTGAGCACTTATAGCAATGCTGTGGTAACAATAATAACCCCAGTTTATGGTGGCCGACAAGGGCAAACGTGCCGCAAACGGGGGAAAACACTAGACTTATATTTTGTTTATATATTTTGTTGAGCTGTATACGTGCATTATCTCAAATGTTTCCAAAACTGATTTTTAAGCTCAGACTGTTTTATTCTGTGTTTTTACTGGTTTTAATCATTAGGTCCGTTTGTTTTGCAGATAATTCTCGCTCCCTGTCCTTTAATTTGAAAAAACACAATCAACATTTACCTGCACAACACATTAATGCTCAGTGACAATTTCCTGACACATAGTGAGAAATAGTGAGATACAGGTCAGATTATGATTGAATCATCTTCAGGAGTGACCATATGAATAGTTAAAGAAATAATTTCCTTATATATTCTATGGAAGAAGAGTAATTTAAGTTAAATTAAATGGATTAAATTACTGTTACAGTTAACATTGTTGCTGGTGGATTATAAATACAGTTTCTGAATGGAACCCTCTCAACTCTTATTTTGGCAACCCAGAAGAAGACGAGCGGGCCAAATGATAGTATCATCCAAACAGCTTCGCCTCATTAGAACCTGCCTTTTTTCTCTCCTGATATGAAACACTCATCCATATTTATCAGTTGCATAAGAGGGAGTCCTCGTTTCAGAGAATCAAAGGAAAACTTCACTACTTGGGATGAAGGAGAGAGACTGCGGCCTAACTTCCATCTTTGCAGGAAGGAGTGTCTGTCCCTGACGACCAGCAGGCTTGACCCATTTAAATAACCGTTAAAAAAGACAAAAAAGAAAGAGAAAAGACAGTCTGCAGTCCAAAACAAATTCAAAAAACGACACATCTGCCTTTAATCAGCAGCAACAGTTTAAAAAAGGAATATCAGTAATGATCTTGGAGCTAACACATCATCAACATGTACATTATCACTACTTTAAGTGAATTTATATTATTGACCTGGGGATCGACAATAAGAAGTTGTTGACGTCCTCACTGGGCAAGAAATCACAGCATAAAGAGAGCTTTGGAAAGAGAACTCAAGATAAAATACTCTCTTTTGTCCTTCAGCTTGCACTCCATCAATCATGCTTTTAATTGAATCCTAATGGGATTAATCATGTACTGTCACGCCTGCACTTGCTTTGGTTCTGTAAAGATACTCTGCTCTCCCACTTGTTTTGCATCTACTGAGGCTAATTATCTATGCACTAAAATTAAATGAGAGTATATTCAGGGGAAAAAAACATCAAGGGCTGATTTAATGAAATGTTCAAATGTGATAGAATATGTGTTTGTGTCAGTGGAGCAGTAAATTCATGTGGACTGTGAATTTTGGCTAAATCCCTGTGTTACTGTAGGATACTGTACGTCACCAATATTCTTGTTTCTAACTTGTGTCAAGACTCTGTCAAGCTCTGGGGCTTGAAGAGAAAATTGTGAAATGTATAGCCAGTTTTCACAAACACCTCCAACGTGACAAACGATGGACGAAAGCCTGCGAAGGAGAGAGTAAAGTGCCTTTGCTTGCAAATGTCTGTCCGCCTTTTATTTATAGTTTATGTGGAGAGGAGCACTGATGCAGCTGCTAATGAGAAGACGAGGGAGGAGAGAGAAACGCCAGATGTACTATGATGCACACTCTGCATTTAAACGATGGTGATGGGGGAGGTAACGGTAGAGGATGCAAAGGGGAGAGCAGGGAAAATAAAAAAGGGAGAAGGAAAATGGAACGTACCCATAGGCAACACCAGCAATGGTGCACTTCTTGAACTGCATCACGTTGCAGGTCAGGGTCCCCGTCTTATCAGAGAAAATGTATTTTACCTGTGTGGGTAGAAAAAGACATGATAACATCAACATAACTTACTTCATGGGTATACATTTTATCCTCAAGAAAAGATGGATCTTTCAACTAAGTGTCCACATAATGTAAAATATTATTTGAACTGCTTACCTGGCCTAATTCTTCATTCAGATTGGAGGTGCGAGCCATGGCCGGTGTGTTTGTGGGCTCATAGAGCATATCAGTGTCCTACAACCAATCACAAAAAACTTTAAGCGTCAGACCCTTTGTCAGACCCTTCTCAGTCCCCTCAGTCTTTTTTTCCTCAAGAAAAACCTGAACCAACTGGGGCTGTAGGAAGACCGGCCAACTAAGAACTGCCCTAAATGTTGCTAAAAATTCCTTCATTTAACATTTAATGAAAAGGGGGCTCAGAATTACTTCAGGCAACAGAAACAGTACGACTCCTCAGCGGAGATATTTGCTGGGGTCGACCTAGTTGCTGAGGATATAAGAGCGCAATATTCTAGTCATGTTAGTCAGGTTTCAGATGTGTGTTTGGCTATGTAGTGGTCTTTATAGATTTACATAGATGTTCTTAAAAATTTCTGTGCATGATGATGACCCAGTTATTTGTACAGCAATCACATACATTTTGATAGTCCACTGCCCAGTTCTTTAACATGCAAGAATGTATTTTTTGGGCACTTGGGGGCAGTGCAACAAGATGTTAACACAACATTGACATATCATCACCTTATACAGGTGGTATGGCTTCTTTACATATCGTGCAGACACAGAGACAGACATACATTAGTATTCATTTGGAGTCATGTTTTTGTTGACTTAAAACAATTTAACTTTAATATTCACTCTCCTTTAGCTCTGTTTTGGTCTCTACCTGAGGGAGCTAAATAATATATAAATGCTTCACTATGTTCATAAGTTAGCTGCTAATTTTAATTGTCTTCCATTTGGTGTTAGGCAGGTGGCACACAGCGGCTTTTTAGAGCTTCTCCGTAGCTGCCTGCTGCGTTTGGAACCAAGGTTAATGGGAACGGTGAGAGTAAATCAAAAGAGTAAACTTGCAGGCAGTAAAACAATGACAAAAGATGCTTAGAAGCTTCATAGTGTTAAAGTGAACTGCAGAGTTTGGCAATAACTTTCTGTGGGTTATTCACTGTGAGTAATTCCCTTCACATACAAGTAGTCATTCAATCCATTATTACTATAAAAAATATCTTGCTTTCTTTATGTAGCAGTAGACAGTCTTAACTCTATTGCAAACATTTTCAAACAAAAATATAACTATATCTATTATTTATGTCCTCTGTTGTGGGTATGTCTGCTTTTGTAATGCATGTAAACATACACATACATTTAAAAGCTATTTTCCTCTTTAAAGTTGCACCTGACTAGGAAATAGTGCATCCATCTTAAATTTAGAGGTTAGTTCAAATAAATTGTAGCTTCCACTCACCCAGTTGATGAAAAAGGCTTGGATGAACTTGATGACCTCCAGGGTGACCAGGAGACTGATGGGGATCAGGTTGTTGAACAGGATGATGAAGGTGAGGAAGTTGAGGCCAAAGTTAGCTGCCCCGCCATCTATCAGGGGATTAATTTTGGACAAAAGGGAAGTGATACACAAGAGACTCATCAGTGCTGATTCATAAATGTCAGTTAGTTAAATGAAAATGCCCAAAGCTACTTCCAGCCAATGATCAACATTATCCCAATCCAGAGACTGTTTTGGGCTAACGTCGTGCATTAGCTGGAATTAACCATTTCTTCCACCCAACCTCATCCTCTTACGACTCAACCGGTTAACAGTCAAATTTAATGTCCCAAAGATTCAAAGTAGCGAACAGGGACTGAAGTATCTCAAATGTCATTAGTGTCACAGCAGCAGCCTTGGCATCCAGCATGATCCAGGCAATGAATTCCACAAAGCACTATGCAAAATGATGCTGTTCCCCCCCCAAAAGCCCCAAACAATTGGCAGTGATCAACATGTAACCCCACTGACACCAAACATGAAAACAGGAGGGATGTGATTACCTTTCCTCAGCTTGCAGGAGGTGCAAATGTTACCTTCCTCAACCCAAGCCTTGATCTTAGCATTGCGGTTGAGAGGGGCAGCCCTTCCCCATGAGAGAACAATTGCAAAACAAAAACTGGATGGCACAAAGAAAGTGGCAGAATGGAAGCTACTGCTACTGGTACAACAACACATATAGGAGGGAATATTTTTTCAGAAGTGGGGAGGAAGACAAACATATCGGATGCTCTCAAGACAAAGGAGGGAGAGTTCAGTCCATAGCACATTCTCAACCAACAAGGAGTGGAAAAGAGGGGGTGGATTATGCCAGTGAAAAAGTTTGGATGTTAATGATGATCACTACATCACCTCATTTCATTCATTTCTAGTAGCCGCCTTGTTATGTGATGTTACGCAAGATTCCCGAAGAGAGCGACACTGTGTTGGATCAGTACAGTCAATAAGAAAAATCAAACCATAGCAAACCAGGACATGCACAAGTCACACAAGTGCAACAGTACACCTGATGTCTTATGTAATGAAATAGCAATAGGAATATAATCTGTTCTAACCATATTTAATAAAAAAAATCTTTCTAATAATTAATTACGCCACAGGACTTGAACTGTCAATTGTTGGGGTTTTAAGAGTCAAGATCTCAAGATTCCTTTTGTGTTACACCTTATAATACAAATATAAGAGAGCTAAATTCTTAGGTAAAATTAGTGAAATTTTCTTTCGTTTTGGTGTGTAAAAAGGCTAGACCCCCACGTTACAGAAGTAAAGCAGAAGTGCTGTCAGTTAAGACATCAGCAGTTTACTAACAGAGATAGTCAGCATAAATTCAATGATATGGTGATAAATGCACAACTACCTACAAAAACTAAGTGGGCTAACTGACTAAACTGTAGCAGGTTGCATGAATGCATAATGAATGACCATTCATGTCTGCTCTCAATCTGCATAAAGTTAGGTTGTCACAATGTATAGGCTTAATGTCCGGGATGATCTGTGTCAGCACTCTGCACTGGGTCAAAGTCAAATGAATTACTCACTGGTCATGCATAATAGGCTTCTGTGACATATGAGCCTGTGTGATGTGTAGTGGGCAAACGTTGAATCTTCTGCTCCTGACTGCGTTTAACTTCCAAATTTTGGTAAGTGAGTGAAATTACAATCATTTAGGAAAATATAGTGATGTAAGTAAATGGGATGTTTAAGATTTGTCTCCCCACCTCTCTCTTTTGTCACAGGTTGGATAATATGCACTGGACAGAGTCTCAACAACTCCTTATGGAAGTACAATCAGTCTCAAGATGGACGCCTGCTTTATGACTTACACTCCCCTCATCAGAGTGATATTGGGTCTTTTAGATATGGGTTTTAATGCCACTGAGGACAATATTGGAACCCTTAGAAAACCAATAGAAGCCAATGCAAAATCTTATAAAAAGGGACAGTGTAAGTCGTAGTGCAAGCTTGAATTGACCAGGGCACAACCTCTCCTACACAGGCCTATCAGGGTACAGAGTAATGGCCAGAGTGTCACGATAATCACTTCGCACACCAGGTTCAGAGCTTCACCACAACAGACCCTCTGCCGCAGAAACTGAGCAGCCCATATTTTTTGTGCTGTGTTATTGTCTGTAATAGCAGCTTAAAATAGAACCGTTTTCGATAATAGCTTGAGAATACACATAAAGATTAAACAGGTATTTACCTGTCCCCTTCCCTCCCCTCTCTGTCTGTCCTTTGAAAAAAACCACAGAAGAAAAGAAGGCGACAGAGGCATTTAGAAAATGTCAGCTCTTGCCCCTTGGGCTGCACCACATGTTGTGCTCGAGCAATAAACACGTATAAGCCTCCCGCTATGAAAAGCTTCCTGAGTAGAACATTTCCCTGGCAGTCAGAGTAAATGCTGCTATTCATTTGTTGTAAAGATTCGGGGGGGGTGAGGGTCTGAAACTTGGAAACTGCAAAGTGTTTAACGTGGCACAAAAAAATGAAGGAAAAGTGAGACACTGTTTGCATCAGGCACTGAAAATAACTAGACGAAGGTATAAGAGAGCTGGAGGGGAAAAACCTATTGTTGGATCCCTGGTATGTGCTTGTCCATGGCATGGGCCCATACAAAGTAGGGCAACCATATAGGGGGCGAGGGTAGGGGGCTTCATTTGCTTAGCAAAGGCAGAGCTTCAGTAAGGGGTTAGTAAGGGAGGGTCATTCACGGATGGCCAAGGCTTTTAAATGGTTGTTACCTGGAGCTGTTAAAAAACGACAACAAAGAAAACAACAAAATCAAACAGAACATTAGAAAGGAACAAAAAAGTACAGCAGCGCAGTGATATTCAACCATTTCTTTTTCACTCAAACTCATTCACAACACATCTATGCATGTCACAGCTGTCTTTTCTCAGTTAACAGGGAATTCACTTATTCCCACATTGCCACATATTTCACTTGTAATGCGAAACATAGTTTAACTGAGGCAACACAAAAACGACACAACACATACCAGCATTTAGGAACTTAAAATGAAAAAGAAATAAGCTGATATGGACAAGTGAGACAAAATATGTGGAATAAGAGGTGCAGCGTAGGCTGTTGGGACTCTTACAGTTGAGATCCATGTACCAGGCATCATTGCCGTACTGGTACTTCCAGATGGTTTGGCCAATAGAGCAGACCAGAGAGATGGCTAGCAGGCAGCCAAACAGCACAAGGATCTGAAAGTTGGTGATCCGCTCCACGTTGGACAGCTTCAGAGGAGGCCGAGTAGAATTCTGGGTAAAACATAACAAGACAGTTGTGATTTTAAAAAAGTTTGGCCAAAGGTGATGCTGTCTTGTGTTTCTGTGCTCTGAGAACAGCAATAATATAATATAAAAACATAATGAGTTTTGGTGACATACACAAGGGCACATGCAGTCTGACTAAATACTGTATGTTATTTTCTGGTTAAACAGATTTAGTTGTATAACCAAAATGTACATTCTTGTAACTGCAAATAATGCCCACCAAATATGCAAATGTGCTGATTACCTGCATAAGCTTTGTGTCATGTCCAGTGTAGACCACCACACCATGCACCCACTGAGTGTTCCTCAGTTGAGCTCCTCTCAATAAGATCTGATCTGGACCCAGTGGTACCGTACTGTAGTAAGAAACATCATTGCCATGAGTACATTCTTCATACTTTCATACTTTTCTTTTGGTTGATACTTCAAGCCTTCTAATCACCCTCAATCAATGAGTATTGATCTTACATACAATCACTGATTTAACAAAACCCTTTCAGATTCCTTATTGATAAACATGCCAATACTAACAATACCCAATAACCAATATTACAACAATGAATAATCTATCCCGACAGGGAAGCATTACACCACAACACCAACTAGGTCATTAGTATTTTGCGATGCTGTGAAAGGCTTCACATCAGTAACATTTATAAACACAGCCGGTAGTAAAACTGGCTTCTATTTCTAATTTCTAAAATTGCATTTTCTATCTAAAACTCTAAACGTTTGGCATTAAACAAGTTGTATTAATAGATGTTTAAACTGACACATATCCAAACCTTTAGGATTTGAAGTTGTATATTGGCAAAACAGAATAATGGAGAAAAACCTTTACTTTCATTATTTACGTCAATATGATAATACTTCCCATCAAACTATGAACCCACAAAAAGCCAAGTATAGCTCTGGATAACGATGGTTATTGAGGTGAGCTTTACTGTCCCAGACTCCTGGAATCAAGCCATAAAACCATAACAGCAGGCATACAGAATATAATCCATTTTCCCTAGAACAACAAAGCCTCAAAAGAAATATGTAATTAAATATCACTGAAGCAGGTTCTTTCATTTATTCATTAAGATTAAATCACTCCTAAACTCTCATAATGCACCGATATTGGCCCTGCTCCTGGCTAGTAGGCTACTGAGTAGGTAACAGAGGCAGAGAGAGCCAGGCATGGAGCTCTGCAACTGGGCCCACCTGTGTCTATCCAGCCGGATGTTCCCAACAAACTCATACAGATGGCGGTTTGGGCTCTCGCACTCCATCCGCCCAGAGAGACGCATTAGGCTGTCGATGTCCTTTATGTCTGCAGTCACTTGGAGACCCTATTGATGTAGTTACAGCAGGTTAGATTTGTGCTGCAGACTTGTGGAAGATTCCTTTTAGTTCTCATTGTATAGACAGTAACTTACATAAAGAAAGAATAAAAAAAGATAATCACCTGTCTGATTTTAAGGTTTGTTTCTCCGTCCAAGTTAGATGTTTCAATGTAGCACATACCCTGCGGTTCACTGTGGTGGAGGGAGAGGATATACACACTTGGAGTAATCATAAACTGCTTTTCAATGATATATTACAGGATATCTAACCTTAGCTGTTCATTATTGTTTTATATTATTATAATTGTATATAATATTACTATAATACATATATATATATATATAACAAAATCTGAGGGACAACACAACAACTATATAAGTCTATATCACTGCAGACAAAGACGCTGCATGTCAGCCTAAAGGCCAATAAATCTACATCAAAGTTTTACTGAGTGGAAGTCACCAGTTTAATGTACAGTTAATATCCTCAAGACAGATATAACATTTTTGTTTGCTGCTACAACGCAGCTTAACTGTCTTTTAAGAAAATCTAAATTACACTGAAAAGGGATAGAGAGAGGAGAGAGAGAGAAAAAAAACACTAGAGTAGGGTGATATAGGCAAGCAGGCATGCCGAGCACAAAAAACAGAGCGGACAAATAGGCCTCTGACAGACTCTGGGCACAGGGACAGAGAGTTAGAGCATGCCGGTGCTTAAGGTGAGCTGGGTCCCTGGTTAGCTACTCTTTTAATAGGGTGATTTATTCATACCGAAGGCTGGTCCAAACACACACAGGGTGGAAGGGAAAATCAAAAAGAGATCTGGACACTGAAGCCCAACCACAATCAATGGATGGTTTGGAGTATGCTCCTATTAGCCATCAAACAAGAGCTTTGTTTCATGGAAATTAGCAGAAGTCTGCTGTGATGGCAATTTTAATACTTTGTACTATTTATAAAACAGCTGAAAAATGCTTTGATACTGATGAGGAATCTTTTAACTACACTTGGGCCTGTTCAAATGTCAGTAACATGTTGTGGAAAGTTAGCAACACTATAATTCCATGATGCTTTTCAGCTTTTCAACTTGGAATGTGACTGCATGCAAATTGTCTTATAAAATGAAACTGTTGCATTCAGGATGCCATACAAGCCATGCAAGGGCACGAATATGTAGAATATATTCACACCCATAACACACAGGGAGCATTTGCTCCTGTGCTGTAATACTAGATGTCTCCATTCAGCGGTATTAGAAGTTTCAGCCAAACATTGAAAAGGTCCTACTGTACATGTGACGTTGTAAAACAAAATCCAGCATAATAAAATGACTGTATAAAAAATATTATAGCTGACAAACAACAATGTAGAGGAAAAGTAGAAAAAAGTTGCTAGAATAATCCCAGGCTACTGTCTTCCTCAAGTGTGAAAAATAAAATAGAGCTAAAGTGTTTTGTCCCAGTTATACACACAGTCCCTATCTCTCCCACCGCTGTTTTGTTGGTTGATGTTGCTGGTTTCCTGACCTTGACGACAGTATGACGAGGTCAGCCGGGAGGTGATCCCCATTTGCAGCTCTGACTACTTCCCCAACAGCCACCTGATATTACCAACCACACACCAGCAGGGGGCGAGAGAGAGAAAGTGTGGCAGTTGTTCGCACAGGGGGCAGGAGAGGAGAGGATGAGAAAAAAACAAGGAGGGATGGAGGGGGTTAAAAGAATAAAAAAACACAGACAGACAGACAAACAGCAAACACATAAAGGGAGAGAGACAACTGTTTCAGTTTCAGGGAGATGAGAAGAGCACAATGATCAGTCCTGTGTGATCAGAGGGTATGGTTGGTCATCTGTTCTCCTTTTCACAAAACCATTTAGAAAAACACGATGCAGTGAAGCTGATGATACAGTCGCTCAGAAGTCTGAAGTTTATAAAGAAAAGAGTGATTTTTGAAAACACACTGTTTAGTATGAATACAATTTGTCGTAAATTTGTACTTAAATAATCTTAGAAGAGTGACAGAATTGATGTAAGGCCCATCCAAAGCAGGTCCAAACGGTTTTTTGAAAAGGTGAAGGAGGTAGGTCGGTTTATGTTGACATGATCAATTATAATCCAAATTCACATTATCACTGTCACACCTAGAGAAATGATGGTTGGCACAACAAGATACATAGCATCACAACCCTTTACTAGACTCTTTAAGGTATGTATTACTAAATCAAATTTTAAATTCTGATTTTTAAAGGCAAGATTTTCAGCCACTTTGCCTATATTAGCTAGATGCATTATCTAACCATCACTTCTTTAGGGAGAGTTGAGAGAAGAAGCAAAAAGAAGAAAATAAGAAAGAAGGGAGATGTTCCCCACAATCTGGTTGCAGGGTGGACTCTAATACCTGGACGATAAAATGGCAGCATCCGCAGGAACGAAATCCCTGCCATTTACTCTAAAAATATCGCCCACCTCAACCTGTAAAAATAAACTGGTTACTGCTGTGCACAGCCTATAAAAACAGCATAAATGGAAACATGAGTTCTATATCAGGAGTAAAAATGCACAGCTGGGAAGAAAAAAAGGTAAGTACATTAAAGCAGTAAACATGGTATAATACTGATGAGAAGACACGCTGAAGAAACAGCTGGAGCCTTCTTTCCATTACCGCTGCACTTTGCATAACAGGTGCAACCACTCAGCATATTCCATAATTCAACAACTTCAGAAGAAAATCAACATATCAACATATTCAATAAATGATGAACAAGCTCTCCGTGACTGCATATTCCTATCTAATTTCCAGGTCCAGTGTGTAGGATTTAGTGGCATCTAGCGGTGTAGTGGTACATTAAAACCCTTGGTTTGTCGCTTCTGAGCTACTGTAGAAAAATGGCGGTTCAACATAGCGAACTGGATGGAAGGCAACCCGCAGCGTTTGAAGATAAAAATGTCTTATTCCAAGGTAACAAAAACATGATTCCAATATTTAGGTGATTATACATTAATGAAAGCATATCTATGAATATTATATTCAATTTCTGCCAATAGGTCCCACTAAATGTTACACACTGGAGCTTTAATGTCTATTTTTTAAACGTCATGAATTGCATCCTTAAAGATTTAAAGAGAAGGCCATTCTAATTTATTTTGTTACAAAGACAAACATGGGAAGAAGGTTTTAGTAGATAGGACTTATAAGTTGTCAAGTTTATCATGTGACTCACATGTGAGTACATAAAGACAAGGCAACACATTTAGTTATGAGGAAACAGGTACATTTGCAATACTCTTTAGATAACATTTGGTTTCTAGAGTATAAAAAAACAGAATTACATGAAATGCATAAAAGGTAATTTAAGGATTTTGCTCCCAAAACCATGGAGACTGACACTGTTATTGATAATAATGGTGATCTAGATATTTGGCCTTATGCAAGCTGCCCTCAAAGAGTTAGTAGTTAAAGGAACTTGGAGACCAAGCAGAAATTTGGGAGGGAAGCCACTTTTACAATATGCATGATGGAGATGTAAAAAGCATCAATAATTTAAAGTTAGCCTTTTTAGAGAGGATATCTATGTGTATGGAGTGGAGGGACATCCAGCAAGGAACACAGTGATTTTGTTCCAGCAGGAAACATATATGATTCATGAATCATATATGTTGTTTGTGAACATCTTAGTTAGAGAAACCCTGTGCTATCCTGGTAAAGGTCTTTTAAAAAGTTTCATTTAATCTAATTAGACCTTTTTGACCCCACCATTCAGCATCTATAATGTACAACCATATATATTAGGTTTATTTTAGCATGCTCTTATAGCATGTATTGTGTCTTAAATATGTGATGTATGTGAGTTTCCTGATATCTACCTGTTAGTATTCATTTGAAAACATTACATTACTTTTGCTATAGCAATAAGAATGTGCAGTTATTAGGGTAGAAGTTGAGATGGCAACATGTTTACACAGACAGTACATCTCCTGCTGTTAATTTAGTTCTCAAGAAAGAAAAAATCAACAAATACTTCATGTAATAAATAAATTCTCAAGTCTGTGTCATATCCCTGAGAGCAGGGATACAGATTCAGGTTATATTGCATGGCTGCATGCTGGATGTACCTTCTAATGGATGAGGCAGTATTACCCATTATCAAACAGTCCCAATCTATGTAATTTCTGCACTGCCTGGTGTTTTTTTCTCCACACCCCCTGCTTTTAGCCAAATTGTTCCAGCCACAGTAATAAAATTGTTTCATTATGAGGGTAGAGCAGAAGCCCCTCTTTGTCCTGCAGCATCGCCTTCTAATGACCGTCCACATGGAAACGCTGGATTAATTAGTGTCTGGATACTAGAGGGGTCAGAGGGTGCATGTGTGTGTGAGATTTCTCCAACTGAAAACAACACAATAGACGGACAAACTGGTAGAATGAATGACCTGTTTTCAGCTCTAGATCAAAAAAATGTGAAAATCACCCTTAGTGACACATTATTGGTACATACCTTCTCCCAATGCACAATCTCCCAGGCACCATTCCTCAATACTGTGGTAAGTAATGAGAGAGAAGGGGGAAGTTACAATAAGACAGAAAGAGGAAGTAAACAAGACATGGAAAAAAGAATAAGAGCCAAAGAGAGAGTTGGTACAAAGAGCATGACAAACCTGCATTCAGGTTGTTTAGCCATGTTACAAGGCAGAAAGTTAGGTTTTTATCCAGCCCTACTTGCTTGCTCACAATAATAAATACAGGATGTTCTCTAGTAAAAACCAACAATATACTGGCCCTCCTCTTCAAATACCAGATGAAGAAGTGGTTTTCAATACCTTGACATTCCTTTTTGTTGACAACACCGTCAGCATTGTGACGTTTCTGGAAGGAAATGAGAAAAAAATACTCAAATTACACATCTATATTTTCCTCTAATAAACATTCATTAAAAACAATTCAAATCCCTGAGTGAGAAATCAATGTGATGTTATATTTACATACAAATAAGAAGGAAAATAAACTAATCATACAAATATGAACTATCCTGGATTATAAGAGTCTCAACTTCTCTGGTTGTATAGGAGGAAATGGCTTTGAGAGACTGACACTGTATAGCAACTTACTACAGTGAGAGAGAGAGAGAGAGAGAGAGAGAGAGAGAGAGAGAGAGAGAGAGAGAGAGAGAGAGAGAGATGGACCTATTGAAGTCTGCAGTTACAAGCTGCAGAAAGATTACACCTTTGCGCTGACTTTAAACCGTACAGTATGTGAATAATCTCACTACTACGACTATACAACTTTTTGCAGGAACCTCTGCGTTACATGTGGTGACACATTCTCAATATCTCTCTCTCAGTCAAGCCACCAAAAAGCAAACATGAAGACAAAGGCCAATCTACAACAGGTGACCAAACTGAAAGGCTATTGGCTAAAACCAGTAGTAGTAGAAAGTGGTCAGGCCTTACAGTTTGTTTTAGATTTCCATCATTTATGAGATATGTTTAAATTTAATGTGATGTTTGTTAATGCTGTTTGTGCCTGAAGAAAGTCTGATTAATCAAAAGACCATCAACAGGAAATAAACAGTATGCAGAATCTACTTTTTGCCATGACACCAACATGGGCGAGCTTTAGTGCTACAACGCCATGATACTGGGGCTCAGTACTACCTGATAAGAGGAAAAATCAAGTAGTGATATAAAGTTTGTCACACAGGGAAGCTTAGAGTTAAAATGAATTTCATATAAAATAATCAATCAAACAGTATACTGTATTAGAGTCTGCATACAAAAAAGCCCAAACTATCCTATGAAGTGTTGTATGGGACCACAAACACAAATCAGCAGTATTACTTCCTCTCATGTCCTTCTTGTCTGCTGAACAGTCATGCAATCAACTGTGACTTCAACAGCTGATTCCAAAGGACAGCTTGTCAACTAGCATCACGCTGAGTAATAATGTGTTGCTGAGTCCGTCTCCCTCCGAATAATCACTGTGTTTGAAAATCTAGCTGCTAAAAGCAACGTGCGCTGTAGTTGATTAGGGAGAGGACATATCCACTCTCATCCCAGCTAATAATCTGTTTACTTTAAGGATCCATTCTAATTCAGTCTAATTCTAATTTAATTTAAAGCAGATTTGGGTAATTTGGCACACTGTACTGTACATTTGAGGAGAAAAGTCTTCAGGCTGCTCACTGAGAAACCAGAGCAGCCGAGGTGTGTTGCATCAATACACAGCTGCTAATAGGGGAGAGGTATTCACTCTACTTGGCCACAAAAACATCTGTCTGATGCTATAGCTGCTATTACCCAGTCCTATCAAAGCTTGTATTATATAGTCCCTCTAAACGACACATTTTAAAAGGATTAAATAAACTGAATCTGCTCTAAACGCTTTTGTTCCATCCACTATTTTAAGTCCATCTCTCTCTTTATATTCCTCTGGTCTGTTTCTTATACTCCCCCTCTTTTACTCTCCGCTCTCCACTACATGACTTCTTTTTCAGATGAATCAAATTTGTTTTAATATCCCTGCAACATGCTGCAGTGTCTAATGAATGGGCTGGCTGTGTCACATGGCTTCAGCCTTTTACCAGCTACACTATGCTGAGAAAAAGTTTGCTAGTAGGGACCATTACAAGGCTCATCCATCATCCTCTGTGCAAGAACTGTCAGCTAATTTCATTCACCCGCATCTATTCTGGCTGCACAGACCCTCCTCTTTTTATAAACGTGTAGTAGGAGAGAAACTACATATCAGTTACTCTTACTGCACAACTTTTCCTGCCTTTTTCCTGCCTTTCACCCCATCTCTCTCTCTCTCTCTCTCTCTCTCTCTCTCTCTCTCTCTCTCTCTCTCTCTGTCTTCTTCTCTCTTGCTCCTTCCGTCCCAATGGACATGGAGAAAAGGAGATGTACTGTATTTAGATGATGTGTGTAATCACGGTGCAGTGGAGGGCGAGTAGCGTACAGAGGTTATGCGTAAATACTGCAGTATCAGGCCTCTGTAGACTTCAACCAGAGGAAAAAAATTAAAGCAGCTGAAGATAAAAGGGTAGAGCATCTGCAGTGTTACCTTGATTAACCTGCTAATATGGCTTTAACATAAATCTAATGAGACAGTGAGCAGCACTGAAGGAAGTTTAACCACACAAGAGTAATGAGAAACAGTGTTACTGTGTAAAAGTGCACCACACTGTTGTGAAACACTCTGCAGCTCGTGATTCACAATATTAGATTTCAGTTTAAGCTGAAAGATAGTTGAACTACTTGGAAACAAAGAGGCTGAGTCTGCCGCAGTAGAGACGGCCAGCAACGAGGTAAAATACGTGCTGTACAGTGTGTGTCCATAGTGCATGATTCATGAAGTTAGGGGTCGATATTGCCCTGTCAGGTCAACTTGTGAGGGACAGCACAGTACAGGGAACAGACGTGTGTGCAGGTGACCTTCAGCAATAAAGACAGAGTCATCACCACTCCGTTCCCATGTTTTTCACAACAGGCCAAGAGAAAAAGTGCTGCACTGGTCCCTTCAGCAAAAGATAGAAGCTAATAGTATCTGTCCACTGGGACCTACACAGAGGATCGCATTGCAGGGTCACTGCAATACAGCAGAATGCAACATTCCTCACTTAGTTCAGATGGACTTGAGTGGATTGTGAAAGTGGAGTAAACATATTTTGAAGCCTTTCACTTCCCAGCAAACAAGAATTCATACAATAAAAAGATTTAACCAAAACGAAATGAAATCAACCTTTCATACTAAATAAACTGCAAAACCTTTTGTCAAGCATCTGTTCAACAGTTCAAACTCACTCGAGGGCAGACAGTTGTTTTGTTTGGTTAGAACTAACTGCCTTTGTGCATGAGCATTCAGTATCTAGGTTAATTGACTGAATGAGTACTGTGGGTGCAGTAGGCACAGCTGTGACCTCTGAAATGAGTGAGTGTGAGAGTGAGTGTGCGTGTATGATGGTGCAGCTATATGTTGGGGAATATCCTGCTGTGGTCATGTAACCATCAATATCTCCTCTCGGCTCAGGGAACAGTTCAGCACTCTGAGGACATACGGTACAGTACGAGCGAGACAAAACAGAAGCCCCTGAATGGGGGACAGACTCTGACTCTTCAACTTAAGGTATTAATATAACTATTGACCTACCTTACCAACAAAATAGTGTCAGATTTTTCATAGAAGTTTATTTTACTTTAAGTATTTCATGTATTCAGACAATTGTGTTTTGATAAGTATTGTTAACTGCTGTTGGTTGTGCAGTATGTGACGACCCCTCTACTTGGTGGACTGCTGTTGGTTGCTTTCTGTCTCCAGGGTTGCAGACGTAATTGGGAGCTCAATCGGCAGCACGGGGCACACCTGGGCCCAGTGTGCATATATTTGGCAGATTTCCTCACCACACACATCTTTTGCGTTGTGGCTTTTAGTTTTCTTTTCTTTGTTTTTACATCACATTTTCACTCATCCACTCACAAAACTGACTTTACAGATTGCTCGCATCTCTTTGTTTTTGTTTGTTTTGATTATTTTGTTGTAAATAAATTACATTTATTGAGTTTACCCGGTGTGTTTTGTTGCAGTCTAGGAGCAGGGTTGTGACCGGTATATTAATGATATACATGGATAAAATGACTTTTTTTATGCAGACAAACTGAACATAAAACTTCTGCAAACATTACTTTATATGGCCAAAATATCTATGCTGTCAGCATTTATTATGATGTGATAGCTGGGACATAAAGGCTGCTTTAAACCAAATGCAAATTGAGCATTCAAATGTTTGTCCGTTGCCTTTTTATACTTGCTGAGTCTGACAGCTGTTGTGTGCACTTTCCAGAGATCGTATGACAAACACTTTTGTGCGACGATATATCATACTGTATATATTCAAGCCACAAAATTTATCGGAAAATACTTAGTGTAACAAAGGGTCTAAATGGTTTTTAAAATACAACCAAAGTCAAAGTTTCTCACTGAAAAAGAGATCTGAGAGGGTCACACAAACACCAAGACCAGTATCAAATAATATCCAAGGTTTTTCTTACCAGGTCCTCAATAATTTCCTTGACAGCAGCCACCACCAGGATAAAGAGCAGCGGCACCAGCGTGGTCCAGCGACCAGTGGGGGACACATCTGGGATTTGCTAAAAGAGACACAATAAGGAAAATTAAGAAAAATCTTGGCAAAAAAATGATTTCAGAAAAGAATACTGCAGAAACCGACTGCAATTTCTGGGTACTTTCATGGCTCAAAATAAAGCAAAGGCGGTGCTACAAACAGCCTCTGCCCAAAACCCACACACTGACAGATACATTTTTCTAGCGCCCTTCGAAAGGATGACGGTGGCCAACAGAAAAGGTTTGCACTATTTTTGACGTGAATTAATTGCATGGTCTTGTTGGCTCATTTGCAAGTTTGACATGGTTTTAGATTGATAATCATGCAAATTTGACATCACCAGACACCCAGTTGCTGGTGTCATCAATAGTGTCAAAAGGCTTTGCTTTAGTAGCCTGGTGCCAGACCTATGAAACTTAAAGGAGGTATATCCATCCGCACAAACAACCTTCTTAGTAAGTTATATTGCTCTCTTGACCACTGAATGTTTAATTATTTCACTATTTAAGTCTTTCAAAATTAACAGTCAAATACCAGTGTAATTAAAGGCAAGTGATGGCCACAGGAGACACTCACTGTTCCACTGCTCGAAGGAAACTTGAACGAAATAGATCTTTCGTCTCCCTCATCTGCATAGATGTTTTATTCAAGGTCGCAGCATCGACAGGACAGGTAATGAAGATTCACACTGGCTGCTTTTCAAAGCAGCTACTTCAAGGTCACTGGATAGAGCCCTTTCCCATCCTCAAAGCTCTCATTAACGAAGAGTAGGTAAAGACAGAATCTTACTCCTATACACTCCTTCCTTTCCTCATTTTTTCATCTTTTCTGCAAAGCTTTGAACACCTGAGACGTGGATTTGGGCTCCTTTGAATCATGTAGTAATAATTGGTGGTTGAGGCTTTAAGTGTTCTTAAAAGGGATCGATGCTGACCTACACTATACAGGCAAATCACTGCAATCTTCCTCGCAGAAAACTAAAGTCTTTCTTCTGCTAGTATTTACCAGTTTAAACAGTGGCAGTACTACTACTATCTGTGGTCGTTGTCGGCCTGTAATTTTCACATCACCCCTGCTTTTCTACTTGTGGCTCCACATCAGTTGGACTGTTTAACACAATGGAATGGTAGGGTTACAGTGAAGGAAGATACAGCCATCCACAGCACCCCATGCACATGTAATATGCAGTATAGTGTGTTGAGGCCGCAGGTAAATCTAGTTTCCTTCTAAGAGGAGGCACACATCGTATTACATGTATTATTCATTATCAGTCTATATAAAGTGCTGTGTCTCTGCGTGTGTGTGTTTGTGTGGTGAGCTGGTCTGTGTGAAATTACAGACATGACCTTTGGAAATGGTGTCTAGGTCATGGCAAACAGTAAAAAAGACCCCCCGCACACTAATGGGAATAAAGTAAACACTGAAGCTGAGAAGAGCAGTGGTTTAACATTTATAAGATAGTTTTCCAGCTTTCTTTATGTTTAAATGTATGTCACAGAAACCACGGGAACACAGCATCTTACCTGCAAGAGTGCAATGAAGAGAAAGAAGGCATTGGCTGCCCTCCTGAACTGTGAGTAGAGGAACCGGGGAAGGAAGGTGAGGACGTTATATTTGGCTGTGCTGAAGACCGCATCGAGCAGCAAACAAGGCCATGGGTGCAGGAGCAAGAGAGAGGGAGAAAAGAGAAAGAGAAATAAATGGTTCGTTGTCCAAATCTGAGCAGCAGATTTTACACATTCAAAATGCATTAAAAATGAATCTGAAAATCACCTGGTTCATATGTTGTCTAACCTAGTCATTCAAATATATTTAAAACAACCAATAATCCTTGTCCCTGCTCCCAGCCATTCAAGAGAGCCCTTCCTGTTGTAGAGACAGGTGCGTCTGTGTTTGTGTGTGAGACTGATGAACAGCAGAGACTGGTGGACTCAATGATCATAAAGAATAATTAGGAGGAAGAAGGGAGCTGACAGGGGGTGTATAAAGCTCCTGGCAGACGTGAGCTATGTTGCCTGTGCTGCAGTGGGGTTGGAGGGGCTGGGGGGTTGATGGTGATGGTGGTATATTGCGGCTGGCGGAGCTCTCAACAGCCCCAGAGTCAGACCTCCAGCAGTCTGATTTACAGCTGTGTTAAAGGCACGGCCAGAACAGCCACTTTGGGAGAGCATATATGCCATGATGTATGCCAAGCCACTGGCAATACTTTGCTTACTCACGCACACAAAAGCCGTCACAAACACACAAGCAGAATATGAGAGAGTATAGCCTCCAACTCTTCTAAAGGGGGCCAAGCATATGGATGTTAACATTAGTGATATCGCCGTTTTATTCCTGTTATACTGAATCATATTTGAGGACTACATTTTAAGCTTTTTTTCACTTGTAGTAGCTCCATGAGCACAATGTAAAGTTCTGGAAAAATGGGCTAGCATTGAATTCAGTTCATTTAAAAGAAGAGCTTTACATGCACTGTCATCTTCGCCGGCCCGTACAGCGAAGATGGCCGCGGTGAGTGAGAGGGACAGAGTGAAGGCTAAGTGAGTAAAAGCAAGGCATTGTTCTGACAGCAGTACAATGTAATACCAGCCTCACAGAGGAGCCTGATGAAGAGCCCTGTCAGAACAAGGGTCAACAAAGGACCAGCTTTGTTTCATTCAATAAAGTCTAGTCTTTAGTCTAGTCTGCTGTTGTTATTTCAGTTTCTGTTAAAAGACAACAAATCAGAATCTCTGGGTCACCTGTACAAACTACAGAGACTGATAGAGATTTACTGAGCTATGTTTAAAAAACATTTACATTTCTTATAACTGCTAATGAAGCAGAATAATACAGAAGTAAAGATATGTCCTATTTGAAACAATAAAATGTAAGCACTAGATGTAGTGTGTTGTGAACTTCTCTTTCTTGGATTATATGACTGACAGAACATTAGCTGATACCACAAAGGTCTGATCAATTCCATTCAGGCTTGATTGCCTATCCTTGGTGGTCGAATGGTCAAGTTTGAATTCTTTATCTTGAATTTGATTTTGAAATTGAAAACTTCAAATGTCACAAAGATAAATTCAAACCAAATAAATTCAGAATGTAAAAAATATGTAGCATATGAATTTCAGGTTAAATTGGTTATTAACCTAAAATCCTTACAGCAGCAACATACGAGCAAACAAAGTGAGATATAAGGTTAAATCATTTACTAACATAATCATATACAGCTAGGTATAACATTATGTTAAAGCAGTATTGTAACTAGGTTGCTTGATATCAGGAAATGCGTGTTTATTGTTGTCGTCTGGGAGGAAAGAGGAAGCTCAAAGTCTGACATTATAAACTGGAAATCCAATGAAAAATGCAAATGAGATATACAAGTTTGTAACACGTGGACTATGCTGGGCTGACTAATGTTAAACCAAACAAAGATACAGTATGTTTGTGTCTGTTTGAGTGAGAGAGAGAGAGTGTGTGTATAGTGGCTCAAGTGTTTGTGTGTCAGACCATCATTTCCACTTCACTCTTTTGTAATTTCCAATAGAAAACTTCAGGGGAAATCCAGTGGATGATCTGGTTTTTAATTTCTGTTCATTCTAATGTAGATCTGAGAGGATCATTTTAATTAACAGTAAGGTCACCATTTCAGTACAGTAGCCTACAAGCCCATAACAATACCATGAGAACATTCATATTAAGTACGGGCGACCTCACTGGGTATTAGACAGTTAGTGCCTGGTTGTGCTAATGCATACTGTAGTTACCGCCGCAGTCTATCCCTTGAGATATACTGGCTGGGGAAGCTCTAATGTAGCTTCAGCCTGAAGGCCCTGGCTTTATCGTTTCTCTCTTTCAATACATTTGTCATCTTGTCTTGGAGAACATTCTTCTCTTTCTGTTCAACACTTACTTCACTTACTTTCTGATCTCATGGGATAGTACTGTAAAGCATCCATGTCGTACTCTCTAGCTACTGCTATACACTGTATTACGTCCTCCACTGAGGCAAGGCAAGATAAAGAGCTCATTTAATACTCTCATTATGGATACATTTTCTTTCCTAGCAGTCCCTGTGGATCAGGATGACTGCATGAGAGAAGCACTTCCTCAACTCACTCATAGATATCCAGATTATAGCTATGCAGCACCGTCAGTGCTGTCTATCAACATTCCCACCACAGCAGAAATGCTTGACATTACACAATGAATGACATTATGAATTTAAGTCTGTTTTTATTGGTCTTATTAATTGAAACTACATTTGTTACTGTCAATTGAACATTTCACATGTCATTGAGTGTCATGTTGGATAGTCTTCATCTTTCAGCCACACTTTTTATCATCATCATCTTTAACAGTCAGAAATCCAAAAACCACCTGAAGCACCAATCAAAACCAGGAGGCGGGCCAAAAGGTGACGAGGATGTTCTGCGCCATGACTAGCAAAACTTCCACGACTGGTAATGACATCAGATTATGTTGTTAAAATGACTTAGTCATGACCCACCCAAGGGCATGTAGACTCTGAATGGGCTGCTGGGGGCCACAAATAGAACAAATGCTAACCAGCTGCTCCTAGATGAAGATTATCACAGTAAATATGCTTGAAACCTCCCCGCCTGTCTAAAAATGTATGTGTTACGAAAACAATGTCATGTAATTTGTAAACGTTGTTTTTTTGCTACAACACAGTTTTATATTCATCAAAATTTGGTTTCAGGTTTTTAGAATTTGGCAATTGTTTTGGAAAGTATATGCATGCTTAAAAAAAACACTTTACACAACAACAACACACTGGGTTTCCATTATTTTAGAGGCTAATCAGTGTTTTTAGTCATACAAATAATAATAGGTATAGTGACATGTCATTTAAAGTAGCGTTTGTCAGCTTATCATAATTGATAATATATGTCTGTTTTGCACATAAACATGATTGCTCAATTGTAAACAAACCTTTAACAGCAACAGAAAACATGTTAACTGTTGATCAGCTTTGGGTTGTTACTGTAGAGCGTTTAGGAAAACACTATCAGTCTTACCACCCAATTTCTAATCAAATTTTTAAATTGAGATTTTACGTCTATAAAAATAGATTACATAAAGCTAATACTAATAAGTGACATAACTAATGGGTTGTGTCACACTTGAGCGTACAGTATACTGCTTAGTTGGTCAATCTCAGCCAGCTGAAGACCAACAGGTATTACACATGTTCAACCACAAAAAAGATAATCAAATCAGCCAGGGCCGTCAGCTAGCCACAGAAGCTTATACACACACACACACACACACACACACACACACACACACCAGAGCCAAAACCATATATCGGTCAGTGTATATGTTATCTGATATGTACTGATATGACACAGTAATGCCCGGAAAAAAATGCTTGTGGTAATATATTAGTGTCACTGCAAACTTTATCCAGTAGAGTGCACTGCAATTTACAATACTGTGGCAAGCAGCACTGAGTAAGAGAGAAGAAGCAGCTCTCAGTAAAGTCTAGAATTGGTTGACGATGTATATGTTAAATTGTTTAACAGGTTATTTATTCACTTATTTGTTTAAGAAAATAGCCTTCAGAGTACCGTTGCATAAAAAAAATCCACATAGAAAAGGTACATTTTCATTCCAGCTCTAAAATTCACTTTATCGGCCACCATATCTATGAACTTTTGGTGTCCTTTTGGTATCATTTTCGTATCAAAAATCCCATATTGGTCGGGGTCTAGTGGTTAGATAATGTCCGACTTGGCATTAGGGATGAAAATATAAGTCTCGCCTTGTCCAACTAGTTACCTCCGCCAAGGAGATTATGTTTTCGGTGCCTGTTGTTTGTTTGTCTGTCAGCAGGAAACTTGGTGGAGGGGTGTAGCGTGGGCCAAAGCAAAACCAATAAAATTTTGGAGCAGATCCGATCATAAATTATTTTTTACTTACACTTGCAGATTTGCATATCATAGAAGACAGGACTAGTGGCCTTGGGGCAGGTCTGTGGTTTACAAGCGGCTTTCCAGTTTGTATGCACACATGACTGCAAGTAGAACTTGTATAAAGTCAAACAACTGGTTGGACCAGTAACCTTTGCAAATGAATGACGGCAATAATTATGGTAAGCAGCTAAAATGAGAAGCTCAAATTTGGTCATAAAAAGCCATCCAATAAGTCGATAAAGATGTATAAACCCCACTGAGTGAATGTGTAATTCATGTGTTTATGCAAATTATGGGCTTTTCCACACAGGACATAGAATATCAGCATTTCATGAATACACAACAGTCAGATGGTTTGTACAGCCACTCCTGTTTGCCATAGGATGAGTTATGAACATCACAGTGACTGATCTTCTTTACATTACAGATGTAGCAGCAACCAGTTCAGCTGAATAAACAGTCCACAACAATATCCTGGGAGAACAGGGTTGCCGTCTGTTATGAGGTAAGAGTCACATGTGTGTACAAAGCAGTCACATATTCTGCAGGTAGCTATGCTGCAGAGGGAGAATGGGAGCAACTGAAAGCAAGAAACCTGTGAGGGTTTAATGTCTGCTTGTAAGATTAGATTCCCCATTTATCACAGCCCCTGCTCCTGTAAGTGTCTCCACAGGTCACTTTGAGACAGCAACCAATCCTCTTGAACAAATTAGATCTTTAGAGCCGCCTAAAGCCTGGTGTGCCTTCAAGGCTTGAGGGTACTGTTTGGGCACATTTGGAATTCAAAAACCACAAGGACAAAGAAGAACTCGACAAAAGCCAAGTCTTCTGCAAGCTATGTTCAAATAATGTAGTAGCACTTAAACCTCTGAAATCATTTGACAAGACACAGCTTGGATGCATTACAGTCAGATCCAAAAGTGGTGCATCAGAAACAAGTGCAGCTTGAAAAGCCATTAACATGCAAGCTGCCATCCAGTTCACTGCTTCAAGAATAGTCTGTTGTAAACTGTGCTGCAATCATTCGAACTGTTATATATTTTTACACTTAATGTTTATATTCTGTTATTATGTTGTGTACAGTATCAGTATTGAAATGAATGTCTGTCATATCAAAGCCAGTGATTCTGTGATTCTGAATCAAACTGGGAAGTGAACAGCTATATTCACACTCAATGCCACAATATTCAGATCTGTCTACAACAATGATTTATTCTTGATAATTTTATCTGCCTTATTTTGACCATTGGGTTCCCGTGTTTACAACATCAGCTTCAGCTGAATGGAACTAATGTGATATTTTCCTTTATTTTTCACTGAGGACAGGCCACTCACTGAATTAATGACCACCTCCGGTAAGGTCACAGAAATGTTATACACTTTTATTTTAAAAATATGCAGAGGTGCCCTTTCACTTCAAAGGCCATATTACCTTAACTTCTCTGATGTGATATAATTGAACCATCTGGTACTCCAAACAAGTTAATAATGCTATGCATTGATTGCAAATGCTCATTGACATGGGTCTGTTAATAATTATTAGCAAAACGTAAAACTCAAACAATGATAGGTGGTGGCACTAATGTGAAAGCTACCTGACCAACTATAACAGAATATTAATAAAACAACTAAAATAAGGTAGAATCAGTATCCATTTTTGTACAGTTGAGTGATTTAAAGAAACAAACTGGAGGAAAGTATTCAGCAATTTTCCTAGTTGCTTGCGTTGTCATGTCAATACATGAAGCTGACCTAACAAATGGCATAACCATAAGCACACTTGCATTTTTCATTTATTATTCCTGTTCAGTTTATAGCTGTGTATGTGTAAGCATATACATATCTCAAGCTGCTCATGCAGCAGGAATGCTAACAGTAATATTCCTTGACAGAGGACGGTCTGACCCAATAAGCCTGACCTTTAATGCTAAAAGCTCTGCACTCCTCAAAGAGTAACAGCTGGATAAAAAGGGCCAGTCTGGTATATCTGGACTAAGGCACTACCGGTGATACAAATCTTACAGGTACTTCAATATCAAATATCATACAGCTAAAGGTGCTGTCATGGTCATTCTTATAACTACAGGGCATGTATTCAAAAGTCTTCTTAAGAAGGTTGAATCCAAGATTTAAGGCAAAATATATCACAGATATTTACTTAAAATATGTAAGATACAGTATCTTAAATATTGTCTCTTCAAGACAACATTTTGACAACATATGCTCAAAAGGCCCTTAAAATGGATTCTAGCTACTAGGCCATATGTTTTGGTTATGTCAATCCTTTAACAGTTTCTGGAAACAGGTTTTTGAGGCCTTTTCATATATTGCAGGAAAACCATCTCACACATTGCCATCTTTGATTTCCAGAGATGACAGTCTGTTTATCGCAGGCAATAGAAATAGCTTTTGCTTCATTAATGGTCTGAAGACTCATTCTTTTTAAATGGAAATTAAATAAACCTCCCTCTCTCTTTAGAGAAGGGCTCTCTGTGCTGCTCTTAGAAAAACGGAGATACAGCGGGGCTAATTGTCATGAAAAATCTAGCACAACTTGGTTACCATTCATTGGTCCCTCATAAAAACTCATGTTCCCCAGTCAATGTATAATCATGTGATATTCATAAGCCATTTGTCAGTAACTACATTGAGAATTTTGTAATTTGTAAATGTATTTAATGTATTTTATTTGCATACATTGTTATTTATTTTTCTGACTTAAGTTTGGGGATGGGGTGGATGATGGAAGGGAATATATGTGTGTATGGTCGTGTTTGTAAAGAAAACCTATAAATAAAGTATTTTTATTTATTTTATTCTGACTTCTGAATATTAGTTGCTATCAGATACTCCTCCCCAGGCTGACATTTAAGTAGCAGATACACAGTCTAGGCATTCTTTAATTCAACTGTTTTGCTTGTGACTCGGAAGGTTAATGTAGGGTTAAAGGCAAAGTGGCAAGTTATGCTGGAGGTTACCATGAAAAGCACTGATGGCCTCTGGGTTGCCATTACCAAGTCAAAAATAGCTGCAGTTCACACAAACAGCTAAATCCTTGAGAGAATACAACTGTGCGTGTGAATTTTTAAAGCAGCTAGGATAAAATGTAATTTTAAGTGACATGGGAAAAGCATCTTCACCTTACATCATTTTACAAGAAGAAATGTTGGACGGTAAGATAGAGGTCAACCTTGAGACTGCATTTAATTTCCCAGCACACAAACAAGGCAACAAAGAGCATAAAGATTAAAAGAGGCGTGCAAGATATGCATTTTTTTTGAAGGGGGTGCTGTGGGTAAACACACAGACCACCACAGACCTACAACATCCTCAAATTACCGCTGCTTGGGTGGTACTCCAGGGTTGATCTAGGGAAGCCATAAATGTGGACCGCACAAGCTTTGCTACATGAGCTGCAAGTCAAATGCAGACCATGTGGACACGTCACAGCTAATAGCTACCCAAACACTAAAGAAAACTCAAAACATTGACCAATAAAAAACAGCATGTTTCAAAAGTTTAAAAAAATCGGTTTGGAAAAAGAAAAGATTTTTGTAACCACCTAAACCAGACCAAAATTTACATTAAAATGTAACTACTTGAAAGTCATTTGATATTAATTTAATAAAATGTAGCTTTCAATAAATAATATCTTGATTATGACCACATACTGTAGCTCCTAATCAAACCATTTTAACAGATTTTTCATACAGAACATAAATATTTCCCATCATATTCACTACATTTCCATGAATACAAAATCTCCTTACCTGACTCGATTGCTGCAGAACTTGGTGAACTGCGGCTGGTTGAGGTGTATCAGTCGGGCATCTTCTTGGTCAGCTAAGGATGTTTTTTCTGACGTGTCCTCTGTCTTTTCATATCCTGCAGCACAGAAGAAAAGGCATTCTATAAGAAACTAAATCTGCCTTGAGCCCAAAAAAAAAAGAAAGATGAAAAGGTGTTTTGAAGTTTTTGAGCTGGTGCGTGTCGAAAAGTACCCGAAGGAGAATGTGACTAGAGTCTGTAAAAGTCAGTCATTTGTGTGAAAACTATAGAGGTTGCAGTAGATCTTGGTGCTTTAGAGGCCTTAGATATACAAGGTTTTTCTCTATATATCAAAATTTTGGTAATTTCTGAGTAATAACACAAGTATTTTGGTCATTTTTGGTGCTGTGATGGATAAAGTTGGCATTGTAAAATCTCTCATTGTAATACTTTTCAAAAGAATACATCATATACTAAAAAGTGTGTTCAACTACGTGACAAAGGTTTTTTTTATTGCATACAGTCTATGATGGAGTACACAATGTATTAGCTATTGTAGTAGGTTATAATCACTGCAGCAGTACATAATATTGACGAGACATTTGTAATTATCTGTGTGATACACTTGCCTCAGATCAGGAGCAATAATATGATAGCAGTATAATGCTCAAATTATTATCTTAATGGAGTGAGATGGTGCTTTGGAAAATATAGCAGCAGGTTTGCCAAATGACAGGTCAATGACAATACCTCTCTTATTACCGCCTCCACAGTAAAATGGCAACTTGGAGAAACCCTCTTATGTACTATAATAATACAAGGAATCACCTGCATTATGTTAACAGGCTGACTCATACAAAGTGACGTCTATGGAGGAAGCAACACTTCTGACATTTCTCAAGTTATCTGTAGATACAAAGATATAGACCACATGTAGAAGACGTTCTGAGCTCATGTGTCACATTAGAAAAAATAACTATTTTTGACACACAATTCAGTAAATGTCCATAGTCTAACTACTTAAGACATTTCAAAGCTCTTAGTTCAGCAAATGCCTCTGAGGACTATCCATTTGTTGCTAGAAATGTGTTGTGATTAGAGCTGGGAATTTCCTGTGAGTGACATCCTGCTGGCAAGAGCAGATAGGACTTATCTGTGTGTATCAGCGACAGCAGTGCAGTGACTGGAAACTACAATACAGAAGTACTGTACTTTGATTCAACAGCATCTTTTTATATTTTTTTATTTTTTACTGCAGTATTATATTGACACAATGTGCAAGTTGAGTTTAGGCTTAAAAGCGGATACCCAGTCCCACTATATTTTGAGCTTAGAGAACTAATTCATTCCTCATTCATATATTCCACCTTACTCTGACAATTAAATGAAAAACTAAATGTTTAATTGATAGAAGTAGCCATTTACTGCTAAAAATTAAATTTAAAAAAACCCTCCTTGGATGGATAACACTTTTTTCTCTCCTTGTCTGTAAGAGGCAGCACTGCTCTGCTCCCACCAAGTTCAACCAAGTGGAATGGATGGAATGGAGCAATGTCGGCTAAATCAACACGTCCATTGAGGGCTGTACGTGGGTCACATTTTTTTCCCCTATGTTTTTAAATGTATGTTTTTAATTTTTGGCAAGAAGCATTTCTGTTTCACACTTTGCCTCCGTAGGCAAGGTCTAAAACCACACAGATGGACACCATGTTCTGTTAGTTTCTATGCTGGAGACAGGTGCTGCGTCATGAAAAAAGGATGTCTAGGGATGCTGTGGGAATAACTCAAGCCTCTAGCTTGAAGCTGCTTACTGCAGTGCGGGATGGAAAATAGAAACACACCAAAGAATCTCTCTATTGAACAAAGATTGGCTCCCAAAGATGTACTTGTGGAGTGGACGTACAGGTATAAATTAAACTCAACACAAAATACAAAATCATGGTTTAATCCTTAAGCCCTGGTATGGCTGTGATCTTTTGATGATCCCTCAAAAATCTGATACAGTATATGACGATAGACGATAGATTCATTCATTTTGAAAACCTTGTCAATAGGTTCAGTCTTTGGAATAACTGTTCAGGAAGACATTTTGGCAATACCGATATTAAGTGCAGACTCAGGGCGTTAAAAACAGTTCAAGCCGTCTGAAGACGTCACTCAGGGCTTTGTGGAACTGTGATTGATCCATGAAGTGTCTGAAAATGGCCAAACAATTTAATCAATTAATCAATGATGAAAATAATCATTAGTGGCAGCCCTAACTGAAAGTCAGGTTCACACCTGGAATTTTGTAGTTACAGCAGTTCATGTTTGAGACTGACTTCTCCTTAACTTCTGTGAAGGTGAAAAACAAATGTTCTACCAAACGAAGTACCATTTGAAGCTGAAATATCAGACACACGTACACAGGCAGATTAGACAGGGATCATCTTGTTTGTAAGATGAGAAATTATTTTAAAAAAACAAGGTTCCTGAGGTTCATATTTCCCTATCCTCGTGTTTTAATTGATATGTCTAGATTACTGCCCTCAGCACTGCCAAGAGAGCACTACTGTAAACCTCTTAAGTCAACAGTATTCTCAGACTCTCAAGTTGCATGCATGTGATCCAGTTGGTGCTGGATGGCCTTCCCCAGCATGCAGTAGTAGTGGTATTTGGGGTTTATGAGGTAAGGACGTGCGTAGCATAGCTTCCACAACTGCAGACAAACCCTGGAGTTTAAAAATGGAGAGAAGGGCCTTTCTGAGGCGTGGAGGGAGGGGGACCACAAGTGAGGGAAGCCTGCTGCTTGAAACATCAACAACAACAAAATGCAGTGTCATGCGCTACTGTAACCAGATCCCCTACAGGATATGCACCAGTTGCAACCTGCCCCCCTCGCCCGTCTGCCTACAGTATTTCTTTCATGTCATGTCAAGTCAAGAGGAAACAAAGAGAAAGGCTGACAGTCTTCAAAGTCCCACTTACAACTTTCTCTGCTCCTTTTCTCCACTCTTATTCTCACCTTACTGTTGGCACTGTCTCACTCATGTTACACAAACCCTGAATCTGAAATTACAGCTCTAGTTTTTTTAATGATCCACCTGCCTTAGCACTGAGGATTGTTTCTTCCTCTTCTTCATCTCCTGATAGCTTCTATCCTTAGCATGTGCTCTAAGGCTAAAAATAACTGCCCCCTGTAGTCATTTGGTCAACAGGGGAAACTTGGGTTGGCTATCCCAGCCCTGTTATGCAAGACATCAGATCAGCATTGGTTTATTGGATTAGTGTGTTGGCAAATGGGTGTGTGGATTCCGGGAGCAACGGGAGATTAAAGAGTGGTGCCTACTGCTTAAGTAGGGAAACGTCCTACCATCAGGCCTGTGATTATCACATGCACTGATTAGGTAAAGGACCAATATAGGCTAGATGCATGGTGTCAACTTGTGATTCCTTGAAGTTAATGACAGTTGTTTTGTTGTATACATTGGGAAATAAGGTTGTCTAGAACAGTAATTACCAAATTGACTCCTAGAGGTCCCCAGAAAAATTATGTGTATCAAATTGGGGGTCCTTGACACCAAAAAGGTTTTGAATCACTGGTCTAGAAAGCAAGAGAGAGTTGGTTGTTTTTGAATTTGGAGTAGATAGATATAATAAGTGAGACATAATAATTATTAGTCTAGAATTCACTATAATCAATTTGAAAAACACTTTTAATCTTTACACATAATAGGATACAGAGGTACATTGATTTTTTTAATTGCTGTATCTTAATGGGATCTTAATTTGGCCCTCGGAAAAGTATAAAAAGGTACTTTCAGGCCAGGTGAGGATTTACAGTAACAGAAACACTCTAATGTCACCTAATATTCCTGAAGAGTTGATCCATTGAACTTGATGGGAGCAGGTAACTTCCCTCCTCTTTGCATGTTAGTAGGCCTAGCCTATTCCATCCAAAATTAAAACAAGCTTTGCAGCCAAGAGCTCACCCGGTAACACTGGGAAGACAGGTGGTTGGAAATGAGTAACAGCACTGAGTAAAGGTGAGGGAAAGGACATTGACTCAAAGGCATGCTACCTCACTGAGTCTGGACAAGGCAATTTAAGTACAGCAGTCATTCTGCAAGCAATATTGTACTATAGTTTCAGGATCAGAGAGTAACACCAAAATACAGTATCAATTCACAGAAATGGAAACTGTAGCTGGCTATATTTTTATTGTAAGTGATTTTCCTTGGGGCACCCTGGTGGCCTTTGGGTCAAGGCGCCTGCCAAGAATGAATGGCCATGCCCAGGGACTTTTGCTGCATGTCAATCCCCATCTCTCTCTCCTTGTTTCCTGTCATCTCTCTACTGTACACTGTCTGAAATAGACATACAATGCGGCAAAAATTACAAGAGAAAGTCATAATTTTCAGTGAGTGATACTTTTTTGTAAAACTAATATAGGGCCAGTGTTTCAGTAATAATGAAACCTCCTGTTCCATTCCATGTCAGTAATAATCGATTATATGCCAAAGAAAGATCTCAGCTTGTACACTAAGGAACAAAGCCAGCAAACAAAGTAAGTCAAGAAACTAAATCTTTAAGAGGCTTGGGTGGTCAAGGAATTAGCGTCTACAATGACAAATGAAAACGGAGGGCTGGCGTAGCTGGTGACTGTGAAATAGCAGGCCAGAGGAGCTGGCTGAGCTGCTGTGATTGATGTTGTGTCTCTGTGTTCTGAATGAGCCCTCGCAGCAGGAGCCTGTGTGCTGGGGTAGGCCAGGTGCTGCAATGCACCAGTTGCAGCTGGTACTGCTACTGCTCAACTTAGTCCTTTTGCTCTCTCCTTCTAGCAGCTTTGACACAAGGGGTTGTATGCGAAGTCTCAGCAAAAGACTGAAACAAAAACTGTTGGATTACATCAAATATGAAAATATTAGGTATTTTAACATGTGTATATGTATGGGAACCATGCCAGCATAGCACTATCAATGACTTTTTTTTTCTAGGAATGGGTTTGGGCAGAAACTAGATATGAATAGACCAAAGGAGTAACAGTGCACACATTTGTCCCAAACTGGACCTGTTTTTGTCTCTTGTTTCTGTTATGCTATTCCGACTGCAGCTGGGTAACAGAATGATTGGTCTTA